AACAAACGATTTCTATACCTAGAAGCATTTTAATTTCTCCTAAATTAGTTATATTAAATTTCTAATAGAGTTACTCCTTGATTTTATTAATTTGAGCCATGCTTTTACTAATAATAATTATATTATCTATATAAATAGTAATTAGAAGAAGTAGCTAATTAACCTTATACTCTTGAAATATATATAAGGCTAAATTATAAAGTAATCTCAGGAAACTAATAGTATGGAAAAAACCATTAATTACCTGATTTCAAACCCTAGGGGCTTGTTTTAATTCGTAAATGCTTTTTTATAGATAGTAAATTAGGTTAATACCTTTAATAAAACCAGGAGATTATTCCATATAGTACTTCTCTTCTAATTCCCTATAGAGGAAGGCTATTTAGATATCTATTTACTAAATATAGAGCCTATATTTAGCCACTAAGGCTAATATAATACATATAGTAAAAAGCCTAGCTACTAGAGCAAAGGTTTCAAAATAATCTATATCATATTATTAGGTATAGTCTTATATTACTAGCCTTAATTTATAGTATCCGTTGGCCTTAATTTTAAATAACTAGTAATACCCGATGGTTTTTTAGTATTTTCTAATTACTAGATCCTATATATAATTACGTATATAGGATTATAGCTCCTTTCTAATAGAAGGTTTCCAAAGATAGGCATTAGGACTAGTAAAAGCTTTATTAATTAATATTAGAATTTTAGAAGCTTCGGTATTCTAGTTAATAACTAGTAAAGTACGAGAATTAGGCTATTCTCTAGTAATTCTAGTCAATTTCGGATATCTAGGAATTAATTTACTCCTGACTAGAATTATTTCGGGAGATATAGGCGCCTCCTAAATTATAGAACCTGAATTAGAACTATTTATAGGCAGTTCTAGTTCTTGGTTATTATTCCCTAATAGGAGTTCAGAAGCTTTGCTTAGACTAGAAGTACCCTTAATTTAGTTATATAATATACTTTAAGCAGTATTTCCTTTAATATCGGAGTGATTTTCTCGATTGTCTTCTAATAGAATATTAAGCTATTAATTTCCAGTATTAATAATAATAGTATCTCTATAAATTATATCGGGATTATATATATTATTACTAGAAGTATTATTATAATCTTTAGTAATACTAACTAGTTTTCTATATAACTGGGATACTGGATTCAGGAGATATATTCCCTTAATATATTCTTTAATAATATAATAGTTAGAAATAACGAATATCTGCTTATATAGGTTCCAAATATAATATCCGGAACTACTATAGCTAGTAAAAATGCCCCTAAAGGCCTTGGCCATATACTTATACTATAAGGCTATTTTCTTAGGAATATAGATATATACCAAGGAACCGAATATCTATAGATTAGAAACGTCCGGTTTAATCCTATAGAATACTTTATATAAAGTTATACCGATTTTAGGCAAGTAGTATTAATTATAGGTATAAATCCTATATATAGCTATTTCCTCCCAAAACTCGTATAGTAAGCCTAATTATTCTAGCTCCGTATACTCTGCTTTAATAATTATATATATACTATATTTAGAAATACTATTCTATTTAGGTATATAAGTAGTTATTAGTTTCAGACAAATACCCTTTAATTTATACTAGTTCTTGACTTGTCCTAATACAAATTCTGGAATATTATTAAGATATAGGCACTTGACTTTATTCCTAGTTTAGGTTTTAGAGAAAGTTACTTAATATTAAAGATCTATAAAGTAGCCCTTTCTATCTAAATTATATACTACTATATAATATTTAGTACCTTTGCAAGTAGTAGAAAGCATATAGAAGTTCTTACTAAGGAATAGAACCCTTAATGGCTCCTATAAGTTAATTATAATATATTTCCCTGGAAGTAGTTTTTTAGGGTATAGCTTAGTTATACTAGCCCTAGTAATCTTGCTTATATTATATGAATTATAATTAAATAGGTTTTGGTTCTTGAATTAAAGCCTATAAATATAGTTTACCGATTCCAGGATATACTTTATATTTAGATATTTATATTACTAGTACTACGTTTCCAGGGAGGCTAAAGCTTCCGATTTTAATACTTTTAGGGCATGCCCTAAACCAAATTAGTCAAGCTAATATAGTTCTATAGAGAGGCTAAAGGTACTAGTTATAATAGTTATTTCTTTATTAATAATTCGGATATTTCTTTGGGAAAATATAATATTACTTCTAGCTTATATAATTTTGGGAATTAATAATAAGGAGGTATTCCGGAATTAGGAGCTATAAAGTATATTATTGAGCTATATTTTTAGCTCTAGTTAGGTAGCTAAAAAAATAGTTTCTTTGCCCCTAATAAGAATTATTAATTCGTTACTAAGAATAATTAGAAATGGATTAATCTCTTTATATATAATAAAGAAGCTTTTACTTCCCATAAAATAGTCCGTAGTACCCGAATTAATATACCAGATATTCGTGGAATTATTATTATATAACTATTTACTAAGAAAAGTACTAATTATTAACTTTATAGCAGTATACACTTTAGGGTATATAGGTACTTTGGGATTAGAAGACGTCTCTTTACTAGTGGAATTAGTATCTTTTCCTTTAGAATTATAGAATTCCTGAGCTAATTTATAGCTTATATAGTTCTTAATATTATATCCTTTATATTTATAGAACGTATAGTAGGCATTTGGATCCTTAGAACGCTTCGGTTTTTTGTTCTTGTTTTTGGACTAATTTCCCGATTAATTTCCTTAAGCAGCTAGTACTTTTGGAATGGAATTAGAAGTAGAATTAGAGGTTTTACCCCTAAGTTTATTCTTCTTGGTAGAAGCGTCCGCTTTAAGTAATTCCAGCTTTAGTTTATTAATATTAGCTCTAATAGAATTTAGGAGAGGTTTATAAAGGTCATATTCCTTTAAAAGGCTACGAATCAGATATCCGGATATAGAAACGTCCGAAATCGACCCGTTTATACCCTTAATTTCAGCTACTTTATAGCTAATGCGGTTAATGAAGTCGTCTATTCCCTTATTAGAATCAAACGTAATAGTTTCCAACTATTAAAGATATAGAGCTTCTTTCTGAGCTTTTAGCTAGTTCGCTTTAGCTTGAATCTGGGTCCAGATCTGGTATACAAGCTTGATTTCCTTGAATTATTACCAGGTATCGTGGGTAATAAGTAGATTTAGTACCATACGAGCGATTACTACTTGACGAGTAGTCGTTTTATTGTCCTTTTGGGCCGATTCCACGAGAGCAGGAGCTTGATCTGGGTCAATATACTACTATAGATCTTCGATAATAAAGATATTCATGGCATTATCTATCCAGGAGTAGATATTACTATCTGAGAGAGGTTCGATTTTTGTTCCCTTATAGGTAATATATACTAATTTTTTACTATCCGGTATAGCGGATTTCGCGGAGAACTTTTGCCCAAAAATGGCTGTGTTTTTAGTGAATTCTGCTAACGCAAGGCCAATGCGGTGGGTGTAATTCAATAGAATTAACGATTTTGATGAAATCGGAAATAGACAGGTAAATACTAAGTGAGGTCACGTGACCTGAGGATCATGTGAAAGCACTTAGTGGGCGCTATCCGGGCTCATAACCTATTGAACTGGGATCGATTTATCGGTGGAAAATTGATATATTAGAGATTGACAATCTATAGAATGACTAGTTTTGACTAGATACAGGAGAGTGATTCCATAAAAAACAGAGGGAATGGATTCCCTAGCTATATTCCTGATTTCCAGCCCACCATGTGATTTACCCCGCACTTACTTGGTGGTGGGAACGATTTACCAATCTGATTCCTGAACGTACGTTTACGGAACGTAATCGAATAGCTATACTAATAAACGATTGGTGTGCTCGTACGTAAGTAATACCCAATAATCGGACGAACTGAATTAGTGATTGAACCTGGAGTGGAAGGAATGGATGCTAGCCAAGCTAGCTAGTTCAACATGAAGGATGAATGAGTTAGTTTGTTTATACTCTGTAAGTGATATGCACTTCCCGAAAGATCTTTCAGCCCTTGATCTATCACCCAAACAGCCATACCGACGCTTTCCTCGTAACGCTTTCAAACCACGATTCTTTTCTATTTCCAGCGCCCAAAAGTGGATTCCCACTGATATTGCTATCCCCTGAACCTTGGGGTTAATCATTGCATTGCAAAATGGATTTAGAGCAACTCACTATTGCTGTCTTTGGATCTCCAAACTTTCTTACTTTGATCCCACACCTTCACCTGCCTATGATCACTCTTAGACTGAGATTTCCAGCAGCCGTGCTCCTGGTCGAAAATGGGGGTTTTGAATCCCCTTTCGGGTGCAGGGGCTGGTCCGAAGGGCTTCATTGGGCGAGCGCGCTTTTGCTGAAGTGCTGCACTACGCGCATTTTCTATCTCTTTCAGTTGCTTTTGGACATCGTCTTTTTGGAGGTCTTCAGCGCCTGGGCGGAAGCTATCGTATTCTTCGGCATCTGTGTCTACCTTGATCGGCTCGACAATAGGCATGGTTGTTGTTGTTCTTGTTATTTTGCAAAACATCTAGGAAGTCGCGCTTATGGTTCTTTCCGTGGAAGAGGATCATAGATAAGCAGAACTTATTAGGCAACACCTCAATCATCTGCCCACCCCACAAAAAATCGTGGCAGGTTGGTGATGTGGCTTAGAGCCTAAGGTGCAGTGGTTCTCTGATGCTCATTGGCGTTGTTATCGCTACTTGACCCAGCTGAAAAAAACCCTGCAGGAGTTCTCAGGCAACGAGAATACTAGCTATTGATGCTACATTTTAAGAGGATCGAGTAATGCATGAAGTCTACTCGGCGACAGAAGTTGGAGAACAAGGCTTGCTCAGCCTTGCGCGATTTGAATTGTCCAACGTCTTTTCAGTATTAATCATGAATCTCATTTCAGGCAGAAATAATGGGATTCCGAGTAGCAAGACATAAGAAGAGAGGCTCCTAGGCTCTCTGGGAGACCATTTGAGCCTTTTAAATGTGGCAATATCTTGTCTTCATCTTATACTCTACATAATTAGTCGATAATGTCTCCAATCCTAGGCCCTCTGAGTTCCCATACCCCACAAATACCACGTCCACTTCCTAGCCCAACGGATTCCGAACCCTCAGCCGAAGGCACCGCTTCTGATTCAACACAATCTTCTATTTCTCTTTCGATCTACCCAGACTATGGGGACGAAGACATCAGAAAGGCACCTTGGAAATACTCCGGGTACAGAGTTTTTTCCAAATGGCTTGCATCTGACCAATCCTTCCTCATAACTCGCCGCTTTGGAGCGCTCCAAGCTCGAGTGCTTCTCTCCCTACAAGACGAGATTGTCAAACTCGAGGAAGAACTAGAGTCAATGGACCAAGCGTACAGTCGAAAAGCAGTGCCAGACGTCGACAACGGCTCTTTCAGAATCGACCCTTGCGAAGCTCGGCCAGCACTTATTACTACACTAGGGGACAAATTAAGGGCATACAGTACGTAGGACCAGAACTTTGTGATTGCTCGAAAATAAGAACTAAGGTTGAACAGATGGTTTCATCAATGAATACTCCCAACTGATGGCTCGCCCAGTACCGCGCCCAGATGATATTAGCAACGTACGAAACTGGCTTGGAACAGATGACCCCGACCCGGAAAAACACCCCATTAACGAAATTGAAGCCGCCTATATTCCACATACCAAGGATCTCGTAACTGTCTTACCAAAGGAGATATCTTGGTTCCGGAAGGTCCTTGAACGCAGCCTTCTTCTCCGCATCCCGGGTCTCCGCTTGCTCTTCGAGCGTAAGGACGATGATATAGAAGACTATGATGACATACGACCGATACGGGATAATCAGCAAGGCTTTATCAGGGCCACAAGGTGGCAGAATGATAAGAGAGTTGACAGACTTTCAGAGGGCGTGATTGCGGTGGTTGGGTTAGCGATGCTAATTGCTCTATTGTGGGTATTGGACAAGATTGATCATGGGTTGCCAAATGTCAAGCTTGGAGCAATTACGGTGTTTATTGTAGTATTTTTCGTACTAGTGGCGGTTGCTACTACAGCAAGGGTGTTTGATGCTTTGGCAGCGACGGCAGCGTATGCTGCTGTGCTGATGGTGTTTTTGCAGCTTAGTGGCTAGATATCAGATAGAGAAGGCTTTACCTTCTATTTCAACTTAGTTTCGAAGATAATAAGAGCAAACTCTAATGCTCAGTGGGTTGTACATCATATCCGGGTAGGAGTATCAATCACAAGCATTGGCCACGGCTCAAAATAGTTGCCTGCGTATGGAAAACTTAGCGAGATTCAGGCTCTCGCTACTGATCACGCTCATCACGGTCTATAGTAGCGGGATTGACTAAAGATTCGCGCCAATCCATGAGGGAGAGGGGCTGTAATATTAGCGATGAAAGGTAGCCGGTAACGACTGGAAGTCACAGAAGGAGAATCGATCGCACTGGTACTCATCACGTGCAAGTTAAATCTACTTGCTTCTCTATGCGAACATGAAAGGTGGTAGTAAAGTTTGATATCTTGGAACCAGATTATCTGGCTAGGCTAAATTGAATGATTCCTTTGCCAGTCTCTCACCCAATGGCCTTTCCCTCCTCGCTCTTCTGACTCCATCGTGGCTTTTGCATCTCCATCTGCTGAAAAACCGACTTCAGTTGCTTAGAAAACTCCTCTCGACATGAGTCGTACCCTTGATGATGTCTTGGGGAAATGCATTGCTCACTATATACAACAAAAGCCAATTCCCGAGATTCTCAATCCAGGCTGAAGACATTTGGATTGTACCGGAACTTTCGGGACATTCGGAGCGACGTGGAACAAGGAAAAAGGACACAAGAGGGATTCTCTGCTACTAGCAGTCCGTAGCAAGCATAGAGAAAAGGTAATCATACATAGCTGGAGTGCCCAACTTACTAGTATCACCGGTGCAGTTCCATCTCTGCCTCCAAGTCGCGTCCCACTATCAGCAATGACACTCACCCAACGCCCTCTCACTCTCCCTTCCACTCCTCAAACTCCTCCTTCAAATGCTCCTTTAACCTCGCAAACTTATTCCCAAAGTTCTTCCCACACCGCCAACACTTCATATCACTCCCCAAATAGCCCTCCTTTCCCGGGTGTCTCCTCACATCATCTTCCTCTAGCGGGAAATCCTCTAACGGGACAAAGAAGTCCGTAGCAAAGCTATTGTAGTGCTTCCGATGCTTCAACCATTCCGAAGACCGATCTTTACTCAACACATGAACGTGTAGATGGTTCATACTCGGATGAGCATGGATGCCAACCAGGACGTCTTTTTCCCAGTCGCGGCCAGCGGGCATGTCTTCTTCTCGCTCGATCTCCACCTCGCCATTTAACACTGCCTCCCTCGGTTTATCTTGCACTGAGAACTTCCCATATCTTCTTTGTAACTCCGATGCCACAATACCTTTTAGTCTAGCAGATTGTTCTCGAACCTGCGCAAGGAACTCCGCGTCCTCGAAAGCATCGAATGGATGCATGCTCGCAAACTTCTCATCCCGTGGCAAGAGCAGGGTATGCACGCTCGACTTCGGGTACATATCGTGGATAGCGACGAAGTCAGAGTCGTAGTATACGACGCGTGAAGGGGGGTGTTTTGAGGGGTCGGAAATGTAGGCACCTAAGCCGTCGCGGTTCTTGAAGACGTTTTTCGCGTGGGAGGAGAGAGATCTCTTGGAGGCGGCAGGTGAGGAGGGAGAGGCTTTTCGTTTGTGGGCCATGAGGGCGGTGACTGTGTGCTTGTTAGCTGGAGAAAGAAGAAAGGAGGGGAGGGGAGGTACAGGCGTTGCGGGAGGGCGAGGCTGACGAGGCTGTGGGCGCGGTACTGGCGATTTGTTCCTCGGTGATCGCACTTTTGGGAGTTTCTTCTGCCATTGTGGGTTACGTGGATGTCGCACTCGAGATTGAGATGTGACAGTGTCTGCCAACCTGAGTTGGGCGTTCGCAGAGGAGTGCTGTTGTTGAGGAGGTAACGGTTCGGGTCGGAGAAACGATTTCGCGAGAAGTGGAGTCTGTGAACACTCGTTGCGCAACATCTAACCTCACCCCAGTCGAATATTCGAGGGTTAGTGACGACTTTGAGTGATCTCCCTCTCTTCTCTTCTTGCTTTATGAGTTCAATTTGTCTTCTATGGCCCTTTGTATGTCCGGAAAGGGGAAAATATAAAACGACCCCCTCCGCCCCTCCCCCCCCCTCGATTAGGGGTGTCAATTGGGGCAGGGGTGTTGATAAACTTGTAATTGGCTACCTAAGCTCTTTAAAAATCTGAAGTTATATTTTTTAATATAAGTATAAGCTAGCATATTATAACCCTACTATTATAATCACGTGCTTCCTGACTTATAATAAAAAGATCCCTTAAAATAGAATTTTGTTTCAAGGGAGTTTATATACTAATTAATTAGGTTCTAGTTTTTGAACCCTATAAGGCCCTATAAATTAGGGGCTTATAGGGCTCTTACATTTGGTTTTGGGACTTATTCGCCAAATTTCTAGGCTTTCTTAAGCTTACCTTTAGGCTATCCCTTCGTCCGCTGAGACATTGCAGGCGCTAGCAAGGGGGGGTCCCGCACTGAACAGGGGGGGCTCGCCTGGCACACGAAGCATAATAATTATGTACCTTTGCATACAAATTTATTAGTAAGCTACATCGCGTGGATGAAATCGCGTCCAATAATGCCCCTCCAGTACGCGCTCATGCAGCCAGCAATGGACTACTCTTCTAGCCCACCTTCTAGCCCACCTCCACAGCCTAAGGGCTCAAAAAGCACCCAATCACTTGAAAATATACTCCATAAACTTGGACCAATTACAGACGTTTCCTACGAGCCCTTCCAACCCGAACCTAGACAGCCAGCAAGAGCACTTTTACCTCCTACCTTCCCTCCAAAACCACGCCCTTTCGATTACTTTAGCCTGTTCTTTACCTACGAGCATCTCCAGACAATTACTACAAATACCAATCGATATGCGAGCAAGCAAAGGCTACATATAAAGGGGGAAAGCGTACGAGAATGGACAGATCTGCTTGTGGAGGAGCTACATGTGTTTCTCGGTGCTATTATATATATGGGAGTACATGATGAGCCTCAAGCTGAGATGTATTGGAATGCAGACTTTAATAAAGGTCCTTTGCACTCAATCGCAAGCCATATATCACGCTGCCGCTTTGAGCAAATTAAACGGTACTGCCATATTTCATGCCCTGAGAATGACGAGCAAAAGGGATATCACTTACCTTCTAATAAGGTATGGTAGTATAAGCTTGAACCTCTAGCTTCATCTATTCAAGCTTCCTCCCAATTATATTACTCGCCTTCATCCGATGTGAGTATTGACGAGCTTATGGTACGGTGCTTTGGCAGGTGCGTTTCCCCCTTTTTTACCCCGCTACCCCGCTAATTATTTTAGATCCTCACACACATACAAGATGCCCAAAAAGCCAATTAAACAAGGGTATAAGATCTACGGACTTGCGGATCACGGATACATATATAATTGGATTTGGAGCTCGCGAGAGAAGGGATTGCAAAAAATGATTCTCCATCCAACCCTTACAAATACCGGTTCTCTCGTACGAAATCTGGCACTTTCCCTCCCACGCCGCTACCTTACGATATATCTCGATAATTACTTTACCTCTGTACCCTTATTTTCAGAACTACGAGCTTGCGGATTCGGTATAGTAGGTACTATCCGCCCACATAAGCAATTTCCTCCTGAATTATCGGCAATCAAGAACCGATTTGCGAAAAAGCTAGAATGGAATACCTTGCTTGCGGCAGTGGTTGAGGATATGCTTTGCTTAGCTTGGCAAGATAATAGTATTGTCTTGTGTCTAAGTAATGTCCATACTGTGGATAAGGCAGAGGACTTCCGGGAAAAGGAGAGGAAACGGCCCGCAAAGACGTCCACAAATGGACGAATCGTCCGTGAGGTTTTTGGCAATCTACCAATAAAGGAGCTTAAGATTCCTAGCTTTATTAATGATTATAATTAATATATGGGGGTGTAGATCTTGCAAATTAATTCAGGGAGATATATGAAACCCATAAACCTACCCTAAGGAATTGGTGGCCCTTATTTTACTGGCTAATTAATGTAGCTTGTATCAATGCGTACAGGCTTTATCAGTTACATACAGTACAAGAGCGTCTGCTTACACACTTGCAATTTAGAATCGAGCTTTATTGCAAGCTTTTAGGGTATTCTGAGAAGGCAAAGCTAGCGAGCTTGCGAAGGGGGCTAGGGGGTAAGAGGCTATTTGGCCCTGAACTCTAGTATTTGCACTATTGGGAAAAGCGTCTTAAAAGGGGCACTTGCACGTGGTGTTCATATACCCTAAAGTGTAAAAGGGTCTTAGGAAAAGGGGTAAATAGTGTACCAAATCGCTCACAGGGTGGGTGTGTTTTTTGTGATGTACCACTCTGCAAAGAGGGGGAGTGCTGGCAGCGATTTCATTCAAATAATGTAGCTTACTAATAAATTTGTATGCAAAGGTACATAATTATTATGCTCCGTGTGCCAGGCGAGCCCCCCCTGTTCAGTGCGGGACCCCCCCTTGCTAGCACCTGGCAATGTCTCAGCGGACGAAGGGATAAAATATGAAATTTTTAACCTCTTTGATTTAAAGAGCTATTACTAATCCAAATTTTATAAAAGTTTGTATTTAAATAGCGCTTAGTTAGCGCTATGAGGAAATAAAATAAGTATTAAATTATATTAATTCCTTATAAAATTGACTTAAATTAAAGAAAAAGCCAGAGTTTTGGTGTTCCTGTCCGAGCACCTCTACTTTAGGTTAGTTCGGCCCCCAATCGACACTCGTGGGGAGGTCGTTTGACATTTTCCCGTGATTCTCCTCAATCTCTCGAATGAGTAGGTTAACATCCCAAACTCCGTGGAAGGGGCTGTTGCCGCTGTGGACCAGGGTAAGAAGCTGCTTGCCGTCGAAGTCGCTGCCATCCGGCATCTTGGGCCAATCGTCACGGAAGCTCATGACGGAGTTGGGAGTGAGAGTTCTGGGAAATGCGATATTGATCTCAGAGAGAAGCCCTTAGACGGTACGATTGTGTCGCGCTGAGCGCCGCAGCTGGGAGACGCCTTTCAAGGCGATGCGAAGAATTCAGCATGGGCGATGTCAGGAAGGAGGGAAGGAAAGTTCTTTCCGAGTAATTATCTACAGGATTCTGCCAACACTGGCCGTCTAAGTCACGTGCTCTGGTAAGGCTCGGCTTCACTCCAGGTGCAATAGAATCTGTGAGTGGAGAAGAAGGGTGTTCAATTATCTATCTTCGCTTTCCGTAACTAGGCTAGTGCCTAACAGAATCGCAGTTGAATGCGGTATACAAAGACGGAAAGGAAAAAAAGGAACTAGGGGGTTCAAAATTTCCGACATTGCTGCGGTTGAGCGCCGGTAAGTAGGTGATGCTTGCGTTAATAAACGCAATGGGACAATGCGCTGGGCATTAGCAATAACATCGGGCGCTTCGAGAGTCGGCGGGCTCAACGTACTCTACTTTGCAGGCTTCGTTGTGTGTTTGCGGTCCTTGCTGCACTTGCCGTGCACCCTGAACTTGGACTTGTCCTCGTCAAAGGCGAACGCGACGGGGATGAACTTGTCCTGGTCGTAGCCGTCGCTGTCGTTGCTCTTCGGAAGAAAATCTGGAGAACAATCAAACCCAAGTACTCGGGTTTTCGATAACCAAAGAGAGAGCTGCTCCGAATGGCGAGACGTGGAGCGTTGTGAGCTGGCGCATTGCTGGACTGGAGAGAGATTCGGATTCCTCACATTGTTGTGGCGTTGAGCCATCCAGTGACTGACTGTCAGCTGCTGCAAGCTGGCAGGAAAAAAGTTCAATCCTCGACTACGTGGCGAGAATGGCCGGTGTCCTAAAATAAGCCGACGAACAAGAATCGCAGTTCGAATATGCACGATTACCTAACTCTAAAACAACAGGCTCCAGACGTCAAAGCAGAGTCGAAAAAAATTACAATCGGGCTCGACTTCGTTGCTACAGGTCTGGTAACTAGTTTCTGTTATCGGGCGTGTGGCACACGATTGTACCTTTTATACCTCCTCACTGACTCACAAAGAATAATTTATGGTTGAAAATAGATGATCATTTCTTAACACTCGCACGAGTAATTCAAGGTCCGATGCGACGATAACCTTGAGATGGACTTGTTAAACATGCTGCCTCTTCGGCCAGAAGCTTTCGAACCTTTTCAGCTCTCCCATGCAAGCTATCCGTCCTATGATTGGTTCATTTTGCCCCAGGACCCACCTCCACCAATCAAAATAGGTCCGGTCATGTCTGGAACGCAACGACGACTTCATGACAATCGGATCAGGCAGCTTTACGTCAACGAAGGCAAATCTATCAAAGAAGTTTGCGACATAGTAAATTTCGAGTTCGGTCTCGATAACAAGTAAGTTGTCTCTTTCTTTTACTTGCATTGACAGCTGTGAATTCCCCGAGCAACGCTCGAGAAGCGACAGAAATACCCTTCCAAACTCCTCCACTTGCTGCAAGCTTTGGACATATGACCAACTTCTTGGTAGGAAGCGTCACTATATACATCGGATTCGAGTCCTGAATATCGAACGAAACACGAAAGTGGAAGAGCGCCAAAAGGTTGTGCAACACATCAACTATTTACGATGTGCTGCAGGAACGCAAGAAAGCTATATTGAAGTTCGAATCAGAGGACACAAAATTGACTCGCCTAAATGGAACCGATGGCTGAAAGTTGATAGCGCAGGTCAGCCGGCTGTGGCACGGGATCCTCCTTCTCGTGAGCTTTGCACTTACTGCCCGCCTTTTGTAATGTACTGACAAGTCATCATAGCATTACCAGCCTTCATCAGCGTTTGTGCCTGCTCTCCTTATGATTTCCAGAGAATCGTGAGATACGCTGGACACCAAACTCGTACTCTGGATCCTCAAGAGGCAAGAGATGTGTTTCAAGATCTTCAAATCATTCTCAGCTGTAGGAGTTCTTCTTCCTACAGAAATGATACTATTGTGGAGGAGTGTATCATACAAGTCAAGAATTTTCTGACAGGCAGTATTCTCGTGGAGAGTAAGTCATGCTCACTGGACTTTAGGGTCCTTGTACTAAAGAAGAGCTAGATGCACTTTCATCGACTAGCACGCCTCAAAATTGGCACACAGACAACCAGGAGCGTACACATATATTTGCAGTTCAGAGAACGCCCTACTGGATGGTGGAAACTTCTTTCTGGATCCACCAGAACGATTTTCATCCCATTGTCGCAAATGAAAATATCGGGACGACCCGAGTCGATTCTGCTAGAGTAGCAATAGTGCCACAAGAGACTACACCATTCCGTATCGTGTTTGACTTCGCCCCCAAGCTCAACTTGCCTACACGAATAACCTACCAGCCAATTGCACGAAATGGCTCAGAGATTTTCCGGATTGTTGGGTGCGGACAAGTCTCCGGTCTTCAACGAGCTATTGAGAATGGCACCGCCTCTTTGGGAGATCGTGACGAACAGGGGCGTCCCCTCCTTTATGTAAGTTGAAGCGAAACGGCCTCTGAGCAAAGACTTACCAGAAAATAGTATGCAAACTTAGGCACAAATATTGAAATGTGTCAATTTCTGATCCGATATGGCGCCGATGTCAACGAGTTTGTAGAAGCGGATGAAATTGCAGGGTGAGATTCCTAAACATTTTTTATATCTCTTCCTCCATCGCTGCTATATCGGTCTTTATTCTTCTTTACTTTCCTTTGCTTTGCCTATCGTTCCTCTTTAGATATTGTTATGCTAACTGGGAGTAGTCCAGTATACAGTTTAGCACTGCCTATTAGCATCAGCAGTGAAAAGTCCTTGCGTCTCAAGATGTCTCACTGTCTTAAGGTAATGCTGGACGCTGGCGCAGATTTGTCGCTCAAGTCCAAGAAAAACCTGAACAGCTATAGCATCTTTTATCTCGGACTGCTCTTCTCTTCATTCGTAGGTAATGCCCTGATCGGGGAAAAGCACACGCTAATTCATTCCAGGAAACTTTCGAGCATATGGCACTCTCAAAACAGCAATTTGTTTGCCCGAAAGAATTTTTCGAAGTTGTTAATGGCCAAAAGCGTTATTCTCTGCACCTTCTTGCGGAGCAGTGTGGTTATGGTCTCCTTTTGGAATCAATTGATATCGTTCAAAAAGCGATTTTGATGTTGAAACTCGGCGCGGATATCTCTAGACTGGATTTCGATGGCTGTACCATTCTCCATACGGTTCTAGGTTGTGTTCGGCGTCATCAGATTTCATCAACCAGGCGAGGACGGGATTTTAGGCAACGGATTCGATCACTCCACGAGCCGAAGGAGTTTCTCATAGCTTCTATTACCGCTGGTGCCAATGTATACGCCATTGATGCTAGAGGCCTAACACCATCTGTGTATGCTCGGATGTTTCAGCGCGAAATGGAATGGCTTGACGCTCTCAGGTTGACTGGGTATGATCCCGAAGAGGTTATCGCCCAATCAGATCCCGATTCCCACAATTGTTTTGGCAGGAAGCAAGCATCAAGATTATCTTTTGAAGAATACTACTTGCGCCGCGAACGGGATCTGGAATCCAGGAAATCTACCATTTCTGATGGTGAGGGTGAGGATATCAGTGAGAACGAAGACGACAGTGAAGATAGTAGTGAAGACGAAGACGATAGTGAAGATAGCAGTGAGGACGAATACAGCAGTGAAAAACTGACCGAGGACGACTATGAACAAATGACTGATCATGAGAACGAGAATGAGTATGGGAATCATCTATCTCCTGATGGCAGAGAACATGAAGTGCTAACACAAAGCCTCATAGATTGCTGAAAATATGCCAGACATGTCGCATGAGCCTTGGTGACGGCAATGGCATTACTGATCATTATCGTCCCTTTTTGAGATGATTGCAGCAAATAACAGCGCCTGGACGCGGCGATGAGAACAGCCGTCAATGAGATGATGTTTATTCTTACAGGAAGCCTTTGGAGGGCATCATGGGGGCAGAACTTTCGACTTTGGAAGGAGAGAAAGTACAGGGCGAATTTTGAGTGGAAGACACATGGGTCGGTAAGATTTTGATGCCAGCTTTGTGTGTGATATAGCTTAGAGCTTCTATGTGCACCCAAAAAAAGAATTGCCTCCCCCTTCTTTTCTCACGATCGCCAAACTCCCTCCCTTGCCATCGGCTACGATTCCGCCAACCTGTGGTCATTTCCCTGAGGTCCTAACCACTTCTTGTTACCACTTCTTGCATCGACAGGCGCCTTCAACTCCGTAATGTCTGCAAGCCTGCCGTGCACTGCCGTCCGAATCCAACCCTCCCTAACATCTTCACTTACGTATATGCACTTACGCCAGGCCCCTTTGCAGCTGTTAGGTAGCCACCCCAACCGTGCAAGTGTGGCGCGTTCTCTATCCATCTTGGCCCTCCTAGTGCTACAAAGGCCACGCCCATATCTCTTCGGTATTCCTCCCCTCCCCTCCTCCTCCACGTCAGAAAGCATGCATGACGCCTTTGCATGCGCATGCCAATATATCCTCAGCATCCTCAAGCAATGTATGCCTCGGCCTGCAATAACTCTAGTGCTATAAACCCGCAGAAATGGTTACTGAATAGTCCTGTGGAGCTCGAGCTTTATATTATATTATTAGTATAAAATCTCGGGCTTAAAAGATGTAATTAAATTATTTTTATTTTAATAATTTAAAGATAAAAAAGAAAAAAGAATCTTAAAAAAATCTCGGATTTAAATAATTATAAAATATATATAAGCTTATATACTTATTAAATAAAGTAGTAACACGTGACTCAAGTTAGTATATATATCTTAACTTCATTTCTCGACTTTGGCTTTATATATTTAATTAGCTCTAGCTTAATTCTTATTAAATATTATATTATATAATAATTAGAATAAAAAGAAAAGTAATAAAATAAGCTATTAAGGAAATAAAAGAAAGAGGTATTACTTAAGTTATTTTTATATATCTTATAATTGGTATTATTTAGAGATACTAGTTTCGTCTAGTATTATTCTTAAGTAAAAGCATTAAATATAGTCATATAATATATTATATAAACACAACCACATATAAGGCCAACTAGCTTATACTAATATATATATAACGCAGGCTTCACCTACTTTCATTCTATAAGAAATTAATTAGACTTTACCCTATTTACACGTACACGTGCATCCGTTTAATATCACTCCGTGGCTTGTGTACAAGAAAATGCGCTTCCTAAGTAAAGTAACACCCTGCTCCTAGGCTAGCCAAGCCTCGCCACAAACTCTCCCGCTCTACGAAATTTGTAGTACTATAATCCAAACCTATCTTCCGTGCTCTTGTTTACATATCGCTTAACATTCCACTTAGCTCCCCTGAAGTGAGAAAAAGGGACTGAAAGAAAGGGGGTAATCGTGATCACGTGATAGGACATGCTTAAGTTGCGCATTGTATGTTTAGAATGAACGAATATCGAAAAGGCCGACTTGTAAATCACAAGCTGTAACCATTATTGGAAACTAGTTTGGGCAGGTTGTCAAGTGAAGCGGAAAGATAAAGAGATAGAGCGACTCAATGTATTCCTGCGTCTCAGCTATCTAGCATTCAGCACGAAACTACACTCTAACTCACAAAAAGGAGTGAATATGTATCACGTCTCTACAAGACGTCTCATTAAACCCCTTTCCATCTTTCCAGCAGGGTACGAGCCGTCCTTTATACAGGCGAAGCACAACCAAAACTCGTAGCCACAGTGCCACCCGGTCCAAAAACCTGAATAAGACCCTCGATAGCCGCCCACGTGCCCATACCGGAGCACACCAACCCGCCGAGGAAATACACCACATTAATGGAGTTGACGTGCCAATTAACCATATAGCCCCTCATCCACCTCTTCACGCCGCCATCATGCCTCGTCGTCACTCCCGTATAGGGATCGAACCCCTCTCCGGGCAGCGCAGAATCCACCTGGCATCGATACCCAATATAGAGAATCGCCGGGAACGTGTACGTGAAGTTGAGGATCAACAACGCGCCAACGAGACCCGAGATGCCGTTGAGATTCGGGACGGCGGCCGCGACGATGAACGCGACGATCCAGTAGATGGGGCCGAGAGCATACCAAAGCAGCTTCCCCTTCTTGCTCGTGATTTCCGGCCATCTGAAGACCTCCTGGCAGACCTCGATATATACGGTCTTCATGCCGATATTAAAGTACAGCAAACAAGCCACGAACGCGGTGATCAGGCTCAAGATGTTGTTAACTTGTTGGAGACGGAGAGGTTGGATGGCGTTTCCGATGTTGGAGATGGCGTATTGGCCATAGTGTCCGTACACGAAGGCGCCGAAGAAGATGTACACGACGCAGATGAAGGACTGCGCGCATAGCATGCCTTTCCAGAAATCCCAGGGGTGGCGCATCTCAGCGAGGAAGGCGACGAAGAGGAGGGCGCCGCCGTAGGAGTAGACCATGGAGTTGATGCCGTTGAATTGTCCAGCGAAACCGGTTGCTTGTTGCATAAACTCGTCCGGGGGTGGGCCGGCGAAGGTGCGGATGGGTCCTGGAGGTGCTTTGAGAAGGGTCGATCGGAAGACCGCGTCAAAGTCGATGCCGTAGTTGGCGCAGGCCACCATGCTGGGAATTCGTTAGTGGTCGGTTGGGGAGAGGGGGTGGGGGAGTACGAACATAATCATGAAGCACACGACGTTCATCCAGACGGAGGCATTGGCCAACCAACCCAGACGCTGCAGAGATCGGATCATGCCCAACAACATACCGACCACCATGAAAATAATCATGCAGGCGATAAAGCAGATGCTGTCATTGGCCAACTGGGCGATAGTTTGGCCGCAGGCGAGAATCAGGACGGAGACGGTCATGAATTGCTGCAATGACTGGGTGATGTTGATGAAGTGGCGAGACTTCTTGCCGTATACGCGGAAGAAGGTGTCGCCATAAGACAAGAGAGGGTAGCGGGAAGAGTCGAGGCCCAAGAACACTTTCCAGAGAATCCAGCCGGAGAAGGCGGCGCAGATACCGAATATGAGGTAGAGGGCGATGCCGGGCCCGTAGCCAACGCTGGCAAAGACGAATCTGCCAATTGAGTTAGTACGCGATGATTATTCCAGGATGGAAGACTTACGGGGTAGTCGACCAACCGAGAATGTCAGTGGTGATCAGGTAGAACATAGTTCCCCAGCTGGCAGTTCTCAGTGCTCGCGAAGCAGTCCTCCACTCCTCCTCTGACACGACACCGTCCCGAACTTCAGCAGGAACGACTGCAGCATCATTCTTGTCTTTGTCGCTATCCGTGCTACCCTCGATGTTGCCTCTGGCAGCGGCGAGTGCTGCCTCCCGCCTCTTCTTCTCCTCGTGATGGATACCCTTGGAGAAACGGCCTTTGATGAGCGTCTTGATGCTCGTTGGGCCTTGCATCTCCTTGTACACGCGATTGGCCTCATTCTCCTCCGCACGCTCAATCTTAGCCCAATGGACGTACTCCTCGAACGTGACGGTGCTATCAACACGTGCAGCAAGACCCCAGGTGCGCTGGTAGATGTCGGACTTCTCAGCCTCGGCAGCTATAACTTCTCTGGGGTCGCCCAGAGGCTCGATTCCGGAGGCAGTGGCCATGATGCAATATCTTCAAGCGTTTCCAAGTGCGAAACAAGAGATTGAAATGAGCGCGAAATGGACAGCGATGGAGGGGGAGGGCAGGGGAATATAAATACCTGCAACGGAAACACGCGCAAGCAGCATGCCACAACCCCTCATGCCAAGCATGGATCTGCAACCAGGGTTCTTCGTTTCCGTGATAGGCAAATGAAGAAGCCGTCCCCTCGGGCAAATCGACATGCTGGCCAAGTCCACCTCCCTAATGCGAGTTGGGCTGGGCTTTATCTTCTCTAGCTGCCAGCAGTTGGCAGCGCATATCGATAGGAGGTTTGATCCGTAGGGCGGCAGGACCTCTCAATCTTAAATCCGCGTCGTTTACCTCCTACAATGCGTTAGAGCTGCTCCGCTTTCCTGTGTGACAGCCACCAAACTTCGCCAACCTTTCCCTCGTGTGAGCACTGAGCACCAACCACTTTACGCCCGCCCGCGTTACATCGTATACCCCGAGCCAATGGGGAAGCTGCTCTCTATTCCCAGAGGTCTGGGCGACCAGGGGGCAACAGCTCGACTATCAAAATATCGCAGCGGCTACAGTAGCATTATCCAGACACCTGGACAGGGGCTGGTTAAATCGTGGATGTCGGGTCTCTTATTCGGGTATGGGCATCCATGGACCATGCCGATTCTGTGGAGGTCTGAAGCGACCATTCCCGGCCCCATGATTGGCTGCCCCGTCTCCAGCATTTCCTTCTAGAAGCGGGATGAGCGGGTGGCTCTGGCTTGCCGCCTTGGCGCAGAACACCAAACACCCACGCTGATACATGTAATATACGCCCCCGAAATCCGTCTCAAGAGCTCTTGGCTGAGGGCGACAAGAGAGTAGCAGTGGTGGCAGTTCATCCGGCCTCCTAGAAGCCCAGACGTCAGGAATCGGATAGGCTGAGACCCGAAGCACGACGTCTTCCTTGCCAATTGGCGCATTGCGCCTGTTATCGCAATCGGTATTCCCGGTGTGTCTGTCGCGACACCTGGACACCACGATCCAGGACTCGAGGGGGTGATGCATGATCAATCTGTCAGTCACAACCGCCCCAGGTCGCACTCGCAAAGCAAGGAAGTCAGACGGATGACGGCTTCCAACGGCTGGAGTTACTCCGTGTCACACACGTCGATTCGTGCAAAATAGATTGATGCTCTCGTGCGCCGGTGTCTTTCTTTAGCACATCGTCCAGCATAGGCCTGCCCAATGCGGTAACTAAGTCACTAACCTGGTCCCCGCACAAGAGAGTTTTGGAAGATGGGCGGGTGATACGGGCTGGTTCGGCAGGTAGACTCCACGGCCAGTGCCAAGATCTGAGGGGTAATTGTCGCCTTTATCCGTGATATGGCACTTAGTGCCGCTATCGTCCTCATATATTCCCCCACTCCCATTATCCCCAACTCTCCGCTTGGAAGATCCAGCAATGCTCCATGCTTCCAGCGACGGCAGAGTTGAGCTGCTGAAAATGCTGTAACTCAAATCAAAAGCAGGCCATGTCACCTTGTGAAAAGCTTACCCTGCATTGGACTTATCCTTGGGAAGCAAGCGAGGGCAAGCGAGGCAAGATCGGCGCTAATGGCGGCTGAAGATATGGAACAGGAAGGTGCATCCAAGCATTGTGGCGCTGGTGGCTTTTTTCGCTTCAGCGCTCTCGTCAAGGATTTGACGAGGACGGAAGACGGCACTGGAAACGTAGCACAGAAATGGAAGGTGCAAAAACAAACAAGCATTGTGGCACATACGAACGACGCGAAGTGTGGGGAGGTGCAAAGAGAAGTGTGCTCGTCGGCCGTCCCGTCGCCTACCAATGTCGCGGGCAAAAGCGAAGATAAGTGTAGTGTGAAGAGGCCTCGGCAGGCCGTCCAATGATACCGCCAGACCGAGAGCTGATTGATAAGAATCGCCAGAGGTGAAATGAGAGAGAGAGCTGAAAACTTGATATGTGAAGGACAATTTTCTGGGAAAGGGGGAGGAGATAGGGGTGAAGGGGAGGGCGGAGATTACTTTGTGCTTCAGTCTGCCATTGATTAAGGGCCAGCGCGGGATCTTGACTAGGCAAATCATGTGATTACCAAACCCGATCGCAGCGAAGACGACGTCGACGAAACAGAATTTGAATAAAATAAAATGTATAGAGTACATGGGAAATGGGAAGTGGAGCAAGTGCAGATTCAGAGGCAAGGGCCAATCATGTGCCAAGGCACACGTGATACGGGGTATATCGGTACCTCCACCTAATTCTCTCCCACACCTTGCGCCTTGCATGCATGAACCTCTCCTCCGACCTGTTTATCGGAACCACACCAAAGGCTTGGCTGCTATTCCCGCCTCGGCTCAAAGTATTGCCGGGGACTTGGCAAAGAGGTCGAGCCTGGGGTTCACGATAGTGGCGTAACATCAACTCGGGGTGGAGAACGGGAGAGCAGGTTTCTTAATTCCAAACCACTGGCTAGGCAAATTCTGAATCTCATGAGATGGTCGCCGCAGGGCGAAAGCAAACCAAAGCGAAAGCAAAACAGGCGTCGGAAGGTGACTATCAACATTGACGAATAAAACACGTGATGTAAAGCAAAACACGCGAAACGAAACAGCCAAAGGCAGCCGTAATAAAAGCGGGTAGCAGAACTCCTTACTCTAAACTTCTAGCTCACGAGAACTCTCGAGAGTCACGAGTGAAATATAGCAAGAAGAGAAAAGTACAATAAAGCAAACGACGGCGAAACACCAACTTCAACCAACACAAGCATGGCGCCAAGCAGCCAAACACGGATACGGCCATACGAAGAAAAGTGCACCACAACCTAGCGATAAATTAAGCAAAAGCGCAACACAGCATGGCACAAATCTCCAGAAGAGGCGCCAAGCCCTTTTATATACTGCACTCAAAATAAGGTTTTGACGATCGGGATGATTTCTCCCCCGCTTACTCCGCGTCCCGTCGTGAGTCAACGCCGCGCCGCACGCGGCGTTCGCTTCGGTAGGCTCGGCTCGGCTGTCCCCAAGGGAGAGCGGGCCTTGTCGGGGGTGCCATCAACACTGCGAGAAGGCTACGCAACAGCATGATGCTTGGTAGAAGGATAGAACGAAAGGTGGAGTTTGAGATAATCATTTGGGCGACAGAGGCGACAGAGCACTAGGAGGTTGGAGAATTGATTGTTTTTAAGTCATTGTTGGTGGGAGTTAGGGAATTTTTCAGATGCAGATGCGCGTCTGTGGCACAATATATATCTTTGAATATGGCCGAGATTGGATGGGGGCACGAGTTGAAAATATACTCTACCTCATCTTATTATCTTTGGGGGTTCGTTTTTGGCTCCAATCAACCGTATAGTATGCGAATGAAAGAAGAGAAGTGCACGTTAGCGAGAGGCAAGAGGCCACGGAGGACAGAAAGGGGGGAGGGTACATGGGTACATGATTCGAAGGGTATACGACAGGCGGGGATTTGCGCCATCACACTTGAGGCACGGAAAACATGCACCGACAAACAATATCCGGAAGCAAGGAAACCTTAACTCGACCCCATCCCTCGTCCGGATCATCCGGAGAACCAATAAAATATCCCGTGAAGTCACGGACATGGACCTTAAGTTGACCCCACTCCTCATCCAAGCCATTTTTAGCGCGAGCACAAAAGTCTCCGCAGTGGTGCGAACGCTTGATTTATATCTATATACCCACAGAGTCCGCATTTTGTGTATTTTCCTTGCTGGCTCCTATCCACACTTGAATGCCTCAGACCACACCTTCGTCCTTCTCCAGATCAACTGACACGATGACATCACAACACCAAGTCTGAGTCAAAAGCGGATCTACAGTAAGCTCATCTCATCCCTCGCCTCCTTCTCATCCCAACCTCTCGCTTTGCTGTTGCCTCCTCATAAAGCCATATTTGAATCTCGGAAGCGCTGTGCAACCACATGCTCACAAGAGTTAATGGGACCAATTCGTCCCCCCTCTGACCGAAAGTCCATGTCTTCTGGGTCGAAGTCTGCCATTTGTCACAGCTTGCGTGGGACGTTGGTGAAAGCTTTGAGGGCTGGGAGGAGAGTTGAGTGCAACCCCGGACTCAACGGATTAGGGGTTGGTGTCACGGGCTGTGCAGATGCGTGGTTCTAGGACATGCATGGGCAGCCCCGCGGTGGCGTTGCCAACACAGCCCTGAAACAAGCAATTTACTAGGCACCCGCACAGGCCGTCAGCTTTGCTGAAGCTGGTCGATCTCTTATCAGTTGATACTCCGAGAGTCCAAGACATACATAAAGTGCGGTTAAGGATTGATCAGATGTAGCTTAGCTTCCCACGCGTGGGTGGGCTCAGTTGAAAGCACGGCGCGGCTCCATCCACCAACTATCGCATGATTCTAATATAGACTCATTTTACCAGTTCTCTTGAGCATCCAAGCTTGTTTCACTTACAAGTCTTGTTGTAACATAGTCCATATTATTCTAACTTCGGGCTGTCTGTGCGTCGTCGACGCTGGCTTAATAAAGGGGTTCAACGGCCCAGCTCCATTTCATCACATCTCCAACTTCGGAATCAACCCCCAACTCGCCTGAAAGCTATCCCTTATCGGCGCGACCACAAACCTCTCCACATCCAGCTGAAAGTTCCCATGTGCCGAATTCAATCCCTTAACGCCGGTACCCATGATAACCTGATGCGTAAGACAAGCCTGGACAGCATCATGATAGCACTGCCCCGCCTCCTCAAGCACCTTCCCCTCGCCAACTAGATGCTTCGCCGTCATGAGGTCTAACATATCTTCATCCCCTCCTTGCATTATATCTTCTTGTTGATCTCTCAGTTCTGACAATCGCCGTCCAAGAGCGAGCTCTACGAGCGCGAAGCCGAGACGCGTGAGTACGGGCTCGCCGAAGCATTCCCAGAACGCGGAGGTGGAGGCAGCGTGTGACTGGGCCTTTGGACTGAGACGGCTGTGCGAGGAATAGAACCTTTTCGTCACGAAGATCTGCGACTTGTCGCCTTTCAGGACGCAGAAGTCTTTCCAGGTCCACCACATGTCGATCCATGGCGTCCTGTAGAATTGGAGAATTGCAAGGCTCAGACTGAGAGCTAGATCCATGCGTTTTCTCCGGGTGATTTCGTCTTTGTGAGGTGGGGAGAGGTACTCCTCTAGAGACAAGAGGCTGGGTGGTTCGGAAGAGTAGCCGTCGAGGGAGGTTACTTGAACCTTGTACTTCTTCTCTTTCACGCCTAGAACGCCGAGACAAGAGGCAGGGGCGGGTATCGGATTTTGCTCGCCGAGCGTCTTAATGAAGTTGCAAAGGTCGCCAATGAGACCTCCCTGTTCAAGACCACTGCTTTTGCTGAGCGAGAATGATCGACCACGGGCAGGAGGCGAGCAGCCAGGACTACCGAGCGATGAGGGCATCGTATCACAGCTGCCTCTATGTGACCAACGTCGCTGGGTTGATATGCTGCTTTGTTAGTCTCTGTCTGATATGGGGCTTTTGGACGAAAGATGCGCACCTCATGGTGTCATTTTCAAGATCTATGCTGCTAGCAGTGGGCGAAGTTGGGCCGTCCGCAAACACCTTCGCAATATCTTCATCCACGGGGAACACGATCTCAAAAGGTTGAGTTAGATCTAGATCTTCCGGCGAGTGTGGACCTAGGCTCGCCTCATGTCCTTTCGGGCAGTCGCATTTGTAGCCCTCATTTAAGGCATCGTAAAACTCGTTTGCTTGTGCGGATATTCGGCGGAGGACGTCGTCAGGAAGTTTGGTAGAAGTTTTCGGTGTTCGTCCTTGAGCTGGATACCCAGGGCTCGCGCTGTTGGTAAGAAGTCTCTGAAGTCGGCCATTCAGTTCATGTAGCTTGCGTAGGCTCTCTCTAACAGCCGCTTGGAGGGGTATCGTTTTCACACTTCGAAAAACACTGCGTATTCCCAACCCTGAACGTTCCTATAACACGAGTTAGAAGCATACCCATAATAGGGCGTGGAAAGTAATGTAACGTACCGTAGAGATCGCATGGCTCTTGAGTCTTTCATTCAACGTCGCCAAGAGGTTGTCCATTTCTTGTAGAGTCTTGAGGACTATGGGGGACTTCTCATCTCCCAGACGGCTGCGAAGGCTTCTGTCAAGTGCCGGGTCCTTCCAAAGAGCCTGATTTGGTTTGTCTCTTGTGCTCAGTTGCAGAAGATCAGCTTCGGAGATATCGGATGCGAGAAGATGTCGAACACATTCGACATAAATAATCTCTTCGACTCCGAATTCATCGTATAAAAGCTCCCAATCTTGGGCATTATTTGCACCCTTGTATAGTTGAAGAACTTGGACGATCAAGGGATATGCCCTTAATACCAACCCGATTGCCTCAAATTCAGACATGTTGTATTAATATCGAATAATTGGAAGTTTGAAAATTTTCTGATCCGAGAGAAGCGTTACCTCAACAACTTGTGAGATAGTCGACAAAGATGAGTGTAAAGGCCGACGGCCCTCCGGCAAGAAGCAGCACAGAAGACACAGAAGGAGGTAGGGTGGTAGGCAGCATCCCGCGCAAAATCTGCCTCGACGACCCCACGAACTGTGAGGCTTGCCGCTTGCATATGCAATAATAAATGGGCACACCCTCTTCCCGTTCCCGCAGCTTCGCCCGGCTTCTGACCGATGGCCTGGCACAAGTTTCTGAGATCTCAGAAACCACAGGAACTGATCCAATGAACGAAATCACTTAAGTCATTCTGTGCATGCAGGTGGCCTCATGTGCGACCGCCCAGGATCTTTGTGGGAAGGAAACGAACCACTTTTTGTGTAAGGCTGAGTTGGGTCGCGGCAGATAAGAGTCGAGAGGCGACCGAGGTAACACGAGCTGACGAACCATTGTCAGCTTCGCCCAACCACTGAGAAGTTCTTTTTTCACGCGAACTTCAGCCAAGATACAAGATAATACAGAAGAGGGGCAACTGCCCAATGATTATAACGAGACCTATCAGGGCTGAAGCCACGGGCTTCTTAAGGCTCTCCACTTTGTTGCTTGCCTTTTGTGCAGTAGACACAGCCTCACTCAGCAAAGATTCAGTCTTCATCTCCCCCGCTCTCTTCGTCCATGATATACCGGTACAATATGCTTTGCGTTGAACTCTTTTGAGTAGTTGCACGAGAGTCGAGATAATCAAGAATGGCACAACGCAATCAGATGTACCAGGCCTTGAGACGCCGACAGAAGCCTGTTAGCAATCCCCAAATAGCACCCATCGCTGCACTATTTGAAGATTGTCGCCAAAATTTTGAGCGATTGTGTGTTACTGCAAGAGGAGTCTCGAATCCCAATTCAGGAGTTTTGGATCCCAATTCAATTCTGATAGAAGACAATTATGGAAAGTTCTTGGCATGGGGAAACGACACGGGGGCTTCATCTCGATCACTTGATCATACATTACGAAAAGACTACGACCTCTCAGTAGTGACCTTGGACTTGCTGAAGACACTGTACGAGAAGCTCAACCAAGGTATGCCACCGAAGTTTCTGTCCTCAGTTCCCTTCTTTTCCGGGAACGTGATGCTAACTTTCCGTTTCCCAAAGGAATCGACAGAATTCAAAGGACAGCTGAGGCTACCATTGAGTTTGATGAGTTAGAGAATGAAGCTCTTGGGTCCAGTCTTACCTCAACCAGCGATGGATTTGCTTCGATGAAGACAGAAACGTCCCACGATGCCAAAGTGTCCCAAATCCTTCAGTACATTGAGGGTCTCGTGGGATGTCTGATGAAGCTAGCACCGAATCTGTGTGACCCATTTCCTCTCGACACCTACTCCAGAGATGCGAAGCCAAATGATGCCGACGAGGACATTAGCTTGGCCAAGATCTTGTTTCCCACGGCGACACAATCCCTACTTGATAGGTTGGCATGGGCGAACTGCAGACGACGGAAATACTTGCAAGATCTGCAACAAAGGCGTCAAGAGACGTCATACAGTGCTCTGAACATCAGGGACTACAGGCGTAACAAGAAGTCTCCGATGAGAGATGTCGCAGTTGATGCTTTCAACTTCCAGAAACCAGGTCAAATCGAGGACAAGCATCTGCAATCTCCGAAGCCTCGATTCCGTCCGACGGCGAGCTACTTTGCCCCTCGCGCACCTAGTGAGGCAGGCGCGTCGTCGATTATGGAGAGTGTGTTTTCTCGTCCTACCGCCGATTTGTCATCGGCTGTTGGAACATCAATCCCGGATGTGGAGGTTGTCTTCAAACCACGAACGGTTCCCAGGTTGCCAATAGCCTTGGAAGGGGAGCCTGGCCGCAGTTTCTTGTGCCCCTATTGCTTCGATGACCTCGAGGTTGGCCTCAGCATCGCAACAAAGGATGACTGGAATCTTCACGTCTTTGCCGACTTGGAGCCATATATGTGTACTTTCGATAAGTGCTTGAGGGCGGAAAAGACTTTCGCAATTCGCGACGAGTGGTTCAGGCATGAGTTGGAGAGTCACCGAATCCTTAAAGTGTGGGTGTGTCACTCATGCGTCAAAGAATTCAGTTCCGCCCAGGCGTTTGAAGAGCATCTTCAATTGAACCATGGCAATATTTCAGGCCCAAGTCAGATGGCCATGATGATACAATTATGTGTGAAACACTCGCAGATTCATCCCAAGGAAGAAGTCTGCCCGCTGTGCGCCTTGAAGCTTTGTGTAGAGGAAATGCGGGATCATATTGCTAGCCATCTTCAGCAGTTTGCGCTGACGTCCATAAATGGAGATGAGTCGTCTGAAGAAGATGACAGTGATGACATCCAGTCTGTAAGGTTCCCCGAAGATAATGAATCGGTAGTGGGACAGACCAAACTCAAGATTTTGGAGGACTTCGTGGACGAACAATTGGGTTTCGTTTTGCCGGACAAGAAAGCTGTAGCAGACACAAATGTGGAGGAATCAGTACTTGATTTTGTTCTGGACTCAGATGACGAGGAAGAAGAGGAGGAAGGCCATGCAGGGTTATCTAGAAAGCAACGGGTCGAAGAAGCCAGAGACTGGAAGCTAGGAAATTATCTAGAACATCGCTCTGGAAAGATAGCTGGCGCCAGCAACGACCGGAATCGCTTCAGTAAATCCCCGATGAGAGGGGGAATGGATGCAAGGATGCAGAATCCTCATCTCTCAAGCTCTTCGACGAGCGTTCGGACAAAACTGCGAACGCAACCGCACCCCCGAGAAGATGATTTCGTGGGCAGAGACGGCGACCTCGCAACGATGTACCGGGTACTCTCCACGGCAGGTCGGATCTGTACAATATGCGGCACAGGAGGGATCGGGAAGACGGCCACCGCAATCGAATACGATCATCGATATGAGAACGCCTACTCATACATATTTTGGATCCAAGCAGAGACTCATGTCGGAACTGCAGACACATTCAGCCTCATTGCCACGGTTTTAGGTCTCGCTCCGGACGGTGAGGAGCAGAAACAATTGATCGAGCTAGGACGCGAATTCCTAGAACAGACAGAGAAGAGATGGCTGTTAATCTTTGATAACGTCGAGAAATGGACAGATATTGAGGCGTACATACCAGTAAACATGCCGGCAACGCAAGGATCAGTTCTTATCACAACTCGACTCACGGATCTGGAGCCAACACCAATCCCTACGAACTATTTTCGAATCAACTTGAAAGAGATGACCCCGGATGAGCTTCAATCTTTGCTGATCCAGAGTTTGCAGCCCAGTCTGAAGCATGAGAAAGTCCGCTTCCACCCGGAGTGGAAGACTGCTGGAGAGATTGCAAGTCTGGCAGGACTACCCTTGGCAATAAGCCAGATCGTCGGATACGTGAAGACGTCTGGATGTACTCTTGCCGAGTTCTTGGAATTGTGGAATGAATGGTGGAAAAACAGTGTTTCTTCTCGACCAACTGGTGCTTCCTCAAATGCGGCACTCGAAGCTATCTGGGATATTGGGTTGAACGAACTAGGGAAGGATGGGCTGAAACTTCTCAAAATATTGGCCTTTGTCGATAGCGATGGGATTCAAAAAGAGTTGCTGATGAATGACCACACGTTTCCTGGCCTCGCATTCCTCAAATCTTCAACACAAGTCCGGTGAGGCGTTGTCCCTCTCTCAACGTCGTGCATTTTAAATAGACGTGCTGACTATCAATCCAGTTTCCGGAACATGGTCACTCAGCTCACCGAGAGAAAGTTAATAACAGTCAGACAGCAGAACGGTCGGGATATATACTCTGTCCATCGACTTTTGCAACACCGACTGTTGCAAGATCTTGCTGAGAGTCCAAAGGAACGAGACGAAACCTTCGTCCTTGCCTTTGAGCTAATTCGGGAGCGACTTCCGAAGCCATCTGGCGTCCATGATTCAACAAAGTGGAACGCCTTCAAGGAGTACCTGCCCCATGTCTTGACCCTGCAAAGAATATACGTGGATGCTGTCCCACCGATTGCCCCGTTCCTGGGACTGGCAAGTCTGTTTAAAGATGGTGGTGTGCACTTGTGGCAGCGTGGGATGATCTATGATGGGCTTCGACTGCTCAACTCAGCTGAAACGATATTGGATTTACTCGAATGCCAAGAGGATCAGATGAGAATAGACATCCACATCGCGATCGCTCTTTTGATTCAGTACTTTGGAATAAGCCACCGAAAAGAGAGCAAGGAACGCTTCTGGAAGATTTTGCAAATTCGGAAAAAGGCAGCTTGGGCCAGCACCAACACATCACTGCCAACGAAAGAACACGGACTACTGGTGTGTAACGCTCTTGCTGATTATGGAAATTGCCTTCTCCAATTCAATAATTACAAGGAAGCAGAGCAAATTTATCAAGAGTGTTACGTGAAGTACCAAGTTTGGGGAACGGAGGACGAAATCCCTTTTGAATACGCAAAGTTCAACCATCATATGGCCCTTTGTCGGATGTATCACAAGGATTTCAAGGGCGCCCAGAAGCTAGCGGAGAGGGCAGTCGAGCTTGTCTCGCGGCAACCTGGATCACCTCAACTAACGCTGAGGTTCAAATTTGATCTGGCAACGATCATCACACAGAGTGGAAATATCGAAAAATCGCTTGAAATTCAAGAGCAGATCTTGAAGGCACGACTTGTTCTGCAGGGAAATGGCAAGACCAACTATTTTACCCTGCAGAGCTACTATGCTGTTGGTGCATTGTATGCACAACTGAAGAAGTGGGATGAAGCAGAGTAAGTACTATAACTTTTCCCCACATATTCAGAAGAAATCGAAACTGATATCGAATAGAGTGAACTTGAGAACAGCTCTTATGAAGGCAAAAGAACGAGCAGACAAGGGGTTCTGGCCGGAAGCAGCGGTAGCACGAACAGAGTTCCACCTCTCCCAGATCATAAGGGGGAGAGGTAACGACTCGGCAGAGGCAGAAGGATTGGTGACAAAGGCAAGATCTGTCCTCTCGAGGCTCCTGCCGTACGATCCACTGGACGGAGTGGCGGCGGAGGATGAACTTGCTTTGTTTGATCATTTGCAGCCTGTCTTTGGGGGGCGTTTTACAGGAGTGTCTCTTCTGAAGTATATTTTGTAAACCATATGCTACGTCCTGCTGGGGTTCATGGATAGCTGGAGTTGTTTGGGTAGCGTTAACCTTCATATGTGGGGGTACAGGATGGATATTATTTTTCTTCGCTTTTTCTCGGAAGGTAGGGATGGATGACCATTGTTGGTTAAAGATGGAGGGCGAAGGGGAAAATGAGGGGAGAAGCATACTTCGTACTAAACAGAGCAATGAGAAGCAGACAGATTGGAATTCCGGATAACCGTGGTAGTCTCTGTTTCCGCAATCGCTGGTAGACTGTCTCCTCGAAACTAGCCCTTGTACTAATTCTGGGAACTCTAAAGCTTATCTTTACCAATAATGGGAGCTTCTTTCACGTGTGCCATAGCTTAGTTATAGGCCAGTGGCACCTAGCGGCGCGCTAAACGCGCGCGACCAGTATAGCTCCTTGCTCTATATTACGTAAATCGCGTAAGTAAACAAGAAAATACTCTTAAGTAATATATTACAGCTTATTTATATATAAAGCTATATTTATTTTACTCTTAAAAGAATTCTAAGAACTCTAAGCCTTACTTTTATTTACTTAAAATAAATATACTTTTTTTTCTTTTTATATTAAAATTATAATAAAGCTTAATAAAAATTAAGAAAAATTAAATAATTAGCAAGTTTGAAATTAAAATAATAATAAGAATTTTTTTATTTAAAAAGATATTATTATAATATTAATAATAATTAAATAATATATAGTTTAAAGGTATTTTACTAATATTAAATATTAAATAAAAGTAATATAAAATTACTTAAAATTATAGTTTTTTTTAAGTTTATATTAAATTTTTAATTAAGGAATTTAATTCAAATGTTTTAATATCTTTTTTTAAATAGTTATTAAAGTAATTATTAAAGTAATTATTAAAAAAGATTTAATAAGAAATATATATATATTTCTTTCTTCTAAATTTTTAGAAATAAAATAATTACTTTTTTTTAATAATCTTATTAAAATATTATTAGCCTTAAAAGTTCTATATTTATTATAATTAAGAATATACCAAATTCTTAATTCGTTTTATTTATTTCCGGAAACATTAATATTTATATTTTTAGCTAGGTTATTTCCTTATTTATTACTTCTTAAAATAATATTTCTCTAGTATCTTATATAAAATGGCTTTTTTTTTTTAGCTCTAGCTTATTTCCGAAAAACATCTTTAATTATTTTTACTTCTTTTCTCTTTCTCTTTAATAAAAAACCCGCTATAATATTATTAGAAATATTATTTATTAATTTTGAAACCTAAAGCATTAGTAATTTCTATTAAGGAAGAATATGGCCCCAAGTTTTAAAGACACTTAAAGAGGAAAATAATGCAGTCCGGGAGTTACTCCGGTATAAGGAGAGGGGTATAAACACTCACGTTTTAGCTTCAGGATTTTATTGCTTATTAATGTGTATTAGCCTGGTTACAATATACTATTCATAGGAGATATACAATAATTAATAATGATCTAGCTCGTTAAAGCTCCCTTCAGCATCCAAAGCCAATTCTCAAACTCAGTCCCGCTTAGCCTTTGAGGTGTCTCTACAGAGAGTTCTTCAGCTGCCCGTTTCATCTTTATCGTAGTCGGGCTATCATCTCCCTCAATCAGACGTCGTGCGTCGTATGTCCTTTGGGCGAAAACCCGAGCCCTCAGTTTATCCCCGTTCTCAGTAGCAATTTCATATGCATCGTTATATGCTCGAGGGATAAGCCCATCCCAGATCCCCTCTTCGCCAAATAAAAGGAACATTGTGTGTAAAAGATTGAGCGCCATCTCTGGCTCTAAGCCGCCCCAGAAATAGCTACCGACAGCCTTATCAATGGCTTGAATTTCCCTCAGCCGGGTGTCACTACGCTCTCGCTCGGTTCGCGGTAGTAAGCAGAGCTCGCATTTACAGTCGAACTTGAACTTTTCCTGTAGAAAACGCTGCCGCTCTGTATATACTGGCGTGGTCGGTAGATACGTAATTGTAATCTCTTCCCCCTCTTTAATATCTTGGAGTGCATGGACGGTAAGCCGGCTAATGTTCTCATTCCATGTATTCTGCGAGTTATGCCGGCAAGAGTGATTAATGAGAGAGGCTTCAAGGAACAAACCGCCGGAGCTGGTATTGGAGCCGAGAGGAAGGACGTTCGTCCTAGCAATACCGAGAGATCGACTGTGAGCATTTCCATAGATATTCGTTAGGTCGAAGAAAGAACGCTGTTGGTCCACATTGAGGCGCTCAACCTCGTTTGCAACGATTCGTTCTAAAGAGTTGATATTAGAATTATCCCGCGGAACTCTGAAAATAGGGGCCTCTGATAGTATGCGAGTGCCCTTAGGGATCTTGGTTATAGCAACGAGCCCCTTTCCCTTTCCAGCCATTGCCTTGACAGTATAGAGTCCACCTACGGACTCAATTCCCTTGGCAGACGATGTGGTGAGTTCCTGATTCTCTTCCACCTCGCCCACCGGACCAAGAGCTGCGGCAGTATATGCCATGGCTACTACGGGCTGCTTGTGGAGTGGAGAGTCACGAATGTGCTGGGATCGAGATTGAGAGTCCCCGAAGCGTTTGCCGCAATCGCAAAGCACTTTCCTGGGATTTTTCTTTGGCATCTTCGATGCGAGAGTGGGTTTCGGTGTAAGAGGCAACCTAGATATTTGCAGAGCGTGCTAGCATGAACTTGCGGCGCTAGATTGATTGTTGTCAAGGCGATGATGTCCTTAATGGAGCCTAACCTAAGCGTCAGCGGATGAAAACGTGTTGCCCCGCAACAATGCATACTAATAGCAAATCGTGTGAGTTTCGGTGTAAGAGGCAACCTAGATATTCGCAGAGCGTGCCAGCATGAACTTGTGGTGCCAGATTGATTATTGTCAAGGCGATGTCCTTGATGGAGCCTAACCTAAGTGTCAGCGGATGAAAACGTGTTGCCCCGCAACAATGCATACTAACAGCAAATGGTGTGGTGTGTGAGTCCACGTCAGTGTATCCCGCAGAGCCACACAAGCCACAGGTCTACCTCACGGTCCTTAAAAAAGTGAGGTATAAAAATCAGCGACACCCATTTCGCGTTCTACTGTACCGTGCTCCTTTCGCCACTTTTGCAGCCCTTACGGACTCTGTCATCGATAAGGTCATCTTTGAATTCGTCAGCAGTCTTGCAAGGGGAGGGCTAGAAATTGGAGCGGTTCGTCGTGTTAAGCAGAGCGCAAAACAGTTTGAGGGGAAGGCTAGAAGTGAAAGCCGGAAGTGAAAAGTCTGATGCCAAAGGAGCCGAAAGTTCGACGCGACAAAAGCATTTTCTTAATCCAAAGTAAAAATATGTTGGCTGCCACTTTTAGCTAGTCGGAGGATGTCGGGAGACAGGAATTTTCCGGTATCCGCCCGTAACCAGTCACAAGCTTCGCATCCACACGTTTAGTAGCCACAGGTATTATTTACATAAAAAATTCTTTTTTTTACTGAAATTACTGTAACCACGATGCGGCTGACCAGGATTCCTGATTGCTTGACTAGAGGAGGTATCCCCGGGGGAGGCTTGACGGGGATAGAGTTACTAAAACAGGTTAGAAAAGTCTATATCCTCTTGCGAAAATGGTTATTGATCCGATTAGGCTTTTCCTGGGAACGCCGACCACTAATCTGCGTTCTCCTATACAAGTTGATGCCTTGATGCGGTTATAGAGCAGGCTTAAAGCTTTATTAGTTTACTAGGAAAGCTAGTAACACGAGAATTATACTAGTTAAATCACAAAATAATTAATATGGCACCTTTTCGGAATATCCTGGATATTGAATTGGGATCTTAATATCTGGTTAAGTCAAGGCTTAATATAGAAAGCTTTATTATTACTTTGGTTACTATATGAATTCTTTTTTATTACTTTAATAATAGTAATATAATTAGAAACCTTGAAATAAATCTTTCTTATATTCTAAATATATAGATATATTAAATAACTATAAAATACTTAATAATAATAATATAATTATACTTAAATATAAACTTATTTAATACTAATAATATTAATATAAAATTTATTAACTCAAGCTATAATTAAAGTAATATTAATAAATATAAAGCTTTTCTTAAAATAGCTAATAGATAAGAAACTAAAAACTAAGCTAATAAACTAATAAATAAAGAAATACTTATAAAGTAATTATAAGAAATAAACTAAAGCAGGTTTAATAATATTAAAGCAAGAATTAAAATTACTAGTTTATAAGGCACGTAATAATAGAGTAATATATAAGTAATTAAGGTAAATAAGCTATAGAATAATACTTATAAATATAACTAATTCCAAGAATTAATTCTAATAAAAGACTAATTAATATTTTTTTCTAAAGCTAGAAATATCTCTTTATATATTTCCTAATATTTAGCTAAATATATAAAGTTCTTTATTTAATTAGGAAATATAATTCCATATAATTTATATAATTCTAATTATAAGCTTTATTTAAAATAGGAAACTAGATTTATAATATCTAATATCTATTTATATACTATTATATATATATCTATTATATAGTTCTAATATTATTATAAATAATACTAATAAATAAAGTAAAAGAATTCTTTTAATTCTTATATTAATTAATTAAATTACTAATATTAAAAATTATATAAATAAAAAAGAAATAAAAGAAGCTTAACGTCCGTCCCTATATAGCGGAAAACCCTACATGCCGGAAAAAATAATAGGTACTTTGACTTCAAGCATCTTAAAATCTGTACACACCTTAATATCTCCTATATTTTCTTATAAGTTATATTTTGTAGCCACTCCCGGACACCCTAAACACCTCCCACTAGAAAATCACATTCCCATCGTCGCTCTCACGCTTGATTTATAAAGAGTCTCCTCTTATAGCATAACAGACTTCCTCTACCACAGCTCCACCACCGAGCTCTTACTATCCCTAATACTTGTAAAGCGGTCTTATCTAACCTCTAAGACCTCACACCTATGCAGGAAATCGTTATCAGCCTTGTGGCTGCTATGGCACGCAAATTCATACATGATCGCCACACGGATCTGTACCTCGAGTGGAGGGGACTAACGATATTTGGGTTAGAGCAAACCGATTTTTGGTTAGAGCAAAACGACCCCGCACGTCCTATAATATTTACGCTATAATTTCATTTATGAAGCCTTAGGCATAAAGGGCAATTGTGGCTGGAGGTACTATGGCCTGCTGCGCCCCATCTAGCTTAGTAATGACTTCAGTACCTCGTGTAACTGGCGTAGTTGGTCTAGGCACGAAAATCACGAACAAAATCTTAAATATAACAGACCCTGTGTCCAAAGTCGTATTCAAGCCAGTAGCGACGGAGCTTTATTAGTCACTCTATAACCAGAGACAAACTATTCAAGCTCTTATTAAGCACTACTTGAGGCTCAGTAATCGAGAAACCTGTATTGTCTATATAGAGAATCAATAAATTTGTAGCAATTGCTTGCTATTAGGTGAGAAGGCTACTTATTTTTTCTAGGCATTGGCGGGAGCACACTTGCGCCTTGTTCAATGCCCATAAAAGACCGAATTGAAATTATAGACCTCGTGTCTTTTTGCTCGTACACAGCACGGGTACCACTGATTGCCAAATGAGGTTCAACCATGCCGGAAACGATAGAAGAACCAGTTGTAGAATCGTGAAATATGGACATTGTGGTGTTGGGACAGTAGGGTTGTCACAAATTTAGTATAGTTAACAACCTGTGACGGTATAAGAGCACGAATGAGGTCGTATGCGATTTGGGCAAAATGATTGTTTATAAAGAGATAAGAGATCGTAAGGAGAGCTCTGACTTAAAGTATTGTGTATAATAGTACACAAGTGAGACTATTCACAACGTATAAAAGTCACGTAGCCATCCCTTTACGTTATCTAGGACCATGATACAACACGAAAACATATCGAAGGGAGCCCCTTCCCACATAAGCTCCGACAGTTTGGAACAAGCTTCAGTCCACACCCAGGAAATTTTCTCTCCCCTCAAGTCCTCGCATGGACTTGGATACTCCTTGGACTGCGAATTTCTTGGGCGAATTCTCATGGCCGAAATGAGCAGATTTGGGTCAATGAGATCATATAGCGATGTTCCCAATAAATACAATTTCTACGGCCGCAAATCTAATTCAAGTTGGTCAATACTATTTTCAAATACTTCAGCTGGGGTATTCTTACGCTGCAGTTGCGGCAATCACCTCGATCATTTTAGCGGATGTTGATATCATAAGCGCAGCGGCAAAAGTTATAGTGAAACCAACCATAACGCCGATCCTATTGAGAGTGTTCTTCACAAAGTATAGTGCCAGAATGGAACCGAGTGGGAGTATGGCTGAGAGAGCCAGAATGGCCATATTGCGGAGCATCTTGATCAAAAGGTCGGCTCGTGAGAAACGTCTCATGCTACCAAACCCCAATTCCAAATCTATTTGCTTACTGGCTTTTTTCTTCAGCTATTGCCAATATTATCAGTTATATGGCTTGTGTGACATATCCATAGATCACTCACAAAGTCAGGAGCGGTGACGAGCCTGGCGAGTGGCGAGACTAATTTTGAGAGCGATTTCTCGAGAGGAGTCTCTTCGCGCTGTTCCGTCAATATGACTAGGTCAGAACGATCCTTCGTGCGAAAAACGTCGATTTTCTCCAGCGGATGAAATGCCTGTTTGAAGTCCTCTTCTAAGGCATTAAGGAACTGCAAGTCCGAGAATGATAGTCGACCTAATCGAGCTACATCTTTAGCGCGCAATAATGTCTCATCTATTAACTGAGTTAAGAACTATTTCGCAGAGATTCATATGAACACTTACAGTACTCCTTCATTGTCTCTTTCGTTTTCAGGATTTTCTTTGCTCGTTGTTCATTACTCTCGGGATTTCTCAATTCTTGTTCAAGCCTAATCAATTCCTCTTCCAACTCGGACAAGATGAGCATATTCAGGGTTTTGAACTGCCGGAAAATGGCATCTTCTTGATATATTGCCATTAGCTCTGCCCTCTTAAAAAGCCTCTCTGTCTCCTCTCGCAAATCTTTCGTGGAGGGGGCCAGATCATCTTGCCCAACTTTCTGCGCCGTTCCAGCCTGCTCGATCTTCTTCACCTCATGTTCGTTCTTCTGCGCCATTTCTGGGCGCTCAGGCAGATCGTCAGTCTTCTCCTGCGTCTTCTTCCGTGTCGCGTTGATGCATTCCAGCTTCTCAGGCTGCTCTACCGAGCTCGATGCCTGCACGTTTTTATCACCCTCCACCTCCCGTATCTCGTCCTTAGGAAGTTGCTCTTTACCCATTCTCGTTCCCGCAACAACTTTGATCAATTCTAATATAAAAGAGGAAATGGGAACGGAAATGCGCGAGTTTTAAGAACTGAGGAAGCTGAGCTGGCGATCGGCGATCAGCAAGCCTAACCGCGAGGCCTCTGGTATCTTGGCCAAAATACCGGGCGGTGAGCCATTCTGCCCACGGGAAATTAGCGAGCGTCGAGAGCAGGGGTCCAAAATACCGCGTCCAAAATACTACAGTCGGTCCGATCCAAAAGCGACAAAAAAAAATAAAAACCACCACAATACTAATTAATATAAATCGTATTAATTAAAACTATACTATATACTATAGGAATTAATTCTATGTTCTCAAAATTATAATATCTTTATTATTAAGGAAGTTATAATGCACGTGATTAAGCGAGCAAATATTTTAGCGTTTTATATAGTCGTTTTTTTACTTTGGTTGTCACGTAACTGCCCCCCTCAGTTGACCGCTCTTCTATAATTATATTAATATCTTAATAACCACAAACCCAATTCAGTGCCCCTTTTGTATACTTCCAATGGCTACCTCTGTAAGCCTTCAGAAACGCAAGCGAGCTGATTCGACTCTTGATTCAATTACAGTTCTCACTATAGCTAAAGAAGCTGCAATCCAAGCATCTATTAACGAACGGCATGGGAAACCCTCTAATATAGAGGACGATTCTAATAAATCAGATATTAAACAAAACAATAAAGTAGAGCTTAAAGATTCGACTCTCTTTTGGGCTTAGTGAAAGCTTATTATTAGTAGTAATAAGACGATTATTTTGGAGAAGCCTATATTCGTATAGCGAGAGCAAAGACTCACAGAGCAGGCTAGTAAGTTTCTTATCTTATTTTATTATAATATAAGTATATTAATATTATTTCTAGCTTCTAGAGGCTCGTTGTGATAGGCACACGTGATGGCGCATGGACAGGTGTCAGATGTCGTGGATCTAGTTTCCTATTTTGGGTACAGCTTGCGATCGGAATCGTATGGATCGCATGGGATTTCCTAATTAAGTAAAGGGCTTCGCATGCCTGGCTAAGCACTAGGGAATATATAGGGAGACGCTCCTAGCTTTGGAAGGGGCATCGATTAGTCTCTTGTTGGAATCAATTCTTGGAATCAGTTACACTTGCAAGCGTCACTCCGCAGCTTACTTACCTTGACTACTTGTGCATCACCCTGCTATTACGTGCCTTACACTCGTATATTCCCAAATTAATAAAAGAATCAGTAAAGCCATTGAGAACTCAACAAAAACATATATATAATTAGAGGGCAAAAGATACTCAAGTTACAGAGTAATCTAGTAGGCTTAAGATCCCTATAATCGTACCATCTTTTAAATAAAAGAAGCTATAATTCGATATTATTAGAAGATCAATTAATATCCCTAGGGATATGCAATTAAGGGAAGAGCAAAGGCTTGAAGATAAAGACAATGGAATAAACGAGCTACTTTTGGATGCCCTTATTAGAAACGCTTACGGAGATAACGAAGCTCTAGACATACGAATGACTTACCAAGAAGTCCTTAATAATATGGATATTAAGCTAGCTCAAACCAAAGAGCTATATACTCTATATATAATCGCTGACTTATACTTACTCCGGCAATATACCTAATAGCTTCTAAAGCTAGGGTAATATTGACTTGGAAGGGTTAATATATCGCTCTTAGTAGCTTCCAGTAATCACCGCTTAAACGATGGAAAGATACTAGCTCGGCGAATTAGGGGGCTATTTAATTACTATTAATAGTGGCATGGTATTCCCCAAGAAACTAGGGGTAATAAAAGAGAGAATACCTCTTATCTGGATAACGAGGATATTTTTTTAGCCTGCCATACTTGGTTAATTAATCAAGAGCTTGGAACGATATTACCAAACGATTTCCTAAATACCGTTAATCAGGAGATTTTACCTCGATTATTATCAATAATAGAAAAGCCTATCGCCCGCAGTATAGCTTACTTATGGCTCCCTAGGCTCGGCTTTTATTACTATGAGACTAAGAAAGGGCTTTATATAGATAGATACAAACGCCCTAATATAATTAAGTATTATCAAGAGATGTTTTTATCCTTAATAAAGGAGCTTTTATTATATATAGTTTAATATAAGGAGGATAAAGCTAGTATGTAGTATACGATTTAACCTTTACTTCCAATTAGAGTTCAGGTATACGTAATATACTTCTATAATAAGAGCTATTTCTATGGATTTGACTATAAAAAGAGCCTCTGGCTAGTAGATAATCAGCAAAAAATGCCCGGAAAGAGCAAAGGAAGGCTAATTTACAATTCTGAATTTATAGGCCCTGAGGGGCGTATTAGGGTACCAAATAATAAAGGCATTTTTATCCCGGATAATCCTAATTTGGATGCCTATCAAATTATATATCCAGGCTCAAATAGGGACCCCTGGTGGGATACAAAATAGCTACTGGTACAGATTACTAGGACGCTCGATATATTTAAACAGAAGCACCCAAACTATATAGCTGTTCTAATATTTGATCAGTCTTCTATATATGCTTCGCATAGCGAAAATGCACTAAATGCCTTTGGTATAAATAAGGGATCAGGGGGGGTTAAAAAGGGTAATATTAAGGCCTATAGAAGGGATATATACTTTCTACCAGAGTATACGATTCCGGGGTTACAGGGTACTATTCAAGTCCTTTAGTAACTTAATTCGAATAGAGAAAGAGAGCCTAAGGGCATAGAACAGATTCTCATTAAGCGAGATTATAATATCCCTGGCTTAAGATTTAAGTGTCCAAAGGGTACTAAGTATACTATACCCCTTGAATACCCTCCCGCTATCGAACAAACGTACTATTTAGCTCGTATACTATCGAATTACCAAGACTTCTTTAAAGAGAAGTCCCAAGTTAAAGAGCTTATTACAGATCGGGAATATAAGGCTGTATTTTTACCGAAGTTCTACTGCGAAATCAACCCAATCGAGATATACTGGGAATATAGCAAAACTCGATATCGTTAAGTAAAGAAGACTAGCTTCCCAGATACCAAGATTAAGGTGGTAGAGGCACTTGAAGCTTATTCGATTAAGACTATACAGAGGTTTTGTAACCATACATTCCGCTAGATAGATATATATCGGAAGGAATTAAGTATTAAACAAGCTGCTTAGTATATACGGAAGTAAAAACGCCATAGAACAATATCTAAAAAGGTAATGGATAAATGGGATAATATATAAAAGTAAGGGAAAGAAGGTAGCTAAGTAATAAGTAAGGTTTATGGATTTAGTTCGGCCAAAAATTAGCTTAAAACCTGTATAATTAGGGACCTACTATATATATAATATATATAGTACCAGAAAAAGCTATATTTAGTATTTAGGAAGGCTTACTTGAGCTTATAGGGCTTAATTATTATTATTATATTAATAATAAGGCTGGTGAGATGCCGCGATCTCCCCCTGAAGCCCGGGCTTACGTGATCTTAGCGAGCAAATATTTTTGCGTTTTGTATAGGGAAAAATCAAAAAAGTAAAAAGGGTCCGTGTACTTTAAGCCTCGATTATTAATGAACTACAAATTATATTAAAAATCTAATTAATAGGTATTTTTCGCCTGGTTCTATTCTATAATCGCATTACTTAGTATAAATTAATTAGGGTTGTGGTTAAAAAGTTATTATGGGCGTAAAAGAGCGACCGTTTTGTCGCTTTTGGATCGGACCGACTGTAGGGCAGGGTGAGACCCTCATTTCCCCCTAACTACTATCCCCGCTCCAAGTCCCGAAGCAGTTGTATCCCTGGTCACGTGATATAATAACATGTGACTCAGTTCAGAGCTCCAAGTGAATAGCCGGGTCTGTGCCGTTCCCAGGCCATCGCCCTCACTCGTCGTGATTTGAGTGCTGGATGACGCTTCTGGAAGCCCCGAGGCTAGTTCTTGCCTGGAGGCTTGGTCGCTTTATTCGTCGAACACTGGTAGGCGATACTAAAGGCGAGGGTAGGTAGGCACTTGATTCGCATAGGATTCCCGAGTCAGCTATTAGTTTTAAATACTTTTCTAGGGCTTTCTCCTCCGACGGAGTGAGATATAGTTGGCCTTCGGCCTTCGCTTCTCTCGAGCGCCCTATGATCGCGATAATAAAGGGTAGTCAGAGGGACTCCACTGCGTTTTGATCTGGCATCGTATGTTTGAGGCTCTCCCGGTAGGGAGGCCTCTGCAAGGGCTTTACTGGCGCGGTCGCTCATAAAGCATTACCTCCGTAATACGGAGATGGGATGGGGATTGCAACGACTGAGCGGCTTCGTGCAGAAGCAGACACGTACGTGGCTGCTCATAGAAACTTCCAGAATAACGCCACATTTCACGTGAGTTTTATATAATATGCAATATAATACGATTAATTTAGCGTAACTGTAAATATGGTATTATGTAAGCATCCCCTTCGCTTATTAAGATGCTTGGCGTATTATGTACCTCCTCCCACTTTGTCCAGATAAATCCGGCATAAAGGTTTCCTTCCACTCTATGTCTTTAAACTTTGGAACTATATTCTTTTGTGATAGGAGCTTTATGCTACAGTCCCGAAATTAAGATAGGCCAATAGTTATCATAGAGCAGGGGGGAACAGCTGAAGCGGCTTTTGACACGGTCGTCGGGATGATTAATAGTATAACTAAACTATATTATTTTTCAGAATGCAAGTCGAGGCCTTTATAGATAAACAGCTAAAGAACAATAGCAAACTGATTATAACTTTATACATTTATATAGTAGAGATTTGAGACCCCCAACCTATGAAGTCGTTCCGGTACATAGGTGTGATGCGCACATTGACAGCGAGCGTTCAGCTGGATTTGGTAGCCTAATTAGGCTAGTGCTTATGTGGGATCGCACTCCCAAATTGGGACTAGTGCTTCCGTACATCCAGCGGAACACTAGATTCTATATATGGAGGCATGCGAGCTTTGGAAATGGGCATCGATTAGTTTATTACTGAGAACCAGTTCTTGGAATTAATTATACTTCCACGCTTCACTCCATACTTTACCCTATATTCTACCCCTTTACCTTGACTACTTGCGTAGCACCCTGCTATATTGGGAGCCTCACAATAGGGTTTTCCGGTATATAGGGATGGACGTTAAAAGAAATAAAAGAAGTTTAAAAGAAATAATAATTCGAGAAATAATAAAGATTTTATTTCTATTACTTTTATTATAAATATATTTAAAGTAATAATAACAAAACTTATAAGTAAAGTAATTTTAATAAAAATAATAAAAGAAAAGAAAAGAAATATAAGCCTAAAAAAAAATAAAGAAAAAGGCAAAGCTATAAAATTAAAAGAAATAATTACCAGATTATTTATAAAAAAAACCTTAGCTAAAAAAGCTTTTTTACTTATACTTTTAAATAAAGTTCCTAATTTCTTTAATGATTTCCTTAAATATATTTATTATTCGAACCTAAAATAATAATAGAAATTATTATATAAATATATATTAATTAAGAATTTGCCTAATTTCTTTTAAGATTATAATAAAAATAATTCAAATACTAAAATCTTATTACTTATTTTTCTTTGGTTTAATAAAGAAATACTAAAGCTTTAAATAAGTATTAAATAAAAAAATAATTCTTTTTAAAATAAAAACCTTTATTTTATTAAAGAAATAAGATAAAAGTAGCTTATAAAAGAGGTTATATTTTAATAATAATTAAAGAGCCTAGTTTTTTATTAATAGAATTATAAAAGAAGTTTATTTCGAGATTTATAATAAATATAATATTTATAAAAAGAAGAAATAAAGACTTATTTTTTAAATATAAAGATTTATTAAAAGCAAGTATTTTAAAGCTATTTAAATTAGAGTTTAATATTAAATAAATAAGAAGAAAATTAGCTAAAATAGCTAAAGAAAAAGCAAGAATATTAATATATAAAAATAATTATTATATTTATATATATTTTTTAAGAAAGCTAAAAAAAAATATTAAAAAAATTAAGAAATAAGACAAAAAAAATCACTTTAAAAAAAATTAAAATACTCGAGCTTGAACTAAATAAAGAAATAAAAGCTATTTAATTTATAGCCTGAAATAATAAAACAAGCTTAATTATAAGATTTAGAGATTATAAATATATAAAGTTTTTTAATAAAATAAATTATTAATAAAATAGTAATAGTAAGTAAATAATTTAGATATTTTTTTTATAAAAATACTAAAATAAGAACTTTCAGTACTTTTCGAACTAATAATACTTTACTAGAAATAATAATTAAGTATATTAGAATATATTTCCTGAAGTTAAATTTGGGCCCAAAAGTTAAGTTTTAGCTAGAGCTCTAGTATTATAAAAGTATAAGAAAAGCAGCTATAATAATTTAATTCTTGTAATTATTAGAAATTTCAAAGTTTAAAAGAAAAAAGGAATAAGTTTTTATATAAGTTCTTAGCTAGAAATTTATTAAAGATTAAGTATAAGATTTATAAATAATTATTTAAAGAAATATTTTATAAAGTTATTTATTACTTCAACTTGCTTTTAACCTGTCTTTGGGGGCCGGTTTACAGGGACGTCACTCCTGAAGTACATTTTGTAAATCATTAGGTATGGTCCACTTGGACTGATGAATAGCCGGAGCGTGATTGGGTGCCGTTGGTGTTCGGATGGATAGGAATAGGGGGGATTTTCTTTTGTCGTGTTCCTCGTAAGATACGGTGTGCGAATATGCTCTCGCATGGGGAAATAATAAAGTGACTTCATTCCCCGGCATGAAACCACGAGAATTGATCTCGAGGCAGATGGTGATGGCTGCGAAACGCGTCGCGAAAATAACAGAAAGTGGTGCTCGCGACGAGAAGGAATAACGCAGCCCCACACAATTTTTTTTAAACGACATCCGCCTTGTCTTCGACACCCTGCATCAACTATCAACCACCAAAACACTACCACCTTGGACTATTTGCTTTGTTGCGCAGTATCATTACATGGATATCTATCCATTACAGGGATATTTAACCGACGATGGTCAAGAAGGGCCAAGCAAAGGGCGGGAAGCTAGGGGCTGGGGGAGGGGCGAAGAAACAATCCCTAGCAACGACTGGAGGTGATGACAGCTTCATCGTCTTTTCAAACTCCGACAAGGACCCCAAACCGAAGAAACCAGTGCCAAGCAGTAGTGAGACATCTGCGGCTGGACCCTCGGGGCAGGATGGGCCAGCTCTGGCAGGAGAAGCACCGCAGAGGCCGGATGTGAAGAAGTTGATCGGAGGCGCATCATGGACGGGGAAACTACCCGTGAACATGCTTTCTGAGCACTGCCAGAAGCAAAAATGGGAGAAGCCAGAGTACACCATGGTCAGTCTGATGAAGACACTCTAGATGTCTTTGCTAATTCAAGGCTGTGTTGGCAGTCGAAAACGCTGGAAGGATATTCATCGATGGTCATACTCAAAGCGAAGAATCCGAAGACACAAGAACTCATCCAACATCCTCCTTTCAAACTTCCACCAAGCCATAAGAACCTTGCTGCGAAACCTACGGCGCTCGAAGCGAGGCATTTTGCTGCCACATATGGTCTGTTCAGAGTCTGCAGCATGCGGAATATACATATGATGCTTCCTCCAGATTACAGAGATCTCTGGAAGGGAGAATTCGAGGTGCTTAAGAAGGAAGACGTTAAAGAAGGCCGTGCATGGATGTACGAGGCAGATCCATTCGCGGCTCTGAGAGAGCGGGACGAGGTAAAGGCTCTGATGGAGAAAAAACGTATCGAGCGAGAAAAGGCCAGAGAGAAGGCCTTGAGCACCCCAGGAGGACCTGGAGGTGTAGGATTGGCTCTTCGAAGCAATGGCCAAGCTGGTGGGGGCTCGGGTGCGCACAATATCCACAGAGGCTGGACGAGAGTTCCGAAAATCGAAATGGGAAAACGAACACGCACAACTGTCGAAACTCTGATTCGCAAGTATGCTTTATGGAACCCTCACGATGTCAAGTTGTCGGCATTTCAGAAGCATTCGATAGTCAACGAGTTCAAGGCGCTGGAATTCCGACAAAGCCATGTCGAAGAAGCTATGGAAGAGTGCAAGGACCGAGAGGAAACCCTCGAGTGGCTGCTCATTCATGTTCCAGAAGATGATCTCCCTCGGTGGGCACTTCCGGAAGGCTATGTGGCTGGCATCAGTATGGCTAGCAGTGACTTGAAAAGAGAAGGCGCCATCAAAAGATTGGCTGAAGCAGGATACTCTCTGGACCTGTGCAAGCAAATCTTTGACTCCCAGGGAGAAGAAGGGAAAGCAGCAGAAGCCTTACAACAAATCCTCATGTCCAGTGGACAAGACTCGGATCTGCCTGAAATGGAGGAGTCTTGGGATTCTGAGGAGTCGAAAGAGTCATCGACAGCTATATGGGAGGAGGAGTTGACTAGCTTGCAGTCAGTGTTCGGAGATCAATATTCTGCTACGTCGAAAAATATTTGCAGAATTGCTATTAAGCCCTCTAATCGAGGTCGAACCCCGGAAGTACAACCCATTCTCCAATTTCGACGTTCCCAGGAATATCCCCAAAAGACTCCAGTTATATCTGTGCACGCTGGCCTACCGGCATACATCCACCTGAGTATCATGAAGCAGGCTTTGAATCATGCCACAGACAACTTGCTCGGCGAGCAAATGCTATTCTTCCTCATAGATTGGATCGAGCAAAACTTCTATGACATTGTTGAAAGGCCTGGAAAACTTCGAGACGTCTCGGCCGCTGCTTCCACTGTCAGCGAGGTACGGCCGGTTCATAGCAAGAGACAAAAGATCTCGAGGCATCCTCGGCCAATCGCTTGGACTCCCAACCCGAAGAGCAAAGATGACTGGACAAGGAAACAGACGGATCCCAAGCTTCAATCTAGAATACAGCAGCGCAGAAGTCTGCCTGCATGGGAGATGAGAGAAGTCATCATTGACACCGTCAACTCTCATCAAGTTACAATCATATCGGGTGAGACCGGATCTGGTAAATCCACTCAGTCTGCTCAATTTATTTTGGATGATCTATATCAGAGAGCTTTGGGAGAATGTACCAAAATTATGTGAGTCATCTAATACCTTGGGCTATTCCAGCTACTGATTCAATCTAGTTGCACCCAGCCAAGAAGGATCTCTGCCCTTGGCCTCGCCGACCGCGTAAGCGAAGAGAGATGCTCCGCTGTTGGCCAGGAAGTCGGTTATATCATTCGCGGAGAGTCGAAGACCACACCAAGTACTAAAATCACGTTTGTTACAACTGGTGTCTTGCTGAGAAGGCTTCAGACCTCCGGAGGGAGCAGCAGCGACGTCGTGGCCAGTCTGGCGGATACAAGTCACGTGATTATTGATGAAGTCCACGAGCGAAGTCTCGACACCGATTTCCTGCTTGTCCTTCTGAGAGATGTTCTGAGAAAACGAAAAGACTTGAAGCTTATCTTGATGAGTGCCACGTTAGACGCTGGTGTCTTTGAGGATTACTTCAAAGACAACGGCAAAGTTGGTCGAGTCGAGATCAGCGGCAGAACGTTCCCTGTTGAAGACTACTATCTTGACGATGTCATACAAATGACTGGATTCAACGCTGGTCGTGGAGCAAGAAGAGACGATGATGACGATGAGACGGCGGGAATGGAGGCTGACGTCGCTGCTGCCATTCAAAGTATTGGCATGCGAATCAATTACGATTTGGTTACTCTGACGGTGAAGGAAATTGATGCCGAACTATCGTATCTCAAGCAAGACGGTGGCATACTTATTTTCATGCCAGGTGTTATTGAGATCAATCGGACATTAGACTCTTTGCGATCGATTCCAAATCTTCATATCTTGCCGTTGCACGCTTCTCTACAATCTGTCGAGCAGCGCAGAGTGTTTCCGCGTGCGCCTACTGGGAAGCGAAAAGTTGTTGTAGCTACCAACGTCGCTGAAACTTCGATTACGATCGACGACATTGTAGCTGTCATTGATACTGGCCGGGTAAAGGAAACTAGCTACGATCCACAGAACAACATGCGGAAGCTCGAGGAGGTTTGGGCATCTCGCGCGGCCTGCAAGCAAAGGCGCGGTCGAGCAGGCAGAGTTCAAGCAGGAAAATGCTACAAGCTTTATACTCGCAACGCTGAGATGTCGAAGATGATGGAACGGCCCGAGCCTGAAATTCGGAGAGTTCCGTTGGAACAACTTTGTCTTTCTGTTCGAGCCATGGGCATTAAGGAAGTAGGTGCCTTCTTAGCAAGTGCGCTGACACCACCTGAAAGCGTTGCCGTTGATGGTGCAATAGAACTGTTGGGCAGGATGGGAGCTCTCGATGGCGATGATCTCACTGCACTGGGTCGGCATTTATCTATGATCCCTGCTGACCTTCGTTGCGGGAAGCTCATGGTATACGGTGCTATATTTGGCTGCTTGGCTGCTTGTGTCAGTATAGCAGCAATTCTTACAGTGAAGTCACCCTTTGTCTCGCCCCAAGACAAGAGAGAGGAATCCAAGGCGGCAAGGGCGAGATTTGCCAAGAATCAAGGTGATTTGATGGGAGATCTGAAAGCATTCGAACAATGGGACGAGATGGTCAGCACCAGGAGGTTAGTATCTTTGCATAAGATTGATCACCTCCCTGACAACTGAACAGTATTCGACAAGGCGAGATCAGAAACTGGTGTTCGGAAAACTTTCTATCATACCAAATATTGAATGATATCGCTTCAAATCGGACGCAATATCTCACCTCTCTCCGCGAGCTCTGTTTCATCCCATCTTCACCTTCAGCCTTGGCAACGCTCAATAAACACAACTCGAATACTTCGCTTCTTCGTTCACTTTGTGCCGGTGCCTTCAACCCGCAACTAGCACGAATCGACTTTCCCGACAAGAAGTTCGCACCCTCCGTCTCTGGAGCTGTCGAGCTCGACCCGGAAGCAAAGACAATCAAATACTTCAACCAAGAGAATGGCCGAGTGTTCGTTCACCCGAGCTCTACAGTGTTCGATGCACAAGGTTTTCCAGGAAACAGTGTTTACATGAGCTACTTCAACAAGATGGCTACAAGTAAAGTCTTCATTCGAGATCTGACACGTGAGTTCCCTCCCTCCATCCTTTTTCCACATAAGTTCTTCAATTAACGCAGAGAAGCCTTCAACGCCTACACCGCCCTCCTCTTCTCCGGCCCAATCACCCTCGACACACTCGGCCGCGGCCTCATCGTCGACGGCTGGCTCCGCCTCAGGGGCTGGGCACGAATCGGCGTCTTAGTCAGCCGTCTCCGAGGCATGCTCGACGACGTCCTAGCGCGCAAGATCGACGAGCCGGAGCTCGACCTCTCAGGTAACGAGGTCGTCGCTGCGGTTATGCATTTGGTTGAGTTGGATGGCTTGGATCAATGATCTCTCTTCTCGGAAAAGTTGGATTGGAAACAGACCGGAGGGCAGTTCTTGGATAGAATAGACGATAGACGGAATAGGAAAGGGCTGGTGCTTGGGATGTTGAGGCATTTACAGGATTGGATGGAGGGGCGCTTCACGGTCGGGCATTGAGCAAGTTGGTGGAACTGACATGGCATGCGTGGAGGAGCATATAGACCGGCGTTTGTCCCTGCTTCAATTTGAAGGGTTTGTGCTCGTTCTTTGCATTTTTGCGACCTCTTGTCTGGTTTAATACACCGACTTTTCCGATTTCTCGCTAGACAGCCCTACCTCCAAACCACGCTACACTCTCTCGCCCCGCCTCTCCTTCGCCCTCATGCAGCACGACAGCCACGACGGGCCTCTGGCCAACCAGATGGATTTCATGCCGCAACCCAGCCAGCCATCATGACCTATGATGGGGTTTGAGGGCGAGGCTGGGGTTGGGTAAGTTTTTTTTTTCCATGGTAATCCACGGTGGCCAGTCATTGCTCATTCTCAACGCCACATCGGTCTCTGCGAGCCCTGTCAATTTGGCTGGAGGCCTCCATTATTGTGGTGGCAGCTCAAACTACGCCATGGGCCATGACTTCAATGCCGACAGTTTGAAACACCTGATCCGAACTCTACCTTTCATGAAGTACCAATTTCGGGAGGAAGTTTCGGCACCGGGGACGCCGTATTCAATAGCCAACATTCTCCATCTCCGCCTCAACGAATCTGGACCAGTCGACTTCCCATTGACATTGGGAGGTACCAGTTTCCGAATTTGAGTGGCCACATTGAACACAATGCCATATTCAACGGGTCCATATTCAGACTGAACATTTTCAGCCAACGGCAACAATCATCCAGTCACGCTCATGCAAATCGCTGGATCAGTGATGATCATATAATTCATCCGGCTTCGTTCAACGATTCTGCCATCCGGGATCCCAGGATTGCCTTACCTGTGACCTCTCCGTTGCACTTCGAAGACGAGCCCATTGTTACTGGGACTTTCCATCCCTTCCATGGTGATCAAGGCCTTGGGCTTGGGTGGGAACCCTCACAACACGTGTCTAGGTCCACGCTCATGACTGGAGGAGTATCGCTACCTACGAATGGCTTCCAATTCGCCAACGCTAGAGATCATGGTCACCTGCTATCATTCCCGATGCAGACCCGTGAAGCCGCATTCATGCAAGTCTGCCCGATGGGAGCAAAGTGTGGGATGGGGCTGGACTTACCAACGCTTCTCCTCATAACGGGCAAGTTTTTGCTGTGGTCTCCATTCACGACACTCTCTACTCGCTAGCAATTCTTCCTTGCCGTCCTTGCAACAGAACATTCAAGAGGGGCGGACGGGTCTCGCCACGAGCAAAGCGTTCATCTCAAGAGTCGAGGACTTCACTTCTGTCATTGCTGGGTGCCGCAAGAGCTACGGAATTGGATACAGTCGACCAAACAAGGTGACGGAGCACCTGTGGAGGAAGCACGCCAACTTGGGCTTCAGGAAAGCCTGACGTCTCTCCTGCAAGCGACATGTGTCTCGCAGCGAGTCCGCTGCTGCCAAGAATTGGGAGGGGAAATCGTGCCATCTTCGTAGCACCTCTCCATTTCACTCTTCCGAAACCGTCTCGCGTTTCAATTTCCTGTTTGTCAAGTCCTTTTCAATTTGCGGGCATGAAGAGCATGGTGGATAGTTACCAATTGAAATTCCTCTTAGTCATTGACGTGGCACGACCGTGGACCCCTCACTCAATATCTCCGGCGGTGGTCAGGTTTCTGATTTGGCCAGTCAATCTATAGTCATGGAATTCTAGGTCTTTCTACCCTCTATCGAAAGTGCAGAAATTCCTCGAATATGTATGATATATGGAGGCCGCGCATCGGAGGCTAAAATGCAAGAAGTGGTCGTGACCGGAAGCAGCGGTGAGAAGTAATAAATAGCGATCTCTGACTTGTTGGATTCAGGAAGGACCTTCCCCATCAATCGCACCGCATACCACTATCCCCGATTCAAGAGACCCAATTACCTTTCTCTAGATCGTCTCCGCGTTCTCCATCCATTCATATACTCACAGATTTCCCTTCCGCCAAGGGATCTAGACCTTACGCTCATTTCTGAACCCTCTTTAAAGGAAGAAACTGGTGCAAGTTGGACACTCATAATGCACAAACTCACTCGCCGCGTCGTCAAACAATTGAGCTCCCTCCACAACCCGTTCGAAAAGACATATCAGATAAAAGGCATCGAACGGAGCCATGTAGCAGGTGCCTTGGTCGTTACGGCCCTCGTCGAGACGACATTCGAGATCGCAGCTGGCTTGTTACTCGATGGTCTCCATGTGATTTCGAGGGACCAGAGTATTTCCAGTGAGGCTGCGGAGGAGGATCCCGAGCGGATACACTGGAATCATGAGCATTAGTTGAGGAATCGGGTTTTATGGAGGAGAGGTGGAAAGGGAGTGAGAAGTGGGGGGAAGTGTGGGGGAGTGGGGGCAACCCGGGGGGTGATGCATTTTCGCCGGTTGAAGGCGGGCTGACGAATGTGCGTCTTGGCCGGGCTGGGATGAACTAGAACTCGGCAAACGACTGCCATGTTGAGGCTCGGGAGGGAGACGTGGAGTTTCATGAGGGCGGTACTGTCCTCTTGGGCAGTCCGATGGAGCATCCAAGTCTACTAACGAGCAAGGTTTGCGAGAAGAGGGAGTATAAGTTGTAAAAATAGGAATTGGAGTTTATGACACATTTCAAGAGAATATCTTGTAGTTAAAGCTTACTGGTATCAAATACTGCATGTGGGAAAGACAGGATAATAATCCCGTCTAGACCATGCTGTTCAAGTACAGTTCCATTTGGCTAAAACAAATTGGCTACAACTTGAACACAAGCCATGCGAGCCGCAAAAATATGAGTAGATTACATACTGCACTCTTTAAGAAACCGGTTGTACCTGTTGAGACATCTTGTCGAATGCCGAAGAGCCTTCCCCGTATCCATGTGGTCGAAGTCAAAAGGCATCCCCGCCATCACTGCATTAGATCAGTGTGAGGCACTGTTAACTTCGGGTGTGCCCGAAGGTAGAGAACTCAGACGGAAGGAGATTAAACTCCAAGTGAGTGTATTCAAAAGTAGACACTTCTCCACGTTCATTCTTGAAGCCAGCACTCCAGCGTCAATTGCGGGGTCAAAGGAGCAAGAATCACTGAAGAGACTCCCATGTTGCATCTGCTCTCCAAATCCGGCAGCATGCATGAGCTTCCGCGCCTATGACATAGGCTAATACCCCTTTAAAGGCTGGCTAGCAGCCTGCGCCCAAGAGATTAACCTCTCGTGTTCCTGTTCCAATCCCTGCCCTTGCTGGGTATATTTCAGCATTTGGCACTTCTCCTCACGCTTGCGAAATCCTTCGGGCCCCGAATCCGACGGTTCAGCAACGACATTGTTCACCTCTCTCCTCCTTCAACCGCGCATCAAGTGTTATCGTGATGTCTCTGATGCGCGGTTCCGTGTTTTTGATACATGTTAGGGATGTGGGAAGACGCTTGAGATAATCATTGTGGAGGCGTGCTTCCCGTCCGATGGTGGGGAAGGCCGTCAAGGTTGATGTGTGCTCTTGAGAGGTATACACTCGCTCCATTCTTAAAGACTTCTAACTTATTGACTAACTCAGACAGTCTGCACGCCTTGGACATATCCCCTGGAGGTTCCGGCCAGATCCACGCCTTCCAGCACGGGGACAAATGATTTGTGAAACGCGGTCATGTTCCTCTCGCTGGATGATCTCCCGCCGCGGGGCTGTCAAGTTAGCCCGAACGTTGATGGCACGGTGTATTGTTCCCAACATTTCGACGAAAGGAAGAACGATGCTCTTCAGAGGGCAGGGGAAGCTCGTGAGAGATAACAAGGTCGGGATGATAAAGAGCACGAAGAATTACAGGAAGATAGAATACATAAAGATGAGGCGCCAGCCCCTTCTTCTGAGAGGGCAAGCTCTTACGGCGGTGCGATTATTGGTTTCTGTTGGTCGCTTTGCTCTCTTCAGGTGAGCGGCGCAAGGAAGGCCGACGGAGTGTGTACAAACAAATTAGGAAGACGCGTATTATTGCCGGGCTGCTGGAACTGCCTCAGCCCGGGAGGGAGGAAAAGCTCCTTCTTGAGCTGCCCGATGGGGGGCCGGGCGGCTCGGGGAGGGCTTTATTAAGGACTGCGTGTGCCTGCCCGTGTGAGCTACATCTACGATTCACTGAGTGATTGTGCAGGGGAAGGGAGGAAACCATGACTGTGCTTTCCATCCTTGGTGCTGGAGCGTGCCTGCAGGGGAAGAGGGACGACGCTTCGGCGGTTGAGGAAGATTTTTAGGGAATTTGGCATCTGTTGTCTGAAGTTGGGGATGGAGGCAGCTCCACCTCGTTGTTTTGTGGAAACAGAAAAATAGAAAGAAAAAACCACAAAACACCCTTCAAGTGAAAGTCTCCGTTCATGGAAGATGTCTTATTGCATGTTCTTATTTCCCATTGTCCCGGAATGAAATCCAGAGTACCTAGTTCCGTTACCCGTGGAGGGGTGGTACAATCCAGCAACCCTCGATGCATATATGAAATGAAATTATGAAAGTACGTGTTCGGGGAGAACAATCCAGTATCCACTGGGAGCTCGAGCAGAGCAATCCCCACGTGATGTCTTCCTGTCTTTGTGCCGCGTAAGTTTCTACCAACATAACCCACGCCGAGTTCCGTTATCAGCAGAGGTGCAATAAAACCAATCTGACCTCGCTCATTGCCCATGATCGTAATTCCCATATTCCTCGCCTTGCACTCTCCTCAAAGCTCTTCAGTCAAGTCGGCGTGCTCCGCTTGTCTGAAGCGCTTGGGAACATTAGCAAGATCACCTCCGTCATCATCTTCCTCCCTAACTCTCGTATGCTTTGTTCCGCTAGCTGGGTTTGACACTCTGGTATCCAGATTAAGGACTCCTCGGAGCATTCCCAACACACTTTGGAGAGTCGCCACCATCATTTCTTTGCTTCCTAGACCTAAGACTCCTTGAATCATGCCTGAGACACCTCGAAGAGTTGTCATAATTGACGCATGATCTGCCCGTGCTTGGTCAACTTGGATCTTGAGTGCTTCGTTTGATGCTTGAAGTTCTCGGGCGTGGCCAGCTTGGATTTCAAGTACTTCGTTTGATGCTTGGAATTCAAGCAGTTGCTCTCGCATCTCAGCAACGGATTCGCCTGTCTGGTTCTCGTTCGCCATCTGCTCTTCTCCTGCTTGTTGTACTTCCTCGGCTGCACCTTGGCCAATGCGGCCAGCGGCGGACATTTCGGCATCGATGCGCTGCTGAACTTGAGATTCTATCTCGTTCTTTTCTGCTCGAAGCTGCTCGAGCTCAGTTCGTAGATTTTCGATTGTGCCGGAGAGTTCAGTGCCCTGAGTTTCGGTTTCGGTTTGAGTCTCTTGTAATTGCTGAATCTCCCCCTCCAAATCTTCGATGGTACTCTCCAGCCGTTGCTTTTGTGCGTCGCTGTCAGCTTTAGCCTGGCGAAGTTCCAATTCTTTATTCTCCAGCGACTCTAAAGCAGCAGCCAGTTCTTGCTCCTTAACTTGCAATTTGCGTGCTGTAGAATTTGACATATCTTCTTTGACTTTTAGTTTCGCCAATGCAGACCTCAATTCAGACATCAACTTCTTGGATATCTCTTGTTTAGAATTTTGGATAGAAGCAGTTGGCTCATCTCCTAAACTTTGCCTCTCCTGGCTGTTATCATTGTCCTGGGTTAACGTCAGCATATAAACCCAGATCTTATCAACTTCCTCAAATAATTGTATTGAACTTACTACCATTAATGACGATTCCTCTCCTTGTTTCTCATCGCCAAAGTTCGACGTGCGAGCAGTGTCATTTGTCGCACCGTCAGCATGATCACTGGCAGCGTCACTGCGATGAGAAGCTGCTGGAGCTGGCATCGAATTCTCAGCTGAGACGTTCTTAGAAACAGACACTGGCTGAGCTGCTGACTGAGGCGCTGCTGGTCGTATGGCTTCAGGGGGAAAGCCGAAGAAAGCTTGTTCGTAGTCTCTAGCTACCATGGGGAAGTAGGCCTCTTCAGGATCAAGTCCCTGGAAGAGTATTCCAGAGTCACCTTGAGAAACGATTTGATAAGAGCAGCCGCATTCAGCAATGCCTTTATCCTCTTTGGGCAAACCAGCATCGTCCTCCTTCAAAGTTTCTGCTTTCAAGTTAGCACACTGCCCTCTTTTTCGCTTCTCCGATACCACAGCATCACGAAAAGAATGAGTAGAGGTCTCACCAATGTAGAACAAGATGTCCATTTTCTTGTCGCTGCATGTGCTCTCTCGATGCAGAGTGACTTGACAACGCAAATCAAAGCCATACATTTTGAAGACCAAGTCTCTTTCTAGCATTGTCCACGTGACAATCAATTCGCGAGGCTTTAGACCTTGAGAAATCTCAATCATGCGTGGCATTTGGCGAAGGCTGTCGCTAACCTTCAATCGCAAAGTGGCTTTTGACTCGGTGGATTTGTCAAGTTGAGACACTGGGCCTTTCGTCAATTCATGAAGAATCAGGTCGTGAAGTCTGGTAACAATATGATCACAAGGCATCTTGTAGCTTTTGACTCCGTGCCGAGAAAGCCAGCATGGTGCCTTGGAGTGACTTCTCTGAAAGTCCAACCACTTGTCGTTAATCAAGAGATTTGATCCTTCAAATAACAAGTCGAGATCGGCCTGTTCTCCGCTTTTGAAAACTATTGTGAGATCTTTGGTTCTGTCGTCCAGTGCTAAAATTGCTTTCAATGACCTGTTGATTGCCTCGGAATATGGTGATTGTGCCAGGTCGGAAGGCGATGCGTTGGACAACTTGTGATGCCTCTGTTCGTCTGGTGTTCTCACAAGACTGTATTTTTTCAGTGGCTCCCATAGGGAGTTGGGTAGAGGGACGGGTGTCTTGTTCAGGCACTTTGATATGGTCTTAACATCCTAGTGATTGATTGTGAGTACGCGAAACATTTGAACCAGGAATGCTCTTACTTGTGCTTCGGTCTTCTTGTTATAGAAGAACATAGTGGAAGAAAGTTCACCCTCCATTATGGCTTTCCATACCACTGTGGCAGTATCTTTCGTCATGTATTCGCTGGAAAGATTGACATCGGCCCATCGCTTTGCGTCTTCCTCTCTGAGCATTTTGGTGTATTCTGCAAGGGCTCCATGATCTCCTTTTTTGATGGATTCTGCCCATATCAATGCCAAGGTGGACGCTTGTCTCCGTAAATCCGACATATGTTGTCGATCTCGGTTTACATCCCCTTGGTAGAAATTGTAACCGAACTTGAGAGTCCTCGTTCCATGGTTGCAGCTGAGGAACAGACCTTTCAGGTACATCCTGCCACCAAAGCCTTTATCCATAACCAAATCGCCATTTGCTGTCTTTAATACCCGACTTGGTCGATATAAATCGAAAGAGACTTCCATCCAATTTTTGAATCCGTCGAACTCAATTTCTCTTCCCTTCGAGTTATACACCTTGCCAATTTTGACCGTGACATCTTCCCAGATGTTGCCCTTGAGGTCTCTCTCTTCGCCGTTCATTTTTCTCGTTGAGTCTTCTAGCATGCGCTTGGTGATTTGATTATCTGACATAGGGGTGAGATGGCAGTACAGATGGCGTTTGTGGAATCGAATGAAGCCTAGCATCTCTCCCGAAACTGGTCGATGAGCAGTTGCAGCCCAGTCGATGGGGGTTTCTTTCATCTTGATGTTGATATCCTCCCGTACCACCTTCTGGGTTTGAATCATGCCATCCATCCTAATAAAAACATGTTTCAGTAATTTCCAGAAAAGTCAAGAATGGCAGAAATTACTGACCAGTTCTGGTAGAATTCTCTGAAAGCGTCTCGTGAATCCAAGTCGGGGACGTAGTTTCTAGAAAGACCTATTGGCTGTCTTCCTTTCTTGAGAACATCCCTATCTTCGTTGAGATCATTGGAGAGCTCAACGTCGGATTCGTCTTCGTATTTTGTGAAGAAGTCCATGGTCAGAGGATGAATAATTGAAGCGAAAGCGGAAGAAGAGTGAGACCAGTCAACACTGGAATTGAACAGGGAAGCAATCGACCGAAAGGTGTTTCAGAAGCAAACAGGGAATGGAAAAGATGAATGAAAGTGGAATAAAGTGGGAAGAGTTTCGCCGAGAAACGTTAATGGCAGTGTTTCCTTTTGGGGAAGCAGAGAGAAGTGATGAGCTGATAAGGTGTGGAGATGTTTTCGTCGAGGAGATCGAAAGCCTTTGATGTTCGAGTGATGGATCCCAAGCTATTTGTTGTAAATGGTTGTGGAATGGAAGAAAGAGGTGAGTAGCGCAAGCTTGGCTAGAGTTAGCGAGGTTGGGAGAGGGACAGCTGAGACTGGCTCAAAGCAACTGAAAGGTGACTTGGGTTTAACGAACTCTCAGAAAATGATTCATATGATGGTCTCACTTTATGTAGAGGGTATCCCAGTCACGAAAGGGACAATTGGAGTCGGGAAGTTGCCGGTCGTTCCGTTTGTTTTCTGAGGCTGTAGCGAGCTGGTCGGGGATGGAGGAGAAGGAGCAAGTGCGGCGCGATCCAAAGCATTCTCAAACGATTGTGAATTTGAGACTCTGGTTTAACACTCATCTTCAAGGAGTGGTATTTGGTGTTGAGAGTCGCCTTCCAGGTGACTATCTCTAATTTACCCGATAGTCGACATTACCAAGACACTTTCAATCGCAACTCGCTTTCCCTCCAAATCTCATCATGCTTCCCAACAAGCTGAATCCGTTCATCTCCCCTTCCCTCAGCACCAGACTTTTCAATTATTTCCACATCAGATCCCTCTGATTTACATCCGCCAGTCCATCTTCATCACTTTTAGCCAAAGCCGCCACCTTCGCTTTCCGCCATGCGAAATCTACCTTACTCACTTACGTGGCCGGGCTCGCCAGCTTTCATGCTTCTTCATCTTCCCAAATGCACTCTCGATGAAATATTGGTACATTGGCACCTGGATAGGAGCATCTCTCAACCTTCCGAGATCATAAATCCCTTCAACACCTAACACACCGGCAGGACGACCAAGTTCAGAGCTATCGGTTAGCTGAAATGTGAGATTGGCACCGCAGCTATACCCAACCAGAACATACTTCTCGCCAAATTCGCAGGTCTTCTATAAACAATACAGAGAAGTGAAGACGACGTTCATGTGAGTGGGATGTTTGACGTTGCGTGCTGGATTATCGGGCTGTGTGAACTGTTGAAATTGTGGCAGGGGAGGCGGCATTGAAAGTCTGTAGTTGAGAGATGCGAAACCAGCTATGTTGGAAAGCGGGCTGGGCGACGTGAGGAAGCTGTGGATTTGTGAGCGCGAAAGACGAGGCAGTGATTATCGGTCTCCATAATGCTCCTCCATGAATGTATCGGGTTGAAAAATCTATGCACAAGAGCTTTGTTTGTTCGAATAGCACTAGAAGCTCACATAATCCAATACTTCTCAGTCCCATCCGAAGTGGTTGATGCAGCTGGAGTGAACATTTCCAGACTGTGAGCTTCCAGCATTGGAGAACCTGCAATGCATTGGTAAACTTTGTGAACACAACCATCGGTGCGCCAACGCAACAGAGCCGTCACGATGGCTCCGATATTGTTGTTGCGAGATGAGTGACGTCGAAGAGGAAGAATGATAAGTGAGGGGCTAAGATGCAAGACGCAGCTATCGCCTGATTGCCCAAGTATTCCGTGGGTCGTGCCCTTAATATCGCGCCTCTATTTATCGTTTAACTCATTTCCGTCCTAAAGTCCGGCAGCTTCCTTTGCTATATCAAAGAGGAGAAGGATTCAAGGATCCACGTGATGTGGACTCATGTGATCTTTCGGCTGTTCTCGTCCCGGTGGTCTCAGACGCCGGGAGCAAGATTAGAGCAGTCGTTCGGGTCAAACTACAAAATTCTTCGCCGAAAAGACTAACTGAATAGTCTATATGAAACTGGATACGGCTCTAGGCTATAGGGAGTACGCACTAGAGCGGGAGATTATTTTGTGTTGTGACGTCAGCGTCACATGACCTGGCCCTAGCGTGGCACCCTGTACTTAGCTCGAGCTCCCCGCTCCTCTCTTCTTTTCTCTCTTCAGACGTTACATACACACCCAAAAAGAGCTGTTTACCAGACCAGGTCTTCAGCCCAGGGACGTGATATTTTGTGAGTTTTCGGTAAGTGGAAAAGGGGTTAAGCGAGAAGGGAACAACGTCAGAATAGAGAAAGGGAGGGAATGACAAGAGATGAGCGATTGCAAACTCGGAGAGTCCAATTTTATGTGCTATGGATAATAACTTAACTATTCACAAAACGCCAATTATTGACACCATAAACATCAAAGTACACAAGCACCTTCTCTTCAAAGGTCGAAGACAGTGAGCCACAATCGGAAGGGACATGTATAAACTAGAATGAGATTTGGATTGTTCTCATTCTCTTGAAATTGAATTCTTGGACGCACGAGGAGGAAACTGTCCGCGAGAGTGGCCCACTGGAGATATCCCCGCCTGAAAGTCTGCACAGGAGCGTTCGAGACATGCGTCTGCGAACCACCTCTGTACTGGCTAGTGAAACAAAAGCGAAGGTCTTCAACGAGGAGAATTATGCTTGAAAGACCAAGATGACAGATGGCACGGTCCGCTCGCTCTAAGCAGAGGACGAGTTACTGAGTCACGTGAGCACCTCGCTTGTCGTGAACGGCGCGAAAATTTTCGAACTTCAACCAACTTTTCCTTCTGTCATCATCAGGCCAAGAAAGCCATCGCGATGAAAAATGGCAGACTGCCCTACTCAGACACCAATCCTTGACCCGATCGAGGCAAATGACGGGCCCTCTGAAGCTCGTGACTCCACATCCGGTCCCGGTTCGCTTCCCCACCCTCACGAGCCTCAATATCTAACAACCTCCTAGAATCGCAAGCAGAAGCTTCATCAAGTTCCTCAGCACCCACAAACAAATGCGCAAGCTGCAGCGCTCCTGAAATAGATCCAGAGAAGCCGCTGAAGCCCTGTGCAAAGTGCCAGACAGTTCGGTACTGCTCTCGCGACTGCCAGAAGAAGGATTGGAAGCTGCACAAGAAGATTTGCGCCTCGGCTGCACAAATTTATGCGCAGAACGCGAATTTGAAACCGGCTGCGCCGAGGGCGCCGAAGAAGGAGGGGCATAGGGGGGGTTTGCAGAAGTGGCAGTTTGACACGTGACTGGAGCTACTTCGTGGTGGAGATTATTCGGGGGTGGTGTGCTGTTCCAGGGAGCCTCGAAAGTCTTACGAAGCTTGGGAACCTTTCGTGGAAAGAATGCATCACGATGTTGCTGATAGAAGGTCGCCGTTTGCTCCCGTTGGCTGAAGTTATGGTGGGCGACCTCGTGTAGCCACCCCTCAAAGGGTACCTTGAGGTAGCCCTTTCCAGGTTCCTAGCATCGCAATTCCGAAGGACTGGAAGCCATTTATGCCGTACAGTTTGCATACCCCTGTGAAAACGAGTGTTTGAAATCCAACATGGTGGTTTTGTGGTCACAGCCCATGTTTAAAGCGTTCAGCGACGCTGCATACTTCAAGAAGTTGATTTGCAGTTGCCGTTGAAATGTCACAAGAAAGGACTGTAGCGAGCGATTTCTATTTCCGTCTTTGGACCTGAGCAGCTACCCTCGTAACCTACCCTGCAGCTTGCTGAAAGTGGGCATCCGTTTTCGGTTTAGCGCGACGGCAGTTGACAACGCTTCACTTCACAACCTCACACACAACTTTCTCGAGGACAAGGATGAATCCACCTGCCAAGTTGGCACTCTACAGTCGACATCAGGCACAGCACAGCATCTCGGAAGGATAAAGATCAACCCACCTGACCTGGGCACTAAAGAGCCAGTATTATGGCACTGCACAGCGTCAACATGGATCCACCCGATTGGCAAGAGCCGTCCGCTCATCAGAGCCATTTCTCTGATAAGAAGCCGGTGAGGATATCCCCCGCCTCGGCACCACCAGCACATCTGGATGGCTACCCTCCCGTCGCTATTTCTTACTATGGGCATCCCGAGCTCTGGACAGTACAGCATCATTTTCGCGTTCGGTTTCGTCATATCCATCGTCGGCGTGACTGCGTGGCCGACGCAAACACCTTGGTGGTCGATCCTCGCCATCACCGCAATCGGCGCGTTGCTGACGATTCCTTGGGTCATCATCGAGTCGATCGCGAATACCGGTATGTCGTTGAACGTGATCTGGCAATTGCTTCCCGGTGTCTGGTGGCCCGGGAAACCCCTTCCGCAGTTGGTAATCCTCATGCTCGGTGGCGCCTTCGAGCAAATGGCTGGCGGTTTCATGAATGACCTCAAGTACGCACACTACGCCAAGCTACCCCCTCGGGCGGTACTGTGCCATCCTCGAGGTCATGCTCGTTTACTTCAAGGAAGACAATACGCTTTGTCAGTGGGACAACAAGGAGCACATGGTCTGCAACTACGCAAATCAGGTCTTCGCGCCCCGTCAGCTTCTTCGGCGCGTTCGGCACTAACAACATGTTCAAACTATACCCCGTCCTCCCCTGGTGCTTCTTGATAGGCGCCCTCCTCGGTCTCGCCTGGGTGCTCGCTGAAAAGGCGGCGCCCCACACGCGCCGGTACATCCAGGCGCGAATAAGTGAGAAACAATACCTTTCCTTTCACCGACGTAGCTCTCTCTTCTTATACTCCGTAATCTCGTTTTGCCACTCCTCTCCTCCTCCTCTCCCTTTATACTCCCCTTTCTATATAAGAACCGGGACCGCCGCGAGTATTTGAGTTAGTAAAGCTACCTTCCAACGCGAGTAAGGGCCTCACTGACGATGTCCCTTCTACCCTAGGAGGTGATGGGGAATACAGGTTTTTGCTTCAAAGCGCTTTGGCGGCCGGGCGTGCGAGGCGCTATAGGAGATCTCAATCTCATAAGATGGATTGATGACAACGCTTGTTTTGAAATTGGCGCTTGGATACTACGTGAGTGGTCTCAAGTCACTGTGAAAATTCCTTACAATAAAATGTCCCGCGGCAGAAGGCTCGAGCATACTGCTCCACCCGAGAAAACGGAGAGTGAGTGATAGTTTAAGCCAGTGTTCGGAGGTATCAATCGGAGCTCTGCATCGAGTTTTGCGCAGCGGAATGAGGCTTGTGTGTCTAGATTTTGACAAGCACTATACGATCCCCATAGGGTCGTGAGGGGAACTCTCATTATACTCAACAGAAATATTCCTTCGTTCATGCCAATAAATGTTTTGCATTTCCATTTGGGTTGGCAAGTACAGGTGATTAATATCTGGGATCGTCATGTGCATTGTACCTCTCGCTTAGGGCAGAAATTTCCGGCCCAGTTTAAAAGAAATAACCTAGCGTAGCTTTCACATTTAGGCCCAGTCTTTCTCAGAAGGGATACGACTTGAAGCCTTCCTCAACTTCCGTGTAAGCATCATACCCATACAGCCACCTCTGCACCCTCGGACACGTCCACCGACTCGGGAAATCTGCCTTCAACTCTCCACCCAGCATGCTGGTCATCAACTCATCCCTCCTCTCCTGCTCCGGCCCATCGGGCATATGAAAGTCCTCCCTCTGCTTAAACGTCTCCCTCTGAAGCGTCTCCCCCCTCTCCTTCCTCAACCTCTGATACAGCTCTGCCACTTTCGGCAGCTGTTCATCCTTCCTTCCCTTCTCAACCTTCCCTAGCAAATATCCCAACACCGCGCCATCCTCAAGACTCGAGTTCGCACCTTGCGCCAAGTACGGCAACATAGGATGGCAACAATCGCCCGCCATCAAGAAAGTCCCTTCCTTATTCGCCCACTCTGGCAAGGTATCAAGCCACATAAGCTTCCACTTCGCCACGCCCTTCACCTGATCCAAAAACTTCCTCAGAATCGGATCCCACCCCGTAAACAAGCTTTTCATCTCATCCAGATCGCCCTCTGTCTTTGATATACCCTCTGGTAGATTATCCGGACATAAAAGAACGATGTTGTACACGGTTCCAGCACGCATCGTGTAAGCAACGACATGCGTCCCTGGCCCAACCCAGAAGTTCACCATCTCGTCTTCGATGAACTTCTTTAACCCCGGTGCATCCGGTCCCGTCAAATCCGCAGTATTGATCACAATCCTATACGCCAAATCGCCAGTCAAGATCGCCGGACTCGGCTTCCCCAGGAACTGAGCTCTGGTCTGGGACCACAAGCCGTCGGTACACAGCACCGCATCGGCGTCCAACACCACTCCATCCTCAAGCTTCACCTCGACGTTTTCGAAATCCACGGAAATGACCTTACAGCTTAACTTCAAGATAACTCCTAATTCCTTGCAGCGTGCAGCCATCGCCCTTTGCAAGTCGACGCGATGCATACCCCAGAACGGCGCTGGGTACCTGGATGCGATCTGGTCTTGGAAGGCCGGCTCGTGGGCGAGGATTTTCGTGCCGTCAAATCGTCGGACGAGGAGGGATTTGGGGAAAGTGGCCTTGGGGACTAGACGGTCATAGATCCCCCAGGGCTTGAAGAGGCGGGTTGCGTTGGGGGTGAGCTGTAGTCCGGCCTACATGTTATGTCAGCCGGGGATCAGGGGGGACAAGGGAGGGAATGAGGAGCTACTTACACCAATCTCAGCTAGCTCTCTCACGGACTCGAGGATTGTTACTTGGTGCTCTGGATTTGCAACCTTCGTTGAGATGGCGGCTGCTAGACCGGCGAGGCCTGCGCCGATGACGATGAGGTGGATGGACATCGTGGAGAGAGGAAGGCACGTTGCTCCTCAAAGTCCTCAAAGTCCTCGACGGGACGAGGAGCCACCAGATCTTGTAGCAGTCGTGAACTCGGACGGCGGCCTTCACCCAAGATGCCGAAACGCGAGCCTCAACGTCGTCATGCGATTCTCACTCGAGAGCGGTGGGATTCGCAGTTGCACGCACTGCGGGGTAGCCGAGTGCCAAGAGCCCCACACTTCACAGCTTCACGACCAAAACAGCTCAGGAAGGAAATACAGACAAGGATGAATGAAGAAACAGAATCAATCGTCAGATGCAGGATATTTATCCCGGCGATAAATATAAGGCCGTACTGGCCTCGGAATTCGGTCCCAAGATCACGCGAGGATGCGGGGCGAGGGGTAGTGGATGGCGGGGTGGAATGTGGACTTGCGGCGCCCGTCCACTTGGACCCCTGGTATGTATGCGGGGACCGGGTGCTTGGGACGGCAATGCGTGGAGACGAGGCGTATTGGGGTGTTAGATGGGGACCACAATGCTTTGGAAGGGAGCAAGGATGCAGTGAAGTGAAGTGTGTATTTGAACTTCGGAAAAGTGGCCAGAAGAGATACGTTGGGAGGCGATCTGCTGTTGGAAAGTGGACGATGCAGATTTCTAACGCATCAAGTACTAGGTATTTGTGTCTCTATTACGCTGATTTATTCCAAATGACGCTCTAGCAGACTCTCCATCAACCTCCCCGTCGCACATGTCTCCTTCCTCTGCAGTGGCTCACCGAAGTGCCTCTTTCATCAAATAGTCTCTGCTCGTGGTTCTGGTTCAGTGTCCTCGGCCTGATACCAGTTTCCTTGAGACCTAAAAGGGGGTTTGAAGTCCTTTGCCCAAAGTTGTGGAGTCTGGTATTGGTGATAACCCTAATGTGTTTTAGTCACTGTTCTGTACAAATCTGGACAAGTATAGTAGGAATAATCGGATCTTTGCCTTTGTCTAAATTATCCTTTTCTGGAGGGCCTGTCGTCTGGTGTTGTGCCCTCATTTTACTCGTGAAAAGGATGAATATGCTCCCTGGCCTCGATTGCGTGTTGAGCCAGAGGATGTCGGTATTTGGTGGTTTGATATGAAGGCGACGAATCCTCTCAAGCCGAGGAGGATCACATCAACCCTCCACACCCCGAAACATTTATGGCGGAACTTTGATCGGAACTTCAGAAACGTCTAGCGAAGGCCCACGACTCATCCACTGCATCGCGGCTGTCCTAATTCTAGAACGGAACAAAAGAGTCGTCCATGCGGCCACGGCGATTCATCATAAAATCTCGAAGAAAAGAGATCCTATGTGAGGGAAGTTATTCGGGCTCGGTACCACCTGCAGCGGTGCCGGAAGGCACTGACTGGTGGATGACCGAGAAAATAGAGGAGAGGAGGTAGGAAGGTAGAAAAGCGATGGAAGTTGGGCGTTTGAGAGTGAGGGATTTGTTTCCGTTTGACACGAAGGTGGGTGTGGAATAACGGGTGTGAAAAGCAAGGGAGGGAAGGTGGGCTAAAAGCCACGGATATGGAATCGGCCACTTGGAAGTCTGGAAAGAGAATGAAAGGAAAAGCTCAGGTACGATTAGAAAGAAAGGCAGATTTGAGTACAAGATCTCGGGATCTCTTTCCCCGGAATGCCTCGATCATCCCACCTTGCCGCCTTTTTCTAAGCTCCTTTCTCATTTTTCCCGCTCCGTCCTAAAAATTATTGTTGTCGACCACTGAGAACTCTGCAAAGACACAAGGCTGCAGCTCAAGCTCACGCACATCTGGATCACCCGCCCGGGCCGTGTGCATAGCCCAAGTACCAGGGAACTACTTGCATGGCTGCTTTCTTGGCTGGCTTACCCCTCTTTCTGTGATACTAAAAGAGAGAAATTTGAGATCAAGATGTCTCACCGCTTCTTCAACGCCCCCGGATACTGAAGGTTAGTCTTTGTGTAACATAAGGTTGACTAGCTACAGATGTGAGAGTTGACATATCGCATCGTCCCGCTCTATGGCTTTCCTGGCGCATCTTGTGTAAGCACCGAGATCTGGAACATTTGTAAACATTTGGTCATAGAAAGAGGAATGCAATAGAGACTGGATACTTCCACTATAGGTTATGAATCGATCTCTCGAGCAGCAAGACATAACAACCGAGGGTGGAATACTAATCACGTGAATGAAGTCGGGAGCCAGGCGCTGGACTTGCTTTTCCAGTTTCATCATGTGCCATCCAACGACCTTCCTTGATGCTCGATCCATTTCATCATCCTCTAAATCAGAGCTGTACATCGGTACATCCATTTCCTACACACAAGTAGGAGATCCAAGGTCCCGCTGCGAGCATATGCAAGAAGTCCAAAAAAAAAAAACGCCCAGCAATGCAATTTCCTTTCATTTCCGGCTGTAAATGCATTACATCTCCTCCCGTTTCCCAAGTCATCCGAGCCATGGTCAGATCAGACCATCTTCTCCCAGTCTGGTGTAACAACGAACTTTCCCATTACCTGCCCCATGCTCATGGCCTTTCCTTCAGGCGCTCCACCACCAGGCGGTCCCTTCTCGATCATATCGACCATTACGCCAGTCGTCAAGAACCCCGCATCCACCCCACGTCCGACAAGCAAATTCGTCCCACCCCAGCAGAGCTCCACCCTGCCGCTCTCTCGCACAACAAGCTTGCCAATCCAGCCTTCCTCGTGCACAACTTCATCTCGTTTCCTCTTCTCTTCTTCCTTTTTCGGCTTGCCGTCTGGACCGAGCACGACTTCCTCCTCAACCTTGATGGCAGTTGCATCAACGGTAGCGTCCTTCATCTTACCTTTTGCCTTGGCCGACATGCCACCCATCTGTACATCCTGTTCTGCTTTCACCTTTTCATTCTCAGCTCTGATCTCAGCCTTGGTTTTGGGTTTTGGGTGCTTCGGGTTATAAAGTTCTGGTAAGACAGGAGGGAATTGGAAGAGATACAGCCGGCCTGCTTTATTGTCTCTGTATTGGTTGACCCCGCCGTCCATTGCTACATCACCCTCGGCGTCTTGAGGTTGCGCGCCCAGATTGCCTTGCAGGCCGCCAAGCTCGTTGGCGAGGATGGCGACATCTTCGAGGTGTCGCTCGTATTCTGCTCTGTCTTCTTCGGTTTGGATGACAGGCTTCGTGTCCTTCTTCTTGATGAATGTCCTGGCTTTTCTCTCCTTCTTTGCCTTAGCTGCAGCATCATCTTCCGGCCCGCCAAGATCAATTGCTGAGTTGGCCAATTGATCTTTGGTCTTCCGCTTAGACTCAGGCGAGGAAGTACGGTCTTTCACCTGACGCTGGGGATCAGTGGAAGTCGCAGGAGGAGGTCGAGTACCATTGAAAGTCAATTCCAAACCAGGCTCCACCTTGATACGTGTATTGGCTTCGAAGTCTTCATAGGTACCTGTAAACTCTTTCTCTTTCGCTGGAGCACGCGAAGATCGTAGCTCGTCGATCGCAGGAAACTCCTCATCGGAATCCGATTGTATCTTTATGGCTGGTTCCGTGTTGACCAGAGTAAGACGCTCCTTGTGCTCTTCTCGATGCAATCTCACAGGCTTGAGTCCACGTTTGTTTGTAGATTTTCCTCTGCCATTCGGCACTTTTCGACTACCAGTGAAAATCACGTCGTCGTCTGAGTCATCCGAAACCAGATTGATGTGTTCGATATCCACTCTCGGGGCATCAAGGTCTTCGTCTGGATATTGTGGATCGGGAATAAAATCCTTGCTTAGTGCCATACCCGAGCTTGTATAATCTCCACGTGAAGCTCCTGCCCCCTCACCCTTGAATGTCTTTGGTCCGCCAGGGCCAGATCCTCCACTTCGTGACGAGCCACCAGCGCCTGAAGCCTTCGAGGCTAGAAATTCTGGATTTTTCTCTAGAATAAATAGTTAGCGACTCCCCTTCACTTGCTGCGAGAGTCAACTCACGCAAGGCTTCAGGCACAACGCCGAAAATTCCACTTGCAGTCCCACCTCTTCCCCTCCCAGCTCCCTTCCCAGCTCCCTTCCCAGCTCCCCTCCCCATAGCATCACCCCTCCCCCGCATGCCCCTCCCTCTTCCCATCGCTCTAGCTTTAAAAGCCTCCCTACTGGCTTCCTCGGCAGCAAGAGCATCCAATCGCGCCTTTTCCTTCTTCCGCATGTCCTCGAGCTCTCTCGCATCTCGTCGGATATTTTTTGGCTTGAACCTACTCTCCGTAGTCTTCACTCTCGACCCTCTTGAGGCAATGCCCCCTCTTGTGGGTGGCAATATTGGGGGAGGCTCTGGTCGTAGCGTAGATGGGCGGATCGGCGTAGGAGCTGGAGTTTCGGTCCAGACTGTCGCGGGGGAGGAGTTGGGAGAAGGGCCTGTGTCGTCGAGGAGTTCGTTCTGCGGGGTCGTCATTTTTGGAGCAGGAGGTTCACTTGGAGAGGAAGGAGCCATAGCGGATTGGCTACCCATATCGTTCTGGGGGTTTGGTTGTGAGACTGCAGGTTGCTCAGCTGCAGGAGGAGCTGGAGCCTTCCCTCGTCCACGACCTCTGCCCCGCCCTGCGCCGCGTGCTGCCTTTGGCGGCATCGTGATAGATGGCTGATGGTGGATTTGACGTCGTGTCACAACATTTCAATAGCCTCGATTGTACTCGAGTCTTATGTGCGGATTCGTGGAGGTTATGTCGAAGGCACGGGTGGATATAAATGTTGTGGTGGGGGACGATTTTTTTTGAATCGAGTCAGCCTTCTGGAGACCCGCTTTTCTCTTATTGGCTGAGATCAACAACACCCAATGAAGATACGCAGCCTCGTAATGGGTTCTCAAAGCGATCAAAAAATCTGCCTTATGGTATATGCGGATTGAACATACCAACTTCCTGATGGGTTCAAACCTGTATATCCCAGAACAGAGTATTTGGGAAACTTAGTCCTCGCTCACGTGACGCCGATGTCAGTCTCACCGACGACGTCCTTCCTCTCACTCTGTACTCCACCAACTTGACTGGATTCAAGCCCCCCGAAGCCCTCAGCTATCCAATATCCTGCATTTTCTTCTATCTCAGTATATCCACTTTATTCTTTTTGGGAACCGAGATGTATCCATCCAGTGGTTCGTGTTTTCCACCTCGATTGGACTGTCATCTTTCGCCCTGTCTTGTACAGCTGGGGAAGGAAGAGCCCCGTAGGCTTTTCAAATGCTACATACACTGAGCCTGCCTGCACTATTAAACTACTCAGACATGCCTTTGGATGGGATATCTCGAGGAGAAAATCAATTTTATCCTGGATCAGAAGCGGATGAAGATATCTCGACATCGCGCGATTTTAAGAATCTCATGTCTTGTGATATCTACAACTTCATAACTCTTACAAACTCACATCCGTATCCCATAGTCTCTGACTTTTACCTGCGTTCCCTCGTTCTCACCCATTCGTTGGGCCCATCGAGAGCCATGCATGGACTCTCCTCTAACGGAGAACAGCCTTATCGACGGGTTCAACTTGTACCCCAAAGACCAAAGTCGTCGTTCTGCCTACACAGGAGGATGCGCTCTTAGACTCAACGACTCAAGCACAACCTGTCCCTCCAACGTTCCAATAGCCTGCGGTACCTCCTTCGGTTTGGTCGAACCGGGGGTGTTGTCCTGCAAGCCAACCATGCTTTGGTGCGGACACTCGAGGTCCATATTGCTGCCCTATAAGTATTTCCCTCGCTATATTCTGTCACCACTCAGTGCTGATCTACAGTAGCTAGCGATTACAGCACGCTTTTCTTCCTGCCTGCTGCATGAGAGTTGTGACATGGAAACTCTATGTGAATAGGTATGGTGGAAGCGGGATCAAGGGGAGGCAGGATCGAGTGAGTTCAGGGGATGTAGGTCAACTGTTCGGCAGCGGGCGAAATTGCAATTTCATCAAAAGATACACAGAAATCAAGGTAGAAAGCATGATTATCTCCTCCATTCTTCATGAGCCTATTCTCAAGAATAAAGCTCAGCCATAACCTTCGGAACGAAGTTATTCTGTCCGAGTCTTTTTAAAGGAAATGAAAGCTGAAAACCCGAGGTATGCCAAAGATACTGCTTCTGAATCGTTTCGGCATCGGTCCAAATGCAGAAAGCTCCAAACCGCTCCCCAAAAACAACTGATGTTGAAATAAAATCTTCAAATCATGCAACCTCCATCTTGCTCGCAACTCTCATCAGCATCCCCATAATTACTATTCCAAAAGCTATTCCACTCCCCCACTGTCCGTTTATGCTTATTTGGTTTCTGACGCAGAGCCATCCTCTGCTTGATCGTTTTCAGAAGAATCGTCTTCGTTTTCAGAGGCAGTTGGAGCTACCACTTATATGTTGGAATCACCAAAAAATGTCGGCATTGAAGTCGAAATCCGAATCTTCGCTATCAGACCTAGGCTCATGAAGATTGGGCTGCAGGTTTTGCAGACGTTGTGACCGTCGAAGGTATTCTGGCTCCATGTCTGGCTCCTCAAGTTCCCAATTAACCATCTCGTCGCATTTCCATAGCTCTGGATCAATGACGCGCTCATAGGTATCGTCATCGCAGTCGAACAGTTCTTTCCTAGTTTTGCGGATCATCAGGTACTGCTTATCCATGTTGTCCACCGCCAACTTGAATAGTTCAAAAAACTTATCCGATCCAGTGATCTTGAAATTGTCATTCACCAAGATGCTGCTCAGCCGCTTGAGTAGAGTTTCTCTTTCTAGAAAGGCATATGCGCAATCGAACTTGGCTTGCCTCTTTCGAATGTTTATCCGTGTCGCAAGTGGAACATCTCGCACGAAGCTCTGAGCATAATCTTCTAGAAGAAGCAGAGCTCGTGTACATCGAGGCTCAACTTCGTGATTTTCAAGTAGGGAAGGACCAAAAAGAGCGCCACCTTGCTTCTTCTCGGCTTTAACAAATTCGGCGAGCTGCAGAGAAGCATTGGCAATTCGTTGATATTGTGGCCCCAGATAACCCAGGACGGTGGCTCGAGCATTCAAAAATGATTCGATGTCATTATTTTCACTTCCAAAGCTACCAAGTAGGAGGCCTTCTTCGACAGGGTGTGCCGGGGACAAGAAGAAAGGGTTCTCAGGTTGATCCAAATCCCCCATTTCTCTGTTCCAAGTTCTCCAGGACCAGCTTGCACCCTTCGCCTTGCGCTTGGCGTAGCATGTTCCACTGCCCCAGATAGGTTCCATGTTCTCTCTGAACTGATCGTTCCGCTCAAAGGACTGCGCGTAATTGAGAAGCTTCTGATACATCTCCCAAACGCGCGCCAAAGGCTTGTCACTTTTCACAAGTGCCTTCATATTTTCTAGCCAGTGCGTGGGAAAGTCGTGTGGTGAAGAAGCAGATTGAGGCCGCGCCGGCTGAAACGTGGATAATTCATTGATGGGCAGTTCTCCCAAATGAATTTCGCTGATATTTCTCAGCAGGCTCAAAGGCTGTAGAACCGTGGTCACGTCGTAGTACCTGCGGAACCGTGCTTCCGTGACCCAGCTGTAGCCTTTGGGCATGATCCATACCTTTAAGGATCGAGGAAAGTTGTCAGATATTGCTCTGCAAAATGTGACAAAATGGTAGATAGGAGCTTCAAAGCCCTTCTCTTCGTTGGCAGATAGAATGACTTTCCAATGCTTGACCTTCTCAAATCCTGGGTGCTGAAAGAAATCGGTAGAACCGTAAATCTGCGCTTCGATTCTAGAGATAGGGGAATATGAGCGACAATCTCGATTGAATCCAACAATAAATGTGTTTCGCTCGTAAAGTATTGGGGTTGCCTCATCGCTGATTTGTCTGCATGTACCAAGGATACTCGGCGATAGGTAATACCGGTCAATTTGCTTATGGAAGCTTGAGGATGGAAAGATCTCGGGAGAACATAAGTCTGGATTGACGAGAAGGTACTCGTAGATCTGGTTTCGGATCTCGATCGGAATCGTCTCAAGGAAGTAGCATTTTGGCTTCTCGGGGTCCATTGGCCTTGAGGTATCCAGTTGTCTCTGCAATTGCTTTTGGGCCTTCAAAGCTTCCTCGAGCTGTTCTTGAAGTTGCGCAACATCAAGGGGAATTCCTGCTTTGTCGGTCATCATAGACGACTTAGGTAACCTATTCAGTGTCAACCTTATCCACTACAATTGAGTTTGTTTCGGAAGGAGAGTATTCCAAATAGCATAGGGACATTGTAATTGTAAGAGACGATGTCTCCACAAAGAAGCACTTTTAGATCCCGGTGCTTCTCCACAATGTCCCCATACCAATTCGAAACAATGGAGGAGACTGGAGACATCACAACTTACTTTTCCTCCATGGTTTTATGGAGCTTTGGTTTGTGGTGGTGATGGTGTTGTTGTCTGAAAGAAGAAGAGTCGGGAAGGCGAGGTTGAAGTAGCGAGAATTTAGCAAGTCCGCTTCAGCTTTCCTTCCAAAATAATATCCGATCGGGAGGTTCACTACAACCCAATTCCAAATATCACAATAATGGAAAGTTCAGAGGAATGCCGTTATGTGAATCGCACGTGATTTTTACTTTGTTTACAAACTTCCCCGCCCCCTGAAATTTACCCCACAGTCGCTTAACTCTCTCGATTCTGATATCTCGTAAATACACATCTCACCTTCCACAGAGAAGCACATTAATCAGGAAAGCAAGACTGCTTCAGTACCACATTTATTGTGCTGGCATCATATCAGCTATGTCCAACAAGTCCCCATTCGCCCGAGTAGCCTCACAGCTGAGAGCCTCGCAACCAAATTCTCTATACACTTGATCGGATGTCCATCGCTTTCTCAAACATCGTTCTGCAACTAAATCCAGTTAATCCTAAAACTAACACCAGTCCTTTTTGCTCATCTCATTCGCCTCCGAACTCATCATCGCTATCGTTATCGCCACTCATATCTTCGTCCGAAAAGTCAATTGAATCAGATTTCCAATCAGATTCGTAAGATGTCTCTGACATAGCGTCCCTAATTGGGCCACCCCAAGGCTCCAAATCGGGCTCGTTGACTGTCCAATTAACGTGCTGGTCAGATCTCCAAGGCTGTGCCCAATCATCTAAACTCTTGCCCAACGGTTGAATTTTGCCAACCGGGTCGTCTGCGAAGACTGCCTTCCTAGCCTTGCGAATGCTCAGATACTGCAGATCAAGTTCATCTACACAGAGCTTGGAAGAGCGAATGAACCACAGATTGTCCGCTGGTACCCTGCTCTGGACCAAATGATCCAGCACCTCTAATATAAGCTTTCGACAGTCCACAGCATATGCTTTCTCCCATTGAAGGCGACGTATCGCAATCTCGATCCGAGTCTCGCGAGTCAAGTCACGTTTCAGGCTTTCGGCATAGTCTTGCAGCAAGATGAATACTTCTCCAAACTCCTTCGAACGATGAATAGCACAGTCGGCAGCCGTGAGGTCCGCTTGAAATAATCCGCCGTGCCGTTTCTCAGCCTTGATGAACTCCGTCACAGCAGCCGAAGCTGCAAGCATGCGCAAGTATTGTGGCTCCAGATACTCCAGGACGGCCTGTCTAGCAGCTTTGAAGCTCCTTTTGTCGCCTGTCTCGCTGGCAAAACTCGCATGCTCCAGCATGTCTTCCACGGTGTGGAATACCTGTCCGTACTTAAATAAGCCTTTCTTCTTCCATGGATACTCTCTGTCTGGATCCCGAGCAGGACTGTGACTAGGGTTAAGACGCTTTCTTGCCTCGCCATAATCAGATTTCATGGCGTCTTGAAAGACGGGACTTCTTTCGAATGCTTGGGCGTAGGCTAACAGGTTACCGTACATCTTCCAAAGATGAGCCACCTTTGAATCTCCTTCAACCAGCGACTTGAACTTGGCTTCCAAAAGAGGACAGAGGTAGTTATGATCGATGCTCGATGCGTTTGGTATTCCGGCGCCTTCATAAAGTGGCAGCTCGTCACCTATGACCACGCCAAATTTCAACTTGGCGATATTACGCAGCATCTTCAGGGGCTCCAGAACCTGTTGGACTGGATGGTAATATCCTTCAAGAGAGGAATCTTCTAGATAGTTGTAAGAGAATCGGAGTCGTTTCGGGATGATCTCAATTAGCAAAGAAGCTGGAGCTGGCCGCGCATCGCAAATTGCTCTACAAAAGTAGACGAACGAGGTTGTCGAAGGAAGTTCGGACATCTCCCGAGCTGTACCGATGATAAGCTTCCACGATTTGACCTTCTTGATGGCCGCGAGCAGGGGTATATGTTGATAATGCAGTCTGGTATAGTTGTTGGTGCCTATTGCGGATGATGATCTGAAAAGTGGAGAAGCTGCCACACGCTCAATCTGACAGTCAATAATGAACGTATTTTTCCCACCGTATAGGACTGCCGACGCTTCTTCGTAAGCCTGGCGGCCAGTGTACAAAATATCCGGGTACAATCCATACGACAGTGGATCCAACGTCGCAGTTGTTACATGACGTCGATAAATCGATTTGCTTGAGGCCAAGATATCCGAAGTGAGGAGGTAGCCGTATATTTGATTCCGAACTTCGAGGGGTATCGTTCTGAGGAAGTAGCACTTCTCCTTCTCCTCAGCAGGCTTCAACGACTCAAGTTGCGACAGAGGAGCGTTCTCGATCTGGCGACGCCGAGCTAATTCAGCTTGCAGCTCAGCAATGCTGAACCCTTCGATGCGCTTGGTTTCCTCCGTAGGCATCGTCGATTTGCTTTGCTGGGTGAGCTTTGTGCCACCAGAGAGCAAATGTGAAGTGCTCACCTGTCGTGGGACTCCATGGCGTTCCAGGTCTCAAATCAATGTTCGAGATGCAGCTGGGACTATCATTCGTTTGCTTTCAGCCCCGGTGGTGTTGCGCGATGTTGTTTGCTAGTTGGAAGGAAGAAGTTGTGGAAGAAGGCGACTCGGCGAGGTTGAAGTAGCAAGGCATGAGCCCCTTCCACTCTAAAGACCTGCGATTCCGCTTTGGGGGTAATATTCACCCAGGCTCAAGTGAAAGCGACGACGTGGCGAACGGCCTGCCGCATGAACCCTTAGAAAAAGTAAATAAAGCAGTAAAAGCAGGCACAATCGAAGAAGACACTCGAGTCACGTGATTCCTTCACTTGCACTCCTTCTGCACTGGCATAGGCTTCCAGCAGCTGCTCAAAAGTGATTTCTTCAAGAAATATGTACACCATGTCGTACGCCATGTCCTCCCTCCATCAGCCTCGCGACCAGCCAACGCCCAACGTGCGAGAATCAAATCCAAACACGCAAAACTCAAAGTTTAGCGACTCTTCAGTCCGCCTAGCAGCAGACTTCCATAACCTTGTCCCATCATAAATCATTCAAACCGCCCTCACCTGTCAACCCGTTAGTCATCATCCCTCCAACTTCTCATCATGCCTCACACTCCCCTCCATCTTCTCCTCATACCTCCCCACAACCTCCTTATTCAACCCCACCTCATCTTCAAAAACATCCACCTCGGTGCTCGCAAAATTCCTCGCGCTAATCCCCCTCTCAAACAACAAATCCAGTTCCGCAAAACTGCGTCCACTGGGCTCGGGAACCCTGAAATACGTATAGATGATACAGAGGAAGCAGATGCCCGCCCAGAAGAAGCCGGTGAAGTTGGCCCAGTTCCAGCTTCCGGGGTTGAGCATGTATGGCGTGAGCACGGAGCAGATGATGCCGACGACGTTGTAGAGGTTGCGGCCGAGGACGACGGTCTTGATTTGGAGGCGGCGGGTGGAGATCTCAGCGACGAGGGAGTAGCAGACTGTGCCGACGGAGAGCTGGTAGAAGAGGGCCCAGACTAGCATGATGGCGCCGGTGGCGAGGGAGGCTTCCTTTTTGTGTTCATGTGGGACGAGACCGAGGAAGCCGAGGATGAAGAGCATGGAGCAGAGACCGCAGAGGCCGTAGAGGTAGAGAGAACGTCGACCGATGCCGAGGGACATGAGGAACCACGCGCCAAAGACACCGGCCATGTTGATGCTGTATTGACCGAGGGCGAAGTCGTAGGCTTTGTAATCTGGGAGGCCGGCTTGCTCGAGGAAATAGGTGGAGTATCCGGAGAAGGAGTTTCCAGAAAGATTCTGAATGGCCCATACCATGCAGACAATTTCGGTGCGTCGGAGGTCGGTTCCCTTGAAGCAATCCCAGTAAGTGGCTCCAGAGGTGATCTTCTCTTCGAGAGCGGTGGTGTGGACCATCATTGAAATTGTTTCATCGGCGTCAAAGTCAGTTTCCTTGTTGGTGCTGGTCAGGCGGAGAAGAGACTTCTTGGCTTCCTCTGTTCGGCCTTTACGGACGAGCCACCATGGGGATTCAGGGGCGAGGAAAATACCGATGAGAAGGGGAACGGGCCACATCCATTGCAAGGCGTATGGAATCTGTGGAAGTCAGCGATTTGTTCCAGTTTCAACCTTAGGGAGGGGAACTAGGGGAATGAGAAGCTGTAAAAAAAGGTCTGCATACTCGATATGCCCACTCATCTGTTCTTGGTAACATAGACTTGATAACTCCGATGCCAATAACCTGACCAAGACCCCAGCAGAAATTGACGTAGGTGGTTAGGTATCCACGAAGAGCAACGGGACAGACTTCAGAGGCGTATGTGATCGTGAGAGTCTGGAAGACACCCCACGGAATACCACACAAGATCTCTGCAACCTGCAAATCGATCACACTCTGAGCCGTGAAGAAAATGGCCGTAAAACCAATGATGAGTACGAGACAAGTCATAACCGTGTATCTGTACCCGAATCGCTCAGAGACGAAACCATTGATGAAAAGACCAATGACTTCTCCGACATTGGCACCCTGTTTTCATCAGCATCCATCTCTTTCCCAGAATTTCTTGAGGCAGTCATACATTACTCAACCCCGCCTGCCACCTCGCAGGAACCTGCCATTCGCCACTAGGCAATTGCTCCCCATACTTCCGATTAAACTGCTTGAAGCCATCTATTCTCCATCAGCTTTCAGTTTATCCCTTCCTTCAGATGTGTCACTCACAAAAATTGCTCAACAAGCAAACATCATACCCCTCCATAGCAATACAAGTACTAATCAACAGACTCCACCCCACCGCCTTCGGATACAACTTGATGCCCTGCCAGAGCGTCATTTTGTGCTCCTTATCCGTCGCCGACCTCGCGTTATGGATCACTTCGTTCATGCTCTTCGTGTGCGCGAGGTCGTCTTTGGGCGGGAAGTGGATGGGCCCTGCGAGAGCCCCTGCTGCGGCCGACTTGTCGATCACATCTTGGTTGGGGGCGTGATCTGCTGCCATTCTGCCTCCCCACCTTTGGACTCAAACCAGAATCAAGGAGGAGAAAGGATGAAAGTGAGGAAGTATGGGATGGAATATGGAAGACAAGAGAGGAGAGGACGAGTCTGGGGAAGAGAAGGAGGGGTAGTTGAGCTGGGGGAAGAGCAGAATATATAGTTTAGAAGCCCAGCGAAGTTGCGCCCCACTACTCAAAACTACACCCTTACTAGCATCGTGCTACCCGAAGCTAGAAAGATTTGACGGCACTACAGCGCGGTCATTTGACAGAAATCGCTGGATTCCGAGCAGCTCGCTGTGACCTCGGTCGTTCTTGCACCGGCCGAAAATCCTGTTTACAGGGAGGAGCAGCGGGGACTGACGGAGTCGGGGTTGCAACCATGGCAGGATGGGATGCAGGACTGCGGGGAAGCTGGGGATGGCCCGCAGAGAGCGGAATAAAAGATGATTAGTTAACAGAGTACAGCTCAAAGAGGACGAAAAAGGCGATTTTGCGCGAGGGCGTATCGTTGAAAATTGCTTGATTTTTTAGGATGCTTGGTGGCTGATGGGAGTGGCGTTTTGAGGCGATTGGAAGTGAGCCACTTGCGCGGCAAGTCAGGTGATGTGTATCACGTGCACCCACAACAGAATCAATTCGAACCTCAAGACAGGATGAAGTATTTAAAAGCTTTTTCACTCCAGAGTGGTGGGCGAATGCCAGCCAAGAAACGAGACTTCAATAGATCCATCGAGTTTGACGGATGTATTATAGTGAGTGAAAATACGCCGGCGTGCTGAGATGTACTGCGACGGCGGGTGCCTGCACCTTATGTGCTATGATCCTTTTATGAAGGGCCTTCAAAAGTGTGAATCTTGTTTCTCTAAATGGCGTAAGGTCAGAAGCGCATGCTGTGATGCTCTCGATTTCATAAGATTTATTTCGTGGACAGTAGAAGCTGCTTGTGCCTTCCTGATACAGTTCATGCAAGGGAACTCCGATCCTGCTGTCCCTGGAAAAGTGGATATCATGACTTGGAAATCGCCATTTCCTTTCTTCCCTCCACTTCCAACCCTCAAAACAAGACGAACGTGCGTCCTCGAGGACCTTGAAAGCAATTAATTTGCTTATTGTCGTGTATGTCGCTTGGGCCAACCAATTTGCCCCGCTTCCGACGCCAAAAGAGACGTCTTGCTAATTTCCCACAGCAGAGAACAACACAAGGCGGTCAAAGAATCCTACAGTGGCACTTCACAATAACGCTGACAATAGACACTCAACTCCATAATGGAACAGCATGCAGATGGCAACACCCGCTTCCATTGCCGAAGATCCGAATCCACCTCATCCTCAAAGCACCCGACATCTATACAAACATCTATCGGCCTTGGCCTGCGGAAGATTAGCGTTCGACGTATCATTTCATCTGCATATGGTTTCTTACCTGGGTCAATAGGTTGTGGCTTCGGTTTTGGCTTGTCTCCCGACCCATCCTTTCCCCTCATCGAGTAAAGGCCACCTTGGGACGAGACTCGACGCTGACGAGGGTGCCCGAACTTTGTGTGAAGAGCTTTGCATCTTATCTTTTCCTTGGGTCCTTGCATGTGCAGGCCGTAGACCTGGCTTGCTTGGTAGTTCACTGCGGAATGCTGAGGATTCGTCAGAAGAGTTTCTGTCGATATCATAGCAGTTATATGGACATACCTTTCCGCAGACCACATCGTTGTGGCATTCATTGCCACGTCTTTGGCGAATGATTTCCATTGCTTGTTTCAGGACTTGGAGCTCAAGCGTCTCGCTGATCTCTCTCATGGCGTGATGGTTCCTTCAATGAAGATCCCTTGACTCGTTGGAATGAAGTGCAGCGTGTCCAAAGTGTCTGAATGCAGATGTCTCTTGCGAGGGACATGTATGGGGAATATGGCCCTGGCCAAGTGTTCAGGCTCAGTCTCTATATATGATGCCATCTTTGTCGCTGCGTTCTTTCGTGGAGGCACCTCGAGCAGGCTGCCGGGTTTGGGGGCCACTTAGGGCCGTGGCTCTTTGTTAAGTGGTCTACAAAAAGTTGGGAGCTAGGAACCTCGCCATCGACCGAACACAAGTGCCGCGCAAGTGACTAGAGTCTTTTGCATCACTAAAGTCCGCAGCTCGTCGACTGAGGGCTGTTAGGGCGACTGGGAGCTTTCAGGGATCGAGACATGAGCAACTGGTCCGTGCACTGTAAAAAGCAAAATTCGGTGTGCCTCCCTATGTTCACGGCGTGCAAACCATCAACTTTGGTCACCGATGACAATTTGATAGTCCCCGTTTCATAGTAGGTTCCGAGTTGCTGAAGACCCAAGTGAGTCGGCGAAAAGACGGCGCCTGCTGGCGCCTCCCTCTCTGTGCCCAAGCGGTACGGGACGGGCACCAGCCAGCCCATCAAAGTTGCATGCAATATCACACGGCTTACAAGCCACACTGCGGAGATGCGTGCCCCTGTCAATCCCGTCGTGGTGTTTGCGGCATACAGCTTACTGGCGTCATTGAAGAGGGTGCCCACGCGTCTCCGTTACCGCGAGAGCTCGTGGTGGGGGTTCTCGGCGCGGACAAGGCGTCAAGGACGTATGCTCGATTTGACCATTTTTGCGATCACGTATTATGCTCAGCCATCGTAGGCACCACCTTCAGGAGCTCAAAAGCAGATCACTTCCCTTTCAAACTGCAAGAGTCGAGTTTCCCCGTGTATCTTTGCCTATATGACCATTACCACACTTTCCAGTTATCAGCCAGCCTCGTCCAATTCCACATTCTCTATTGAAAGCGCACACCGTTCATCACCAATTCCCAACATTATATCTCAGCGCCTTGTGCTAGCGCAAAGTCATCCTCAACTTGCAGCCTTGCTGGACCCCGTATTATTGGGGTGTCGACACATCACTGTGGTTGTTTAGTACATTAACCCCGGTGAGGGCTGATGAGGAAGCGCTCTTTGCGAAGACATTCGAATCTTCCTCTCCAGCGAATTCCAAGGCATTCTCGTACGAGATCAAAACGGCAGCGACGTGTGACCATTCGCTTCATTCCGCGGCAGTGGCATCGCAGGGATCCTGCCATGGCACACTGGGACCTATTCAATAAGAAGATAGAGCCGTTCAAACGGAGGACTTTGAAACGTTCCATATTTGTTCCCATCCGATCTACGCCGGCAAATTTGGGCAAGGAAGCGATCCCAAAAATGATTCCCAGTTTTCCACCCAATGAAGACGATTATACACGGAAGAAACAAAAGCTTGACGACCGGACTCCTTTTGATGCCGAAAATTTTCAGTGAGCATGGAGTTCTCTGCCGCGCAGAGTTTCAACGCTAATTATGATTAACCCTAGTGACAATTCATCTGATGTCGTCAATGCACTTACAAGTGACAGCCCTGAGAGCCTAGAATCGAGGAGGAGCGATAGTCTCGAAAGCTGGTCTGACCATGTTTTTAGCACCCCGCATTCTCCGAGCCCCTCGTCTAGTCAGTCTCACATTCTTAACTTCTCCGTTTAACATTTGCATGAATTAATGGGTTTCAGGTCGTTCCTCTTCTCCTACGCGGATGTCCGAGACTAACGACAAAATGAACATCGATCCGCCAGATCATTACCGTCCCATTGGCTCAGAGCAAAGCATTTATCTCTCCGACTTGACAATTGTTCGACGTATACCACAGCAGGACTGGCCCACTTCAATATCATCGATTGATCAACCTGTTATGGCAGTCGGTTGTTGCAAGATTGGAATTGAGTCTTGGCGAGTACCTCTTACTACCATCAATGGGAACCAGTAAGTTGACACGGCGGGTATTGCTAGGCCGATTTACTTACGATCCACAGCTCCTATTGCAGCAGCCCTAATGCGACCAAACCGCAATCAGACGAGGAGAACATAGATCGATCTTCATTCACGATTTCAAACAGTGGATCCCAACCGGATGCATCTTCAACTCACGAACCAGATGGACAATCAACCGAAGGCGATGAGTCCACTAATTCAAAGACATCCTCCAATTGGTCAGATTCCTCGAGCAATGGGGGCACAACCAAAGCCAACCACGACGACAAATTGGAGGCTTTCATCAAAGAGGATGTGTTAAGGACCGATCCAGCTGTCGCAGAAATATTCTACCAGAACATTATCGGCAAGCTAGAATATTCATCGCCTGAGCACAGCGAACCAGTCGACGAGATTCACGAACTCTCACTACTTGACCTTCTCGAGTTCGAGGCATTTAACCTCGTGGGACATAGCGGGGCTCCCACGGAGTGCCCTGGATCGTCCAATGGACCCTCTCCATCATCAAGCGGCACTCAGCGGAGCGAGTCTGCTTCCAATTTAGAACAAATCAATCCAAGTAGGTCCTCAGCTCCCTTCTCTGTCAACCAGTCTCTTGATCCTGTCTTGTTGGTTTGCTCCGTTAGGGCCTTTAGTTGAACGATCGACATTAAACCCATCCATGTTTGATATTTCCGACTCGTCAGCCATCCACAGACTAATTCCAAAGAAGGTCTAGGCAGTGGTTCCGGAGGCTCTAACCCAACCAGAGATGACAGCATATCCCAAGACGATCCGAATCAGTTGGTTAAAAGTACCGTGAGATCCAATTCCTCACAAGGTAGTAAGGCGCGCCCGCTCAGATGTATTCACAACGCCATTGCCCCCGGCACATTCTCGGTCAATGAAGTTACCTTGGAGAAGTTTCGATCTTGCTCAGGTCCAGGTTGGAATTCTATTCAGCACCTAAAGTATGTATTTTTCGGAGGCTCGGTTCCTTGTAAGTGGGTCAACTAATCAAATTCAGGGAGCATATGCAAAACGTTCACACCAAACAAGTCAGAAAGGTCAACCCACTGCAATGTAGTCGCTGTCAGGACGAATTCCCGGATCAGGATGAACTCAAAGGTCACCAACTTAATATAGACTGCGCGATTCGCTGCCCCGATTGTGCCGATGAGTTTTCCTCGAAGGCTCAAAGACAGGAGCACCAAAAGGAGAATCATCTTGAAGATGCGAATAATCCTCTCCTGAGAGAACTCGACGATACTATGTGGAAACAGATCAAAGACAATCTCAGCGTCTACACAACTTCTCTCAAAAACAAAAAAGGCGGACCGTCTGGTATTCCTAATCTTGAGCGCGAGCGATGGGTGCTTGAAAATATTCCACGCTACGAGAATGGACGCTCGTCAAAGCTCAAAGCCAATTCCAAGCTCGAGCTTGGTCAGTGGTACACGATATTCACGACTCTCGCACCAAATATGAAGATTCTGGAGCATCCTTGTAAGTGGATTCCCAATTTTCCCATTTTCAACACTGAACATACTCTCAGTCTACGACTACGGAACTCCCCGCTCTGATTACGCCCAGGAAAGGATATTGTTCATCCATGACACAATGATAAACGCCAGAGTAGAAGCGCACGGATTGCCCCCAGCTGACTTCGATTTGCAACGGGAATGGTACCGAGAAGCTTTGCGAGATAGTCTACGAGTGGCTGCCGAGACGAAGAAAGTATCCCACTTCAAAAGAAGCGCGGCATCAAGGCGAAATAATATATTAGCTCCATCATCAGCGTCTGGACCTGGGCCAAGCATCATTGACGGGATGGGCTATAACGGTCCAATGGCGGCGACTATACAAATGCCGCATCCACCCACCATGAACAATATGTCAGGAACATCCGCTCTCCGACATCCTTATCCTCCTCTTGCACAACAACACACAATGCAAGATCCATGGGCAATACCACCCAATAATGTGTCAGGGCCAATGACCATCAATCCTGGCGCAATTTATCCCCCATTCTTCGAATCTCCAGCTCCGATGACGGACAACAGTGGGCCACCGTTCCAACCGTCTTATTTCATTGGCCAGGGTAACCTAGGTACCCAGGACGATTTTGATAATCTTACGGATTGGCCGGGTCAGCAAAGGGGATCTTGAGTTTTTGAGTATTGAAATGCATTCAAGAGGAAATTTCACTAAAAAGGCGTTGGTCTTTGGATTACCTACCTCCCTGTCGCTCGCTACCAAGATTTCTTTCATAGTCTGTTGCGTCTATTCACATCATATATTGGTACTCCCCTATTCAAGTATATATGCCATCAATCAACTTTTGTCTTCCATGACTCCTGCGTTCAAGCTACTCTCCAGCTCTGTACATTGGGAACATCTGCACTTGTGGTAGGTCGCCCTTGCATGTGTCGAGTTGTAGACAAGAGGAACTCTACCATCCCTCCCACCTGTTTCTCCAAGTTCCACATGCCACAAGAACTGGTTCTCCACATAGAGATAAATCCAGGCTCATGGCGAAGAGCAAGTGCTCAGCACGTGACTCAATACAGGATGCTGTAATCCGTTACAGTACTGTGCTTGCAGTTTGCCAGTAATCGCGCCGTGGTAGTGTATGATTCCAGCGATTGTGAAAACTTGTCTTCGTCGTAAGTCAAACCATGAGAGGTGTAATCGTTGACCCAGTGCCACCATAGTGTCACGGTACTGTCACCTCCTCTGCTGGAGACTGTAAACTGCATGGTGGTCCAATAAACGCCTCAAAGCTGGGAGTAACGAGGTCAAAGATGCCATCTTCTGAATTGTAGCGATATCGATAGCGCCAGTAGAATTGATTCCTCGTGAAATAAACTGTGTGTGGGGAAAGAACGAGCTCTTAGAAAACCCAGCCTCGCTTATTTACGGGCTCTCTAACAGTCATTGGAGTCATCAGCAGCGGCGGGATATCCTCGTACAGGATTGAGTGGAGAACAATCCCTAGGATCTTCTGAAGGGGTAGTGACTCGCACCGTCGAATTGGGGAGCTTAAAATGCACCCAGCAGAGCTATCATCTGCAGAAGTAGTTGCAACAGTTAGAAAGGATCTCTGGAAGATGGACGTCATATCCGCGGCTTCGGTTTGCTAATTGAGAGGATCGTCTCGTACAATTCAAAGTGAGTCAATCCAAATATATCGTATGCCTAATTTCTGAGTGATCACAATCGCATCTTGGTATGTTTTAGAGAGCTGTTGAACAAAATACCTTCCATATGGGTATCTTTGTTAGATTGCATGGTTCGGAGAGGTGGGTTTGATTCTGTCCCCAGCAGTGACTTAACGTGGTGTAAAGTCGACACTCATTACCACGAAGCGTTTTCGTTTCCATAAACTTCGGGGGTCGTAATCCATCCGCTTGGCCAACATCGATTAGCCTGTTTGGACAGGAAGCGTTGTTGGTGACACAGGGTGGATGATGGTGAAAAAAGTCTTGGACCCAGTCTTGGATGACAGAGTGCCGCGGGTCTAAATTGACTTTACGTTTCCATATCGCCCGAGTAGCTAAAGGGTCTGTCCACTTGTGACTTCTCGTGGAATAGATCGAGCAGAAGATGATAAATAGTTTGCGCTTCAAGGAGCTTGTATACTTGGGAAAGATTGTCCTTCTAGACAACCTGAAGATATAGTATTATTGTGCTTAAGAAATCTACTTACCGCGTTCATTAAGAACGCCAAGTGGTTTGCCAAGAATACGATGGCTTTGCATCGCCACCAGATACCGGCCAGCATTAGGAGAACGAGTTATGAAAGGATCACTCCAATCTTCTGGAGAGCCGCGAAAGTCTCGAGGGAAAATTTGGTTTGAAGGTGCTGCTGAGAATTGCGTACATGGAATAAGTAAGGCTAGATTGTTCTAGGGCAGAGACGCCTGGGGATGATCCTATCCGTCGGTGTTACTACTCGAAAATGTACGTGAAAAGTTAGAATAATACGTGCAAAGAGACATGATGTTGGGCGAAGGTGTTTCTCCTCTGAGATGGACCTCGGACAGAGTGAGGGTGGCGAAATGGTTGAAAATAGTAAGGTCTGTTGAGTTCATGTCCAGTGTGTCAAAGAACTACTCATACTACTCATACTACTCGTGAATATTAATGAGTAGCGTGAGTAGGATATGAGTAGCGTAATGCTCTAATAATCCGAGTAGAGTGGAGTATATACTCATGAATAGCCACAAGTAGTTATGAGAAGTCGTCACGTGACTAAAAGTAAGTCAAAGTTTACTTAATAATTATTAAATACAAGGTACCTATTAAACAGCCCTAGTAAAAGTAAGCTAAATTTTAATTTTCTATAATAATAAACTAGTTACTCTCCTCGGAATGTTGATTTTCCCGACCATGGGCTCGCTTGCTAAGTAATACAGTACGAGTACTGCTGGTGCTGTACCTGATAAGGGTTTGCTACCCCACCAAAATTTTGCGTATTCTTCAAAGTGCTTCCAAAATTCTAAAAACTTCTAATATTATAAAGAATGCCCTTAATAGCCCGGCTTCAAGCTTAATTTCTTTAAATTATGGTGTTGTTGTGGTCAAACTGCGGGTTTGGGCGGTTGAGAAGTTTGGGCGTTTGGCCAGTGAACCCCTCTATTTCAGGCCTTGATCACCTTTGTTCTGACGTCGGATCCTTAGCATTCCACTGCGGTTTGCTCTTGAAACTCCGCTGGTTCACCTGAGATACTCCCCTGTCTGGAATAATCGAACAGGCCTTTCATTGTCCGCGCTCAGAGATGCGTCTTTTGCGACGCAAAAGCAAGCGCGAATTCAGCTTGACCAAGGACCTGATCGACGATATCCCGCGTTATGCGATACTTTCGCATACTTGGGGAGATGATGATGAAGAGGTCACCTTCATAGACTTGGCAGAAAGTTCTAGGGATATTAAGGCAGGATATCAAAAGATCCAGTTCTGCGCAGACCAAGCCGCTCGTGATAGTCTGGAATATTTCTGGGTGGACACTTGTTGCATCGACAAATCGAACAACACCGAGCTCTCAGAGGCTATTAACTCCATGTTTCGCTGGTATCGCAATGCGGCTAAATGCTACGTATATCTGTCAGATGTTTCGACAAATAAACACAATCAGAACAACCTGTCCCCCCAGCCATGGGAAGCGGCCTTTCGGAAGAGCAGATGGTTCACCCGAGGCTGGACACTACAAGAGCTTATTGCTCCACCATCGGTTGAATTCTTTTCCCGAGAGGGCAAGCGAATCGGTGATAAGAAGTCGTTGGGCCAAATAATCCACGAGGTAACAGGATTGGCTGTCCAGGCGCTTGAAGGGAGTACTCTGTTTGAATACAGCGTTACTGAGCGATTATCATGGGCAAAAAAGCGTGAAACTAAGCGCGAAGAAGACAAGGCTTACTCTCTGCTAGGCATTTTCGACATACATATGCCACTTATTTATGGCGAGGGAATGAATAATGCGTTTCGCCGGCTTCGAGAAGAGATCGATAAGTGTTCAAGCATCGATCGTTCAAGGCTGCTTTCGTCTGGAATCTCCACACATAGTAGTAAGTCCACAATATGGATTTCTTCGCATTAGGTCTATAGTAAAGACGAATACTGACTGGTGACTGATGGTTAGATAACTCGCTCGATGGTTTACAGTTCGCCGTCGATGCACCCTTCAATTCGTACCAGAGACAACACGAACCCACTTGCCTTGACAATACCCGCGTCGATATTCTTCACAAGATACATACAGGGCTGACGGACAAGATAAGCGGTATATCTTCTGGCTGAGTGGCTTAGCTGGAACGGGAAAGTCGACCATTGCCCGCACTGTTGCGCGGAGATACTTTGAGAAGAACCGGCTTGGGGCTAGCTTCTTCTTCACAAAAGGTGGTGGGGACGTAGGCCATGCTGGCAAGTTCGTTACAAGCGTTGCTATACAGCTTGCGAACAGTATACCTACTCTTCGTCGGTACATTTGCGACGCTGTGAGAGAGCGGAGCGATATTATACACCAGTCACTACGGGAGCAATGGTCCCAGCTTGTCCTCCGTCCGTTATCGAAGGTAGACAACAGTTGCCATTCTTCCTACGTTCTTGTCATTGATGCGCTCGATGAGTGTAGTAATGATAATAATATCCGGATGATTCTGCAACTCTTAGTTGAAGCTCGATCAATGCAGAGAATCCAGCTACGAGTCTTTTTGACAAGTAGACCTGAGATTCCAATCCGATATCGGTTCAATCAGATACCGGATTCAGAGCACCAGGATTTTGTTCTCCACAGTATATCACCGTCGATTATAGACCATGATATCTCTGTATTCCTGGAATACAACCTCAGACTCATCGGACAGGAACGCTCTCTGGATGCGGGCGAAGAGGTCATTGGAAATTTAGTTCAGATCGCAAGTGGACTGTTCATTTGGGCTGCAACTGCCTGTCGATTTATCCGTGAAGGGAAACGATTCGCAGCAAAACGACTGGATATAATTCTTCAGGGCAGTGGCAGTGCTGTGACAGTACCGGAGAAGCACCTCGACGAGATCTATACTACGGTTCTGGAGCATTCCATTGCCCCAGAATACACAAACGAGGAGAAAGGAGAGTTATATCGCATGCTGAGACATATCCTTGGAAGTTTAGCTATTCTTTTCTCGCCGCTTTCTGCATACTCCTTGAGCAAGCTACTGAAGGAGGACATTAACCAGACGCTAGAGGATCTGCACTCTATCCTGGATATTCCAAAGGACCAGAACTGCTCGCTTCGTCTCCACCACCCTTCATTTCGGGACTTTCTCCTTAATAACGACAGGTGCAAGAATCCAAACTTATGGGTGGACGAGAAGCATGCGCATCAGGCGTTAGCTGACAGCTGTATACAGCTTATGTCAGCTTCTCTGAAGCAAGACATTTGTGGGCTGAATACTCCCGGTGTGCTTGTAAGCGACGTCGAGAGCAGTCGAATTCAGCGCAGCCTTTCTTCTGAGGTTCAGTATGCATGCCTCTACTGGATTCAGCATCTTCACAAGAGCGGCGCTCAGCTTCGCGACGACGACCAAGTGCATGACTTTCTCCAAGAGCATCTCCTTCATTGGCTTGAGGCTCTTGGCTGGATGCAGAAGGTTTCGGAAGGGGTCTATGCTATCGTTTCTTTGGAGTCTATTACGACGGTAGCCAGCTTCTAGCATAATACGAATATTAAGCTGACATTTTGTTTTAGACCTGTAGCTGTCCACAACTAGCTGAATTTGTTTATGATGCGAAGCGATTCGTCCTCTACAACCGGGCAGCGATCGAGCAAGCTCCCCTTCAGACGTACTGCAGCGCGCTCATATTCGCGCCGCTAATGAGCAAAGTAAGAGAGCAGTTTAAAGACTACATACCCCAATGGGTACAAAGGCTACCGAAGGTCGAGAATAATTGGAATGCCTTGCTGCAGACGCTCGAGGGCCATTCGTATTACGTCAGGGTTGTCGCCTTCTCGCCGGACAGCAAGCTGCTGGCATCGGCATCAAACGATCGGACGGTCAGGCTATGGGACCCTACCACGGGCGCAGCGCTACAAACCCTTAAGGGCCATTCGAGCGGTGTTGATGCTATTATCTTCTCGCCAGACGGCAAGCAATTAGCATCGGCATCGAGCGACCAGACGGTCAGGCTATGGGACCCTACCACGGGAGCAGCGCTTCAAACCCTTAAGGGCTATTTGAGCGGCCGTTATGCTATTGCCTTCTCGCCAGACGGCAAGCTACTAGTATCGGTATTATTTAAAGGTATAATCAAGCTATGGAATACGGTCACGGGAGCGTCGCTACAGCTGCCTGGGGACTGTCCAAGTTGTATTAATGCTATTGCCTTCTCGCCGGACGGTAAGCTGCTGGCATCGGCATCAGACGATCAGACGATCAGGCTATGGGACCCTACCACGGGAGCAGCGCTACAAACCCTTAAGGGCCATTCGAGCGGTACTGGTGCTATTATCTTCTCGCCGAACGGCAAGCTACTAGCATTGGCATCGAGAGACCGGACAATTATGCTATGGAACCCTATAACAGGAGTAGCGCTACAAACCCTCAAGGGCCGTTTGGAGACCGTTCGAGCTATTGCCTTCTCGCCGGATAATAAGAAGCTAGTATCAGTATCAAGTGATAAAACAATTAGGCTATGGGACACGGCTACAGGAGCAATGTTGCAAACGCTTAAAATCTCTTTAGGTGGGGTTTGGGCTATTGCCTTCTCGCCGGACGGCAAGCAGTTAGCATTAGTATCGCTAGACAACACAGTTAGGCTATGGGACACGGCAGCTATAGGGCCAATGTTGCAGACGCTCGAATGCCATTCGGAGGAGATTAGTGCCATTACCTTCTCGCCAGACGGCAAGCAGCTAGCCTCGACATCGTGGGATAATACAGTCAGGCTATGGGATCCGGCCAAGGGAGCGGCGCTAAAGATGATTAATGGCCATGGATACGTTAGCGCTATGGCCTTCTCGCCGGATAGTAAGAAGCTGGCGTCGGCATCGAACCGGACGGTCATTTTATGGGACGTAGCCACAGGAGCGGCGTTACACATACTCAAAGGACATTCGGACTGGGTTCGCGCTGTCGCTTTTTCGCCAGACAGCAAGCAGCTAGCCTCGGCATCGAAGGATGGAATAGTCACGCTACGGGATGCGGCCACGGGAGCAGCGCTACAGACGCTTGAGGGCCATCCAGGACATTTCTCTTTCGCTATTGCCTTCTCGCCGGATAGTAAGAAGCTGGCGTTGGCATCGGAAAAAACGATCAGGCTATGGGACCTGACAAGGGGAATAACGCTACAGACGTTCGAAGGTAATTGGCACTTTACCGCTGTCGCCGTCTCGCCGGACGGCAAACTGCTGGCATCGGCGTCAACCGATGGGACCGCCAAGCTATGGGATGCTGGCTCAGGAGCGGTTCTACAAACGCTCAAGGTTGGCGCCGTTGTTCAGACCCTTTCGTTTTCTAATGATGGGACCTTCCTACAAACAAACAGAGGGCCCTTATATCACACATTTCACTCTGATAGCACAGCTGTTTCTCAACCGAATCTTCCGCAATCTCTCTTTATCAAGGACCAATGGGTAAGCTGGGGTATGGAAAATATTCTCTGGCTTCCTTTCGAGTATCGGCCAAGCCACGTCGCTGTGCATGGGAGCATTATTGCTTTGGGTTATCCGTCTGGACGAGTAACATTTATGGAGTTTGCTTTCTAAAAGATTCCCTTAACCTCTTCCCTGTCCACCTCTATTGCGATTAATTGTCATTTTATACTCTTTTGAGAGAAGCAAAAGTAGAAATGCAACGTCTTTCAAATCAATGACTCTAAAGCATGTAAGTGGAGTGCACGGGATATTGGCGTAAATCGCCTCTGCTACTATTCTAACTCTGGGTCGCCAGAAATGGCTTGCGGACCCCACTAGAAATGGATCCATCTGCAAACGGGACTCATTAAAGCACGTGATTATATTTGAATAAAGGGCTGACTGGTGACTAATGACGCATGTCTCCTCCCTGACTAAGGCCACAATATATATCAGCCGCAGTGTGGCTGAGGAGGTTGACATAACGGCAACAATAGCCGAGAACACTTCTGGTCCGCAGACCTCTCCTGTAACTCTCAACTTATTTTAAAGCAAAATCGTTAAAACTCCATTTACAAAAGAATTGAATTGGATGTTCTTATCTCTGCCCGAGATTCAGAGCCGCCAGGACTTACCAAGGCGTGGCAAATATATCACGTGAATGAGGTCAGGTCAAAGTACTAAGGACTTAACAGGAATCAAACGAACCTTTATAGAAGTTCTCGATAAGAGACTATATATTTAGGAAATAGAAATCGTTGAGCATTGTTCTAGAGTGTTTGGACCAGCTTAGTTATATTGTGTTGAGATATTTTACGATTTAGTCGAATGTTCAATTTTCCTACGAGATTTTCGTCTCACAGGGATGTCGGTTCCAAGAAAAGAGGCCGAATAACTTCAAAAAGGGCTAAAACTGAGGGGACAGAAAGTAAAGACTAGATTGCCTAACAAATCAAGATTTCATAAACACCTTGCTTGTCAGTAAATCAAGCAAGGAAGCCCGGCCGCCTAATGTGTTGAAGTGTCGGCACAAAACACCTTCTTTTGCCAATTCTCTCGGACTTTTTGACCTCTTTTGACCTTCCTCATTGAACCCCCGGTGTTTCAGCCCTCTCCGCTCCTCCATCGCGCTTCAACCTCGCCGCCCCATCCCGCCCCTTCAAAGCACGGCGGGGAACTCTCCCTCGGCTCCAGACTCTCGAGACCCCCTCGGCACTACCCCGGAACCGGTCCCCTGCTCGTGGGAAACTCAGCCAAAAAACTCTAAGTTAACGTTTATCTCAACATATGCAAGATGTCAGACGGTGAGATGCAGGAGGTGAGTCTAGAATTCTGTGAAGGTTTGTGGAGAAGGAAGAGAGCGGAAGTGAGGGAGTTTGTGGCGGGAGGGGGATAATCTATTTTCCGCCCCTTACCGCCTCTCACGTGATACACCTCATCTTTTCCTACCTAGATTCTTGAAAATGTATCTCAAAAGCTCTAACCATTCTACCCTCTCATCTCGACATCTCTATCGTTATCTATCTCCTTTGCGTAAAGAAGAGGTGGAATTATCCTTCATCACGTGCAGACCCCCTGTCGCACGGACCTCAAGCAATTGCCCAATGAAGGCAAGCCTCCCTCGCCTCCCGACGACATGCCGAAGAGCACAGCTCACTGGAGGATCGAGCCCGCGCGCATGCATGCATGCATCGCGGGAAAGCAACAGCTTGCTGAGCCTGTCACGTTTCAAGCTTACTTTAGGTGTCGGTTGCCGGCAGGAAGCGGGGTAGTTGTATTCGCTCTGGTTGGCCGATTGACTGCCAGGGTCTAGATTCCTTCGAACCTTTTTTGGTGCATGGCTGCTGAGTGGCGGTTTCACGCTCTGGGAAGAATATCCGTTTCTCCCTCCTACTTAGGATTGAAACACGAGTCGGACGAGGATAGGAAAAAGCAGAGAGGAAGAAAGGAGGAAAGGATTTTGTTTCTTGAATCTGTTTTGTATTGATTTCTTGAGTTTAAGTTGATAAACAATAGGAAAGCCCTTGATTGATTTGTTCCGCCCATCCGTTCGTTGACCTTGTTGATTTCGCTCCGTTGTTTTAAATTCCACCCTACCCCATCCCATCCATTCCAACCCACACCTAAAGACAAATTCAATCAACTTCAATCAATCGCGCAGTGATTTATCCTTCACCCTTCACCCCTTCAGCAATAATCCGGCCACTGCTCGCAAGATGTGTGTCACTTTCGCGACTCGCAGAAGACCCGAAGAAACAGCAACAGAAAACAGAAAACAACCGACGGACGACCAACGAAAACAAAAGGAAAATCGTATAATATGTTCATGCATCAATCATAAGGAGTGTGTGTGCCTGCCTCCCCCGTAAGCCAAAGCCGCAATCCTGCCGCCCAAGACCAATCCCAAATTACAACCTTGCCACGCTTGCCCCAAACAAACACGAGAAACAGAAATAGAAGTGAGGTGGAAACAGTGAACGCCATGCTTATCCATAGCAGAACATGGAGAGAATGCCGAAGGAGAGTGGGATGACATGGTTGACGTGTACGAGAGGACATTCCAATCGCATAATAGCGAAGATGTTGAAGGTAAGCGCTTTTGGTGTACCGAGAGGCGAGGAGATTTAAATAAGCCGAGACAGACGAGAGGAGAGAATCGTTAATACACGAAAGAAGTGTTGCCGATATCTTACTTCGATGCCCTCGAGGGCAATGACTCGTAGTGATGCTGGTGATTGGTCGAGATTCCGCCGCCTACCGCTTTCTCTTCTTGCTCTTATCGGGGCTGCCTTGACCGCCGGCCATGATCGAGGGAGCAATGAAGCTTGTCTCCACAGGCAGCTCTTCTTTCTTGACGGGAACACCCATGTGGCGTCCGTATCGTCCTTTGCGGCCATTGCCCTCATCCTCACTGACGCATTGATCTGCGCTTAGCCCAGCATCTTTGCAGCGCTGGCAGGGACGTTGACGGTCGCAACCCTTCTTGCTCTTGCGGCATCGTTGGCAGCGGGGCTTGGAAGATAGGTCCTCTTCGTCGTCACCGAGTTGGTGCTGGAAGTTCAAGGCCGATGCGTTGGACGTCTTGCGAGATTGTGACGGGAGCGATGTCGGGGAGATAGGCTTTGCACTGCCTGGGAGACTGATGGATTTCTTCTTCATCGGTCCCCGCTGCTTGGACTTGCTGGACCTGACTTTGGCTCCAGATGCACTGGTGCGAGGCTTGCCCATGACAGTTGGTGCACTCTTGGACTTGTGCATCTTTGGCTTCCGGTCGATATCCGTGGCGGCGTCGGGACCACCAAGTCTGAAAGTCTCATCAAGGCCATCTTCGCAGTCGCCTTCATCTCCGCTTGGCTCTGTGCTGTCTTGGCTTGGCAAAATATCGTCCAAGTGTTTGCGGAACTTGGAGATAGCACCAGGAGGCAGAATTGGGCTGGCCTCAAGCTTTTGTCGGCGAGCAGGAGGCAGCTCATCCTCACTTTCGCTCTCTCCGTCACTGGTAGCTCCAGTAGAGGAAGCGGCGTCTGCTCTGCCACTGAAAGTGTCATCCAATGTAGAAGCAGAAGTGCGGCCATGGGAGATATTTGACATTTCGCCCAATCTCATGAGCTGGAGAGCCACATCTTTATCTTCCTCAGACATACAACTGCCAACAGTTGGATCAGGTGTAGGGAGTATGCCTGAGTTGTTTCCATTTGGTGTTGCACCAATCGAGTGCCTGTTGGGCGGGTATGAAGATCCTCCCCGTGTTCGCCGACCATGTGCGGCGGGTGTGGTGTACAACCCAGGCTGTCCAAAACCATTGCTATAGCTTTGTGGCGATTGTAGAGGTTGAGGATTCGAGAAAGGGTGTTGTGAGGGGTGTGCAAAGGTAAAGACTGGTTGCTGGTGCTCAATGCGACGAGCAGGTGAAACGGAGGAATTCGAGGTGGCAGCAGGCATCTGCGGAGGAGCAAAGAGTGGCAGCTCCTATAAATTATATGTTAGCAAACAATCCAGTAAAATATTTGAGGCCCATGGCTTGCACGTACAGAGCTCTCGAACTTGGCCCGTTTGCGTCTTCCACCCTCGACAATGTTGTCCAAACTGATCTCTGTGTTGCCAATGTGCTCACTTTTTGTCTTGCTAGAAACAGAGCCCGGTGCTCCATCCCCACTGCTGTATCCATTCATCCCATCGCTGTGGTTATCTGCGAAGCTCCCGTGTGCACTGGATCCACGGCTCTTGAAGCCTGATCGCGACCGACTCTTCTTCATAGGCGGTGGGTTCGTGCTCGCAGACGCGCTCCGACGGCCACGCCCCTGGTTTGGGGACATGCTTCGCTTGCGAGAAGTTCTCGATGTCGGACGTGAAAGGGGTTGCCCATAGTTGAGCGCCTGTGCCGGTTGTGGTGGTGGCATGTGGTGGCCATCACCTGGGTAGTACGCCTGTGGCAACACCGGCGAGCCAGAGTGATAGGATGATGGATCATATGTGCCAAGTGCTTGCGAAGGCTCTTCGATGACCCGAACGTATACGACCATGTTGTTTCGAAGATTCTCGTACCGGGCGATGAGGGTGTTTCCTTGTTCATCTTCGAAGGAGACGCCTTTGGCACCGCCAGGGCCAGCGTACAGACCGTAGAAGTTCTTGACTGTTGTTACAATCGAGTCGGTCGTATCGTGGGGGAATATCTGCACTCGCATAGGGAGGCGCGCCCGATATTGGGGTGATTCGGGGAAGAGGAGCTCGAATGCGACGCTCTTGGGGGTAGGGCTCCCAAATGGAGACATGTTTGTATTGTGTGGGGTTGTAGAACTGGAATGGGATCCAGAATAGACCGCAGGTGGTGTGGCCATTCTGTGATCTCCAGTTCGCACATCCATGCCCGCCATTGCGTTCCGGGTCGGGTACGAGTGTGGGCGAGTAGGAGCAGCGGTGTCGTGAAACTGATCTTGTGTGTTTGCGGGTTCTGGGCCAGATAGAAGGTTGGATAGTTCCATTCCCCTACTGGCGGACTGTTTTATGGTCGATTGATGCTGCACCAAATCGAGTGATGTGTGTGGATGGCAGATACGGAGGTTCGGTGCAGGCGGGCGAGGCGGTTGTCGCAAAGCAGGCGGACGGACAAGAACGGAACGAGCGTCGTGAGGATTTTCGACCTGGATGGAAACAGTTGTCAGTATTGATGATTGTAGGCTCGAAGATGATATTAGGAAGTGATTTGATGAAGGGACGGAAGAAATGATGGAAATGGGGAGTGCGCTGCAGCGTCTGGGCGCTTCGGGGGCTGACTCTGCTCGAGGAGCGGTGCAGCAGAGAACAGGGCATTCATGGGGAGTGAAATAAGATGAATGCTTGATCGCATACGATCAATCAAGGATGGAAACCTACAGTTGATCGAAAAGGATGCCGTTGGGAGGCCTGTCAACGCATCTGAAGTCGTCGTGCGTTCGAATTGGCGTCTTGCTGGCCTGCGGTGGAGAAATAGTATTAGCAGATGATTTTCAAGGAGATCAAGGTCCCAGATGGTCTGGATTGATCTGCCACGAGATGAAATGGGTATTTGATAACTCACCTGTTGGTTTGTTAGTTGTGCGTTCCTCCTCAAGAAGCCGCCGGTGTGTGTGAGGAGAAGAGGAGAGAAGTCGGCAAGCGGAGTCCTGTGTGGTTACTCAGACTTCAAGATTTTATGCATGCACTTCAACATAACTTTGAACAACTACATATTTTCCAGGAACTCGTTATTTCAACTGTCTCAACTGGAATTCTAATAATAAGAATGCTTCGAAAAGTCCTTTTCTTCAAAATTCCTATCTATCCTCGAACACACGTACCCCCACCAAGTCTGCTTGTCGTCGCCCACCCTACTCATTGCACTCCCATATCAGGAACATTCAGAAGTCTATGAGCATGCACAGATCGCACGGCAATCTAGTCGTAAAAGGCTGTCTGGATATTACCTGCCAATGCCTACCAACTGAGACATTTCTGGTGAAAAAGCCTCGTTCGTCGAGTCTTCCCGCTCACCCGTGTTCGGAGGGAGGAGGGCCTTTCTGCCTATCTAGAAACATCCACCAGATATCAGACTGCCTGCACATGTTTAATAGCAGCACAGGTCACCAGGGATCACCGAGCGCATGCGAGCGCAAACAACCACTGCTGTCTAGGCGTGGTCGAGACAAGTCAAAAGCAGTGGCCAAGTACTTGACTAAATGCTGCGCCAGCCAATGATGGCATGCGCCAACGTCTGAGGCAAGGATGTGGTGAGGATGATCATGTGTAACCCTCAAATGCAATCGTTTGACGTCTTGACTCTTTTAGAAATGAACGAGATCCTGGAGCTCGAACATCTCAAAGGGCATTCGACAGGCAGACGGCCGTCCGTCAGCCGCCGAGTCTCCCTCCTGACTATCGGTGAGCAAAGCGCGGTGCTGGCGCTGGTGCTGGTGGTGGTGGTGGTGGTGGTGGTGGTGCAAGTGCAATCTGCAATCTGAAATGTCAATTGCGCCCCAGGATCTTGGGATGCGCTGGCGGAGAGTTTCAAGTAATCTCTGTGCTTGTAGCTCTTAGGCCCTACGGCAGATTCAACGCCTCCCATTCTTGCGGTGATGGCGCCGGCAGGGCAATCAAAAGCTAGGGTGCTGGCGACTTGCGGTGGACTCCGCAGTTGACTTGTGCTTCGATGACTGGACGGATCTGCAGCGCTGCAGGTTAGGCCGGCAGTAGAAGGGTGTGTGAAGGCTTTGTCGTGTCGTACGGCCCAAGTGACTTTTCTGGAGGCTGGGAGAGTGCAATGCGATCACAGCGAATTGGCCTAGAAATCCTGATTGGGCTGGCATGATTGAAGGATGAGTTTGTTGTGGTCTGCTCGTGGCCGGGTCTGTGGCCCTGTGGTCCTGGTTCCTGTTCGTCCGGCGTGGTGGTTTGAGAATTTGATGACGACGACCCAATGAACAACCGCAGATTTCGCCATCCCCAACAGGTCCTCGGCCGCCAGACCGACGACCTCGATGCAGAGAAAAGCTACTCTACTTGAACCCGTAAACAAAGAAGGTCGGTCACGCAGCTACGTCGCGGGCCAATACCGAGTGCATGCTGATAGGGGGGCAAGACATGTGGTCTGCGCCATAAGCGCAAAGGTCGGTTGAGATTCTTTGCGCTTTGGCAAATCAGAACCTGCTAATCGTGCCATCCAGGCACGAAGCTTTCCGTCACTACTCAGCACCAATCGACGGACGATACGCCCTTGAGAACCCAAGATTTCCGAGCGTTCCAGAGTGGAGATCTGGGAAGGATTGCAAGACCGCTTGACTGGCTTTCGTGGCATTGCTCGGCGGCGCTGAAGCGTCCAGGTAGGCCGTGTTCCGAGGCGGCTAAGATTTCCCCATCAAGTGATCACGAACGATGGTGGAAAAGAGCACTAGGATACCCCATGAGATGCCAATGACCAAGGAAAGTTAATATACTGATGCAGCTTGATGGCGGAGGTTTTTGCAGTCCAGTTGGGATGAAAGTACATTGCAAAGGTACTGCACGTGATTTGGCGTGAGAGGCGTGCCAACCGCCAACCGATAAGCGTGAGATGTGTATATCTTGCGCTACCACAACGAAACCGAATAGAAACTTTAAAATTGAGCTCCTAAAGGGTGCACTGCATTGAGTGTATCATTAATCGGGATTTTGGGGGATGTAGATCAACTGTGTGAATATTTTGTGAGAGTTTTGGAATTTTCGAAGGGTCGAGGTCGCGGTGGAGGAAGACGCGCCTGGTCTCGGCTCGACCCGCGCATCAACCGCTAAGCTCTAATCAGCCCTAGCGTCGACTGGGGTCTGTGTTGACATCCATAGCAACGGCCCAGTCATCAATCGCGCAGGTTGTTGTTTTGGCCAGCTCGTGAGTACTCAATCTGCCTTTTTCAACACCACACCAACCACCACCTCCACCTCCACAACATCTTCTTCCCCAAATACCTCCTCCGCACTTCATCACATGGGCCTGTCGTGATTTCTTCTGCCCGTACTTCCCCAAGTACTCTGCAGGACGCAGCACCACTCAGTTATTCCCTTGCACAGAACGTCCTCGACACCTTTGGGAATCCTATGCTTTTTGGGACGCGATTTTTGCACCGCACAACCTTCCTCGAGCATCAATTGCAGCACAAGCCAGAACACTTTGCACTGGCTTCTTAGCATTGGCTATTGTAATTACATAGCATAGCTTCCACAATGGACGCGCGAGTAAGTTTGTTATTGTCCGCGGTGATATTCACGCTTGCCGATTCGCGACTGCATCTCTTCCGCATTCCTGCACATCACCTCGACAACCTCATTTCCTCTGCAAATTTGCTGTACCAATACAACGTGCTGACATTTCATCTTACAATAGCCACAACGACCCGCGCGAGCCATTCGCGCTCAAGCCGACGAGAATACCGCGCCTGCTCAATCCAAGCAAACCCTTCACCAACGACACAAATCTACCGGCACACTCTCCAACATGTTGCAGGTAGGAGGTCTCAAGGCGGCGGCCAAGAGAACTGCCTTTGGAGATGTCAGCAATACGGCGAAGAGCTTGTCAAACGTACAGGATGACTCGGCAATCGCTGGCAAGCAGGTCTATCAAGAGATCGTGAAGCCAGTTGCAGTTCAAGAAAAATCAGCTGCCTTCCTCCGACCTGCACAGCGACCCCTAAACGGTGCTGGTGCGAAGGCACCATTGAGCATCACTTCTGCCCCCTCATCCGACCCAATCTCAAATCTTCCTCGAGCTCTTCCAGAAGTCAAAGGAACTGCTGTTAAATGCACACTCTCAAAGAAGAACACGTCGATTTACAAGGACGTGGACTCAGAGAATGCTCCACCCTCCCAGATCGATGACAACCAAGCTACGCGTCCCGGCTCGGCACCTGTACCCCCCGTTCACCAATCGCTGGATCCTCGACAGCACAAGAGCCAACCTCAAATCAACCCTCTCACTAAGCCAGATCTACCTTCTCTTCGACGAACCCTCAGCAAGCTCCCCAACAACATCAACGTCGACCCATCCCAAGAAGACGCCCGTCACAGCGACCCTGCCTACGAAGACGCACAGGAAGTCCAAATTACAACCTCTGATGAGGCCTTCGAAGCACAATTGAGACTAGAGAAAGAGGAGAAGGAGCTCGCTGCCAAGGAGATTATTGAGAGACAGCTGCGCCAATTGCCTGCCCCGCCTCTCGTTTCCGAACCCGAAGAGTACTGGGAGGAGGATGAAGAGGAGATGTACGACGAGCAAGGTTACATGACAGCCCACTCGAACCCATCCCGAGGCGACAACACCACAGGAGGTGCTACCACCGTTCTCTTCCCGAAGGTCACGAACAAAGTCCGAAACGAGCTTGCTGCTGCCAAGTTGTATGTCCAGGCCTCACGCCCTATTGAGGAGATTGAGGAGGAGCAATGGGACACTGCCATGGTAGCTGAATACGGTGACGAGATCTTTGCGTACATGCGTGAACTCGAGGTAAGTTTGCGCATTATTCTCGGTCCCTCGCTTCCCCTGATTGTGGAGGTCGGTCTGCCACGCGTTCCTGCGCCTAGACCATGCGGGGACCTTCCTGCGACCGCTCACGCGGCCTTTGTTTATGTTACCTCATGTCATGTTTACATCTTCAAGACATCCTACTAACCAGTCCATTAGAACAAGATGTTGCCTAATGCCCACTACATGGATCTCCAAACCGAGATTCAGTGGTCGATGCGTTCGGTCTTGATGGACTGGCTCATCCAAGTTCACCACCGCTTCGCGTTGCTTCCCGAAACATTGTTTCTCTGTGTCAACTACATTGACAGATTCTTGTCATGCAAGATTGTTTCCTTGGGCAAGCTTCAGTTGGTCGGTGCCACCGCCATCTTTGTTGCTGCAAAGTATGAGGAGATCAACTGCCCTTCCGTCAATGAGATCGTCTACATGGTTGATGGTGGCTACTCGGTTGATGAGATTCTGAAGGCTGAACGCTTCATGCTCACTATGCTATCGTTCGAGCTTGGCTGGCCTGGACCAATGAGCTTTCTTCGACGCATCAGCAAGGCTGACGACTATGATCTGGAGACCCGAACCTTGGCAAAGTACTTCTTGGAGGTTACCATCATGGATGAGCGATTCGTAGGAAGCCCACCAAGTTACGTTGCTGCCGGTGCTCACTGTTTCGCTCGTCTGATGCTCAAGAAGGGTGATTGGGTATGTTTCTTCTGCACCCGCTGCCAGCCTCCTGCTAATCTTTTCAGACTCCAACCCACGTATACTACTCCGGGTATACTTGGACCCAAATCCGGCCCCTCGTTTCCATGATGAAGGAATGTTGCGAGAACCCCAACAAGCATCATTCTGCCGTCTACGAGAAATACTGTGATCGCCGATACAAGCGTGCAGCCCTCTTCGTCCAAGCTGAGATGAGCAAGGGCTTTACGCTCCCGTCGATGCACGCCCCTCGCCCCTCTCTTCCCTCACTTGAGAGCGTCGCCGCCCAGATGCAATCCGAGGCTCGCGAGTCCTTCAAGCGTATGGTCCAGATCAGTGGATAGGCTACGAAATCCCAGCAAGCTCCCTCGATACTACAAACCCCTCGCAACCAAAAGCACAAAATTTCGATTCTCTGTATATTTTTTGGACCAGATTTGGCCCCTCTGCACGTCTTCAATTTGGTACATCCTACTCTATTATGTCGTGTCCGCCATTACAACACAGCAACTTTATTAGATCGCGCAGCTTCCACACTGGAGGAGCGAGTCATACAGTTATGTGACTTCCGCGCATACATTCACGATTCCGATTCCACATGGTCCTCATTCTCGAACTTGTTATTCGTGACTCGACTCGGCCATTTCGTCTCCCAAAAACCATCTGCTTTTCAAGCGTAACGATGCCTCATGATAAGACGAGACCACGAACTTCCTTCAGCATGCATCGCTCATTCATTCCTGTGAGCTTGGTGGAGAGGTGAAAAAATAGACGCTTGGGCAGCTTGCTCAGTGATGCTTTGTACTCTCCTTCCCCACATGTAATGGCGTCTCTTTGTTTCTCTGGATTGCATGGCGTTTACGGTCATGAAGGGTAACCTCTACACACACCTTAGAAGTAGAGACTTTGTGAATAGTTCTGCAAACAGTAAACATCTTGATTTTTCGTCGTGATTGTGAGTACAGCAGAAAGTAAATTTGTTTTCGTGTCAATGTCAGGGGTAACATCCTTTCGTCCACTATGATTGGAGGGGATCTGACTCGTTCTCATCTAGCCGCTTTTGTTAAGCTTTCTTTTAGGGGCCCAAAACCTCTGGCCGACACTAAGCTAAGCTCAATAGGGTGACGCAAGCGAATGGCCCCTGCTCAAATTTTATCAAAGCTCGCCTTGCCCGACCTAAATCCGAAGTCAATTTTGCGGCTGTCCGAAGCCATTTTTCTTGTGGTTTAGACTGGCACCTCTCCCCAGACCTTACACATCACTTCCCCAGCTTCTACATCTCTTAATCACCTCGCCCACGCTCGCTCAGAGTCAGAACTGCATCACCCACACCCATTGGCATATCGTTGTGCCGAGTTTTCACAACTTGCTTTTTTTTTCCCCCTCGCTCGCGCAAACGTGTAGCGCCGGTTCCACCGCTCTTGTTACCGTTCCCCCATTTTTCGTGGACCCCCATCCCACGACAGACAGACTTTTAATTGCCGCAGAGAGAACTCTTCACCGCTGCTCCTCGCCAGCTAGTTTTCGAGGAGAAGGGTGCTGGAAGGAACGGAGACGCGTTTTGAGGCCTGAATCAAGATGGCTGATGTTACGAAGGTGAAGGAGGTGGTGAAGGAGTCACTGCTGGGCTCGGAGCTCCCTACTGATGTGCAGCTGTCGGCGCAGTCCAAGGCCACCTTCGATAAGAATGCGCGGAAGGATGAGAAGAGTGGAGAGCTGTTCATGGGCGAGGAGGAGTTTATTAATGCCATTGCGCCGGAGGGAGAGGATTATGTGAGTTATATTCTGAGACCCTTGTTTGCTGCCATTGACTGATGATTGGTGTCTACAAACAGCACAAGATTAAGCGCGAACAGTATGCCATCCTCTTCAGAGTTGCCGATAGACGGAATACGGGCAAGATCAACCTGTTTGACTGGGGAACTTTTGAGAACCTTTTAGCAAAACCAGATGCCGAGTACGAGATTGCGTTCCGATTATTTGACGTCGAGGGCACTGGGACGGTCAAGTACGATGATCTGAAGAAACTGTACGAGATAAACAAGGGCCCGGATAGCATTCCGTTCGACTGGAACTGCGAATGGGCGACCTTGTACAGCGGTGGGAAGAAGCGGAGACATGATCTGACATACCCACAATTCACACAAATGCTTAGAGGTCTGCAAGGAGAGAGGATACGACAAGCCTTCCATCACTTCGATAAAGATGGCGATGGATATATCGAGCCCGAAGACTTTCAGCGCATCATCCTCGAGACGGCCAGACACAAGCTCTCCGACCACCTCCTCGAAAACCTCCACACCCTCTGCAACATCTCGGCAGGCACCAAAATCTCCTATGCCAACGTCCGCGCCTTCCAGAACATGATTAGAGAGATGGACCTGGTGGAGATGATCATCAGACAAGCTACAATTCACAGCACAGATGGCAAAATCACCCGGACAGATTTCCTCAACGAAGCAGCACGCATTACCCGTTTCTCGCTCTTCACTCCTATGGAAGCCGACATTCTCTTCCATTTCGCCAGTCTCGACGAACCATCAGGACGCCTCGGCCTCTCGGACTTCGCAAAGGTCCTCGATGCCTCATGGCGCAACCCCCTCTACAACGCATACAGCGACGTCGCCACGAAAGCCAAAACCACAACCCAACATGTCCTCCACAGCATCCTCGAATCGGTGCACCACTTCGCCCTCGGTTCCTTAGCAGGAGCCTTCGGTGCATTCATGGTGTACCCGATTGATCTTGTCAAGACACGAATGCAGAACCAGCGTTCATCTCGAGTAGGAGAAATGCTGTATAAGAACTCCTTGGACTGCGCAAAGAAAGTTATTCGAAACGAAGGATTCAAGGGTCTCTACTCTGGTGTGTTACCACAACTTGTTGGTGTAGCGCCAGAGAAAGCCATTAAATTGACAGTGAACGATCTCGTTCGAGGTCATTTCTCCGCTCCCGATGGCAAGATCTGGATCCCCCACGAAATCTTAGCAGGTGGTTCCGCTGGCGCCTGCCAAGTCGTACGTCACCCTCCCCTTTCCATATCCGTCTACCCCACTAACACCCCCCAGATCTTCACCAACCCCCTCGAGATCGTCAAAATCCGACTCCAAGTGCAAGGAGAAGTAGCCAAGAACGTCGAAGGCGCGCCCCGGCGCAGCGCAATGTGGATCGTGCGAAACCTGGGTCTCGTCGGGCTGTACAAAGGCGCCTCCGCCTGTCTCCTCCGCGACGTCCCCTTCTCAGCAATCTACTTCCCAACCTACAACCACCTGAAGCGGGACTACTTCGGCGAATCGCAGACCAAGAAGCTCGGCATCTTGCAACTGCTCACCGCGGGTGCGATTGCCGGCATGCCGGCCGCGTACCTCACTACGCCTTGCGATGTGATAAAGACGAGGCTTCAAGTTGAGGCGAGGAAGGGCGATACCTCCTACACGAGTTTAAGACACTGCGCCCAAACAATCTGGAAAGAAGAAGGCTTCCGCGCTTTCTTCAAAGGTGGACCAGCGCGTATCCTGCGCTCATCTCCGCAATTCGGCTTCACATTAGCGGCGTACGAAGTATTACAAAACCTCCTCCCCTTACCTGGAGATAAGGGAGATGAAAATGCGAAGCATATGGGTGTTGGTGCGCTACCTAGCGGTGCCGGGCTGCAGGGCCAGGAGGGGCCGTTGTCTTACCTGAGGAGCAGGAATGCGCTGAAGATTATACTGGATTTGGATGGCGGCTTTGGGAAGCTGCCGAGTAAAGAGGGGTGGAGAGGGTTGCCGCGGGCGATGGGTGGTGGTGGGGAAAAGTAGGCGAGGGTGAGGCGTAGGAGCCTGAGCAGGGAGTTGACGAGGCTTTCTTTCAGTAGATGGTAGGGCAGGATGGGTTTAGAGTGGGCTGGCTGGCTTGTGGTACACTCCACAATAGAGGTAGACTCTGCACTCTCTGCATTTCAGGTGGATGGAAGCACCTCGGCGTTTTGGGTTGATAATTTCTTTCTTCTCTTCTATTCCCGTTTCAAAGGTCAGATTTCCTCCAACTCATGATCTCACATGGGGTTGGAGATTCAAAAGGAGTGATGAGGGTACATTGGGAGGGGAAAAGAGGTGTATGTATGAGAGAACGGATATAATGTACTTTAGATGCACTGCATTGTTGTATACACATGATTCTTGATCTCTACCCCGCCTTGCGAGTGTGCGGTGTGGTTCACCTTTGTTTCCTCGAGAGCCTTCACATAAGCTAGGCATAGGAGATCTCTCGTTTCGGTCTGTCATTTATTTGCGTTCTTTATCGTACATGAAGGAGGGGAGAAGAACGATGTAGCCTCGCATTACAGATTCATCCCTCAACATCCGAGACGTCTGCATTTTCCGGCTCTGCCTCAATTTCACCAGTCTCCGCGGCCTCAGGAACTTGACTATCCTCCCCAGCTTGACTATCCTCCGCAGCCTCCACAGCCTCACCAGTCTCACCGGTCTCCCCTGTCTCAGTAGCCTCGGCAGCAGCTCTCCCTTGCTCGTACTCCTGCAGCTCATCGGCAGTTGGCAGGCGGAGTGGGTGCAAGATTCTCTCAGTGGAACCCCAGTCTATCATCTCATCGCAACGCCAAAGCTCCAAGTCGATATCGCAACCAAAGTCGTCGTCACCATCAAAGTCGAGGAGTGCCTTCCTGGCCTTGCGGATCGCGAGATACTGTCTATCCATGTCGTCAACCGCACTCTTGAACCACTTTCTCCACTCCCTGGTAGCATAGACCATATTCTGCAAACCGTGCACATTGCGCAGCATCTTCATGGTTATCTCTCTCTCCAGTATTGAGTAAGCAAAGTCAAACTCGTCCTTTTCCTTGCGGATGTGGAATTTGGTGTGAGAGGGGACATCTCGAACGAAGGTTGCTGCGTAGTCCTCGAGGAACAGAAGACAGGTCGTAAGCAGGTCTTTCTGAGGCGGGTAGTCGAAGCCTTGGAATAGAGATGGCCAACCTCTCTCTTCTTTGTGCCTATTTTCAGCCTTTACAAACTCGGCCATTGCAGCTGCCTGTGCCACGATTCTCTGATATTGGGGTTCCAGATATTCGAGCACAGCGCTCCGTGCCTGCTTGAATGCATCGGCATCGTTGTCCTCGCTCGCAATGCTTGCCATTTCAAGGTTCGTCTCAACGGGGTGGAAAGGTTCTTGCTTGAAGGGATTGAACTCGCGCGAAGCGAACACGCGTCTTGCTCTTTCATCACGGTTTCTTCGTGCAGCTCCCCATGCAGGATTCATCTCCGCCCTGAAACGAGGGTTCCTCTCAAAGGCTTGAGCATACTCAAGTAATTTCTCGTACATCCTGAAAACGTAATTGATTGGAGTATTGCCTGCCACCAGGGTCCGAAGACTGACTTTCAACTCTTGGGGGATGTTGTTCGAGACCAGAGGTTGAGATGGATCGTAGGTAGATGGTAAATCACTGCCTTCAACCTCGCCGATCTTCAGGCTGGCGATGTTTCGCAGCATTGTCAACGGTTGCAGGACTTCTTTAGGGTCATGGAAACGCCTCGGAGTCAAGGGAGCAATGCCAGTAAACCTCGGGAGCCTGAACGCACCTCCCTGCGGCAGTAAAAGCACCTCCAAAGATCGGGGTTTGTTGAAGCACAGGTGGCGGCAGAAGTACGTGAAAGAATCGTCAGGTGAGTACAACTTGTCGTCCGGATTAGTGGTGAGAATAATTTTCCAGTGCTTCACATTTGTGATCCATGGGTAGTATTCCTGGAGGAACTTGATATGGGAGGGCCGATATCGCTGTGCCTCTTTGTTGGCGAATCTGAGGACGGGGGACTGCACTGCATATCCAATATCCTTGGTCACAAATTCGATGACAAAGATGTTGTTATTGTAAAGTATCGGCTTTGCTTCATTATGGGCTTGGCTGCACACTCGGAGTATCTGTGGCGACAGCCGAAATTTGTAAGCGGCGCCTCTGCTCTCATCTCCTACTGCTTGTCGTCTCCATCCCTTTAAACTCCTGGTGGTCGATAAGTCCGGATTGACTAAGAGACACTTGTAGATGCGATCTCTCAACTCGGGGGGAAACTTTTTGAAGAACAAACAAGTGGCTGTGTCGGCAGTATCGTCGGGACTGGGTAAGGACAGTTGTGATCGAAGCTCGTCTTCTCTACGGAGTGCTTCGGAGAGAGCAGCTCGAAGCTCCTCAGTCTCATTGGTATACGACTTCGTCCTAGGCAACGGTAGTGTGTCAGCTTGGAGCCCTCTCTCCCAGATTTGTCTGAATAATTGCTATACACTTACTTCTCTGTAGAATCAGAAACCTCCATCTTGCTGTGTGGCATTGCCGGTAATGTCGCCATCAAAGACGCACGATGTTGTTGTCTTCGTGATTTTCGAAAGATGGAGATCGAACGTTAGGGTGCGAGACCGGGACGAAATTCGAAAAGTAGCCGAAGCGACTCCATTGCGAGGCTGTTGTCGCATTCACTTTATTGAGAGAATGTGACTTCGAATGATTAAAAGTGAACGGTTCTTACGATGGCGGTTGCCGACCTTAAGCCCAGTGTTGACAAAGGAGAGGTGGGCAAGAACAACCAGGAGCGACTTCACTTTTTTGTCAAGTCAAGCAACGACACTAAGTTTCTTCCTCACTCTCGATTCCATGCTCTCTCCCTACCATGACTTCACCACAATGAGATGAATGTCAAAGAATCATCTGAAACGCAAGTATGTCTTGTTTCCCTCCGAGGTTGCTGCATTGTATCTCTTGTTCTCCCAAATAGAATACCCGAGTGTTCTCAATTCAAGTTGTGGTTGCATATTCCCCCTGCTTTCCTAACGTACACATTCTTGAAGATACTTCTAGGGAATACAAGAGAAGGGGAATGGAAGGAAGCCAACAACGCTACTAGTGTTGAGGGATATGCCTTTCGGTTTGAAGAACAACACCTTTCCCAAGATATTCACGTGATCTTGGGAAGAACACCCATCCCTTGTTCCATTCTCTTCCTCGGGTTGGATATCTCCCCTTTTGTCATGCTTGGTGAGACCTACCCTCGCATGACAGCGCTCCTGATATCTTTTCGCAGCTCTGAAGCTTGGACTATTCAGCCTACGTCATACTATCCCCGTGAGTTCTAGTAGCACAATTTGGAACCTGATCAGACTTGTCCACCACATGTATTCCAGCTCGTTGTGTTTTGATCCAGATGCCATGTCGTCATGTCCTCAAGAAGCGTTGGGTCAATGTCCCTGTTTGCCTTGATGAACACCGTCTCGTAGGGATGGACATTGGCTCCATAGTACTTTCTATCGTACAAGATATCTTCTGGATATCCGTTCTTCTCGCAATAGCTTGTCGGTGTTGCAGCATGGAATGCTGTCAACAAGCTGTCCACCTCATATCCTTGCGATCTTATTAGCTCCGTGATTCCAACCTCGGAATGGACAGCCAGCTTCAGCGTCTCGTAGCATTGAGTGAAGCCGACCGGGTCATCTTTTGTTCCCCAGTAGTCCTCAATCGAGGCCGAGTTTGCAAGTGTCGGGTCCAGGAGAATCGCCATGCCAATATCGTCTGTGGCGAACAGCATAGATTGTAGGTGTGGCCTGGGGATGCAGTTGAAAGTTGTACCTACGAGCTATGGAACATTAGTGAACATCTTTACCAGCAGGGAATTTTCTTACCTTAACTTTCTCATTGACTCTGTCCAGAAATACATCAGTCCAGCAGCTGCTGGAGGCATATACCGGGAAGAATGGCCCTCGAATGCTCGCGTTCAGAGTAATAAACCTCTTGTAATTCTTCCACAGACCATCCTTCATGAGGACTTCGCCTATCGTCCCGAGATCGAAACACTTATTCTCTCGCTTTATAATTTTGAGGTTCGGCTGGTATGGTATGAGTTCCGTCGCATCTGTTTCTCCGTTGAAAACGAAGATGAAATCTGCTGCTCCGTGAACGCCTTTCGCGATGAAGAATTCGAGGTTTGCTCTTGCATTTGGCGATTCAGCGTAGGTGTAGAGTACAAGTGGTCTCATCCCGTCTTTGATTGGCGCTGCTGCTATCTCTTGTGCACTTTCCTCGTCTCCTTCCAAGGGAAATATCTCGAGAAATTCCGAATCGAACGCAGTTGAATCTACCGGACGCTGCTCCAAGTGGACTTCACTTTGAGAATCTCTGAAAATAGTCTACTACCCGTTAGCACATTGGGCTAGTTCATGAATTACACGGAACTTGCTTGCGCGCGGTGCAGTGGCAGTCCTGACAAGATCCATACAAAAACAAGAGCTCCTAAGGCGGCGACAAGCTTCCAATTTGGCGCCACGCCCAAATTTAGTGTTGCCATCTTTCTGATAACGCCGTAAAAATCAAATCATGTGGAATAAAGTGGAATTTAAAAGGGTCCAGAGGATTTGGGGGGGGGGGGGGGGGGGGGGCACATCGTTATTGTGAAGAACAAGTGCAAAGAGTGGATTAAGAAGATGGGAAATTTCAATTAGTACGAAACTGCCACTCCAGAATGGTTGTCTCATCTTCCCCTTGGAGCTTTCCCGAATAAGATCCCTTGGCAGGGTGTCTTAATTGCGGGAAACCGAAGGAATGTGAGTGATCGAAAGATGACAACACGCATTTTCTCTGCTTCTTTCAACAAAGGCTTAGAGTGGGTAAACTCACTCAAAAAATGTATTCTTTATGCTTAAAGTTCAAACGGGTTGCAAATTTTATTTTGATTGATTGGGTTGCTAGTTGGTGATGCTTTTAATCCAGAACGAAAATGGAGTTCGCGGCTGGAAAAAAGGAGCAAGACATGTGGGAAGCAAGGAGGAAAGTCCAGCACGACGTCCATTCGCACCACCCCTTAGTTCAAAGTAACTCTAGTCGCAATCTTTGAACCGTCGTTGCTAACAATTGCACTCCACATCCTGTATTGACCTCTGCTTCCATGTCAATTGTACGAGGGACGGTCTCCGCCCACGTCTAGGTACGGATCTTCGAGGGCGTAATTGGGAGACTTTGCAGACGTGATGAGAGGGTGATCACCCATCTTCTGGATCCGAATCCATCCCTTCGAACAGCAACTGAGGAGTAAGGACACGGGAACCGAACTCCCTGCAGCAAAACGGTTTCTCAATCACCATATCTTGCTTCTAACATATGTTCAAGCCGACAACTTTTGGCACGGAAAATGTTAATCCCATCATTTCCTGGTCTAGGAAAAGTCAGGGTCAAACAATTGTTATGGCCCACATTGTGGTCTATTCTTCTACTTTGGCTCTTGGTTAATACCCTCAAAACTTCCGTCCCTCGAGTAACTGCTCCGACAACCAAGGCTAATTCTAGCTCCTTCTCACTGTCTGGCAAAATCCATGATGTCTACACATCTCTGACGTCTGGAAAGGATTCCTCAAAAGTCGATAATTCCGTGAGCGGTGTCACAGCCAATATCAGCACCAGCAACAAAGTCGCTGTAATCGTCGAAACCCGCCAGTCAGGAGGCATCATCCCCCTTATCCTCCACTTCGCTACAGTCCTCGGGCCCGACTGGCCTGTTCTGATTTATACACCAGCAGAGAACTTTGGAAGTTTCAGCACATCGCACGCCCTCAACCGCTACATAAAAGCCGGCAGAGTGATCGTCCGCCCGCTTGCTGACGGCGTATACTTCCCCTCCTGGGACTCCGTCTCCGAATTCCTTACCAAAAAATGGATGTGGGAGGATCTGGCGCCTGCGGAGCACGTCCTAATCTTCCAAGGCGACAGCATCATATGTGCGAACTCGGTCCGAAGCGTCGAGGACTTTTTCGAGTGGGATTTGATCGGTGCACCGATTGTGCCTAGACATGGGGTTGGATATAATGGAGGTCTTAGCTTGAGGAAAAGAACGACGATGTTGAGGGTTCTGGATGAGTTTAACTGGCATGAGGCTAAGGGAATGCGTGCTGAGGATCAGTGGTTCTATGCAAGGTGAGTTTCCTCCATGATAGATATCTGCGCGGTTCTGAGCTAAGATTTTGCAGGGTGAGTGAACTTAAAAAGAAAGAGTTGGAGGAAGGGAATGAAGATGGTATCAAGCTCCCATCGGTGGAGATTGCGAGAACCTTTGCTGTGGAAACGATAGATTATCCTAACCCTCTGGGATTACAGTAAGTTATCTGAAGAAATAGAAACCTCACATGCTAATTATGTACAGTCAACCCACTAGGTTCCTTAAGAATCCGATCTTGGACGACTGGTGCCCGGAGTACAAGTTGGCGAGGACGGATCGGATTAGTGCTTAGCTTCGAGGCTGAAAGAGCAGTGCAGAACGGCAAAATACAGGCTTGCCGGTGATCTAGGAGTGCCTGTAGTCCACTTTATTCCAGGGATTGGATTGGATTAGCATGGATCGACTTGGAATAGATCCCAAGCGAAGAATTGGAACCCCTTACCTTTTCCTCTTAGACTAAAATTTTACTATAATAAGTATCTCTAAGTAAAAAAAGTAAGCTAATATTAGTAAATTGGTGATACTAGTATAGAGTTTTAGTCGTTTTTATTATTTTTATAATACTTTCAAAAGGTATAATTTTTAGCATTCCTTATCTTGTTTCTTACCCCCCGGCCGCCCTTGCCCTCCCTCGCTACCCCCTCTCTATGTACCTCTCATATAAATTTACTATGTAAGGTACTTAGCCTGAACTCGCTTGGGAATCATTCCGGAATCGATCTAGTATTAGTCTATGTATCACTAAATAATCCATTCTAGTATCGATTACGTACTGATACCACGCGGAACACTGCCAAGCCTGGCAAAATATGATAATGGCCACATATGATTCCCAATTAGCCCAAGTTGTTTCTTCCAAGCGCATCCGGTCCATGAGGGTTCTTTTTCATATCTCTTCCTTAATCCCCGATTGTCTGGGAAAGCAACCCTTAGTCTGACCACCTCGTCGTAGTTTGATGTCACAAACATAGTGGATTGTGCCTCCAATGTCAGAGGACAGGGTATTAGGAAGACTATGGATTGTTTTGAAAAGTAAATGACTTCATCGCAGTTCGTTGTCACGAGCATACTGGTCATCCGTATGCTTATGAACAGCCCCAAGGTACTTCTTGAAATCCCTTGATGTCGTGATCGCTTGCTCAACATGCTCCCACGACAGCGTATCATTCTGAAAAAGTGCGATCTGCCGCGCCGTAGTGAGCGAATTTCTGATCTCCCGTCCATTCATATCCTGATCCGCCAGCTCCTGCATGTGTTTGTTCAGCTCATCCAGGTTCACGTTCTCCTCATCCGCTTCCATCATATCGAAGAAGTTCTTCCAGATCTTCTTTCGGGCAACACGGTCAAGATTCGGGTAGTGAAGTGCAACTTGGATGCGGGACTTGAAAGCTTCGTCGAAAGTTCCAACGCGGTTGCTTGTGAGGATTAGGATGCCATCGTAATATTCCAATGTCCGAAGGAACACCGAGACCAAACTGTTCCTCTCCAAATCAGACATACTCCGTTCCTCGAGAAAAACATCAGCTTCGTCGAGGAGGAGAACACAGTTCCACGCCTTTCCCAAAACTAGAACCGTCTGTAGGTATTTCTCGACTTCATCGGCGCTCGTGCCTATGTCGCCGCAGGTCACATTGTACAGAGGCATTTCTGCTATCTCGGCGACACTCTCGGCTGTCAGTGTCTTGCCTGTCCCGGGACTTCCGTGGAGTAGCATGATGAGACCGTTGCCTTTTCCCGCGATGAGATCGTCTCGCTTCCCCCTCCCAAGAATACTCATTCCTTGTTTCTCGCCTAGTTTTGAGGTACGGACCATGACGAGGGCTTTGACTAAGTCTTTGGTTTTCTTGGGGAGTACGAGACGCTCGAATGCGTCTTTATTCCATGTGACTGAGCCAACTCTGTCGACTAATAGTGTCACTGTTGAAGATATCAGCAATTTGACCGTCAGATTTCAACACATGGTATGCCTACCCCATTTCTTCTCCTTGAGAAAGAAGCCGTGTATGAAAGGCGGGAGTAGAATTAGGAGCTTGTTGTCCAGAATAGTGTCATGCGAAATATGTTCAGGCCAGCGGTCGAAAGGAGCCAGGGAATCGACGGAAAAGCTGAACATGTTTGCCATGGGATGAAATCTTCGGTATGTCTTGTAGTCAATCACGCACCGAGCTTCATTTGACTATTGAATCCATGAAGAGATTAGATAGCTCTTTTGTGTTGGTAATGAACGTTAAGTAGACTTACATAGTGCTGCTCCCTTTTAAAATCCCATCCATCGTAAGAGGCAAGGTTCTGGTATCTCAGAGACCAAAATTTCTGCCCTCTCAGCTCGAGGGTGGTCTTTTCTTCCTCCGTCGCGAATTCCAGAGGGAACAACTCGAGATCTCGGATTTGAACTACGTTCTTTAAAGGACGCAAAACGCGTTTGGTTGTGGGCTTTCGATGTAGAAATTCGCCATCATACCCCCAATACCAGCAGTCCAAGGTAAGAGCGGAAGTACCTACTGGCCAAGCACGTAACACATAGGCTGAGAGTGGCCCCTCGTTTCTCGATACAACTATCGAGTTCGGACAATATAATGACTCCAGGTGATCCCGGTGGATAAGCCCTTGACTTAAATGTTGGTCTACTGTGGAGTACGTTGTCCCGTGAGTCTCCTGAAGTAAGTCCAATAAGTCCTCTACTTGCCGTTTCAAGAGGCTTGAGGTAGAATCAAGACTAGCCTTTAGGGCTTGGCGGTGATGGTAGAAGAACCTCATCTCGTACAAGTCTCTATCGTTATCCTCGATAGAAGAACTCGTGTGTCGCATGATCCCTGATTCATAAGCAGTACTGTTGGGGGCGCAACATGCCAGATCGTTGATGCAGGACCGAAGGTCATCATCGATTATTGCGATTCTTTCTTTCCAGAACAGTTTAGACCTTCCTGGTAAGGAGGAGGCTTTTGCCATATCCCACCTCAAGTTGCCATCACATTCCACATCCCGAAGTATTAAGTAAGCCAAGGAGCCTGCACTGGATATGAAAGTGGCTAGGTCTCGTACAACAACGGTACCAGTCAGATGGTAGTGGCTGGTCCAATTATCTCCGTAAACTCGTTTGGGAGCATCCAAGTACATCTTCGGGCCCGAATGTATACATTCAATTCTGTAAATTACGCAATGAATCTTGTCCTGAAATTGACGCCCCAGGTCCTCAGGTTTCTGTTCCTTTCTAGGTGGTGTCCCGCCATGGCGATGTCGTGGATCATAATTTCGAGGTGAAGAATCGTACGAAGAATAAGAATCATCGGAATCCTCTTCCTCTTCTCCCTCTTCTTCCTCCTCTTCCTCCTCTTCCTGTTTTGGGGCATTGTCTACGCTATCCACCTCATCACCCACAAGGGCCTGCTCCTCTACCGTGTTGTCTGTGGAGGGGGTGCTAGCCGGGGTATTGGGGCTATGGAGAGCCACTCCTCCCAGTTCGAGAGGTGGTCCACGGTGGGGGGTTCCTGTCAAGACACTCCCTTCTGCCTTTTTATTGTGGTGAGATTTCAGAGGAGCCCCCAAAACTTGCGCTGGTAAAGATTGATGTCGGGAAGGCGGTTTGTGTGGCTTTCTTGGCTTGAGGAATTTTGACAGGCGAGGCGGGGGCCCCACCGGTAGTGGTGGTCTTAGTGGTCGTTGTCGTCGTTGTGGTGGTGGTGATGGTGGTGGTGGTGGTGGTAGAGGGCTAGGGGAATATATTTCTTCGGGGTCTTTACGATTTTTAGTTTTGGAGGCGATTCTCTTCCCAAAGGATGCAAGGTGGTGGTCTTCTTCAGCCGTCTGGCCAAAAGAGTTGTCCTGCGAGATCGTTGAATTGATAGCGAGCCCAGAGAGCCCCTCGAATGGACCAGAGCCGGGCATTTGGAGGAGAAGGATTGCTAGTACGGTAGCCTCAGAAACAATCCCGTCAGAAAAGCTGCTTTGTTCTGATTTTATGAAATCAAAGTCGGTAGAAATGATACATGAGGGACGGATCGCTATCGCGCATCAGGCAGCAGGCCGCCTTACTTGAGGTCACACAAGAACAGGCTTGGCAATGATACCTAAGGTAATTTCGGGTATTGATCCGTATTGATACCAGAATCGTAAGGTATCAATCCTATCCATTCCAGAATCGATTCTAAGCGAGAGTCGCAGACCCCCCTGTCTAACCCCTTTAATTACGATTCTTATTATATTTATTGCCTTTAATTAAAAAAGTAAGCATAGTATTATAATTAGGGACATCGCTTTAATAGTTTTAGATAGTTTTAGAATTTTTTTTAAAGGACTTCAAAAAAGTCGACTTTTTTGGTGTTCCTTGGGTACCCCTCGCTACCTGTCCGTCCCCCTCTTGTGAGGAGAGCTAGAAAGAAGTAAGTACCTGTGCATATAAATTTACTATGCAAGGTACTTAGCGAATTTCTCGCTTAAAATCAATACCGGATCAATACGGATCGATCCTACCAATACTAAGTGATACTAGGTAATATTGATACCAGTATTGATACCTCAGGTATCATTGCCAAGCCTGCACAAGAAAAAGAAAATGGTCCGCTCCGCCGGGCGCAGCCTTTGCTCCGCCTTGCATTCATTGTGTGGCAGTGAAGGCTCAGCCATTTAGTCCATGTTCACCTATTGCGCAGCCTCCATTTTTGGCAATAATGGGGTCAGGATTTGCAACGCCATATTTCAAGATTTGTCCTCTTTAATAACCAGCCCGCTTGAAGCTCTGATTTTGTGAGGTTTCTTACAAAAGTAGTGGTAGGAGAGACCTGGGATAGAGCGACCAGGCCTGATGGCCGAATTTGAACTTTTATCTGATCGAGCAGCGCCTCTAACCAGCAATGCTCTGGTTCGTGGCTGGTACTCTAGCGAAGGCACAGGAAGGCAAGGCATACACCCCTTACTTGGCTAGCTTTCGCTAAACCCCAACTCACTCCACAGCCTGGCAGAAACTATACTCAGAGAAGCATACGACAATGCAATGTCAATCTTCAATACGCAATTGACACAGGATGAGAAGAAAACAGCATTCATTCGCGAGAATGCCGGACTGGAACAAGTCCGACAAACACTTGCGGCTGCGAAGGCCAAGTACGAAGGAAAGCAAACATCTAAAGCTCGCAAATGGCTTTGCATCTTCTCTTCCAAGGTCATGTTCTACTCTTCGGTTCTCGATGTCCTTGTCCAGCATCATCCAGAATACGTGTCGCTTGTATGGGGAGCTATGAGGCTCCTATTTGCAGTCCGTTACTTTCTCGAGCTTATCAGCTGTCTATGAGTCTAATATAATTGCAGGGCGTCATCAACCACGAGGAGACAATCAGGGAGCTATCCAAAAGCTTCTCTCAGATTGCAGATATACTGCCGAGAACCGACCTCGCACTCGTCCTCTATCCGACAGTTTCCATGAAAGAAACCGTTGCGATGCTCTACGCACACATTATTAAATTCACAGCGCATGCCGTTCGCTGGTACAAGCAAGGAAAGCTCGCACATGCTTGGGCGTCAGTTTCCAAGCCATGGGCATTGAGCTTTAAGACTCATTTTGAGAACATTGCAGAGAAAGCTGAGCAAATCGAGGCACTTGGACGCAGCGCCTCCAGAGCAGAGCTTCGGGACGTGCATGTTGAGATCCGAGAAACCCGCGACGAACTCAAGAAAGCACGAGAAGAGCTGCAGAAATTCGAGGAAAATATGAAGTTGGAAACTCGACAGCTCATACAATTTGCTTTAGCATCCAAGACTCTGAATGACCAAATCAAAGTGGACGTATCCGAGTCGAAAACCATGATCGCCAATATCCAGCTTGGACAAATTTTAGATATGTCTTTCGCTACGAACCTTCCAGCCTCCGGTGAATGCCTCGGATTTTGCCAATCCATGGTCAAAAGAAGCCGATGCAGGACTCGAATACTGTTGCCAAACATTGCACAACTCCAAAGATGGTCCAGCCACCCTCGATCCTCGCTTCTGGTGATCAAGTGTAGTTCTGGACAAGCAGCAAGGGATTTCCTCGTCCATCTAGTCGGCGTTATTCGGGCTAGCGATTGTCAAGTCCTCTGGGCTTTCCGCTTCGCTGACTACTGGGCGCGGAATTTGACCAGCATCGACATCTTACGGATGCTCGTCATTCAAGCGCTGCAAATCAACCCAAAATGCCTCACTTCTAGTTTGTACTCGATCACTATGACACATCTCCGCGAAGCTGTCGACGAAAAAGATTGGCTCAATCTCCTGAATCGTGCCGTTGCTGGTCTGTCATTCGTCTACATTGTCCTCGATGCTGATCTTCTTGGCCACGCTACCGGACAAGATCGTTACCTCTCCACGAAACTTATTGAAGCCTTTACAAAGGTTGTGAACTCAACGGTTGTTAAGGTTGTAATCTCAACTTCGGGCATTGATGAGACGTATGCGGAGAATAACTGGGATCCAGACTGCTGGAGTAAGCTCAGAACTGATGAAGTTGTGGAGCAGCGTACTTTGAGACATAGAAGAAGACCAAAAGGCCGTGACCAGAGCGGCCGTACGGTCTCGAGAACGTGGTCGAGGTGACTGAGATTATGGAACGTATTTCAAATGCTAGAGAACCACAAGAGACCGTCCAAACTGTGATGGCCTTCGGCGTCACAAAGAAGACTCGCTCCACATCACCTCTTTTCAACAAATATCACGCCCCTAAGCCAACTCTCGCGCACCCCACCATCCACTTCGCGACATTCATGGCAACAACTCCGTTTGGACCACCCACGGGGGCCCTCCGATGCACCAAACACACTCCTCTCATTGACCCTCAGGAACTCTCACTCCCGCTTCTCAACACCTAAGAACTCACACAATGGTCCCCAGCCCTGCTTCACATTAAACTCTAGCAGCTTTTCCTTTGGCACCACTCTCCTGATCTTGCCGTTATGGTTAATGTAGAAATCCTTCCCTTGCTCCAGGAAACGGTGATACATCCCCCAAGATTCAAATGAAAGAGTTGGGTCATCATGGCGAAGGGACCGGGAGAGAGGAGCTCCCTCTACAACTTCCTCCAGTGTTTTCAAACTCCCGACCTAGCGTAGCCTGGGTCTTAGGCTAGGCTAGACTTGGTCAGATGCGGGGCTAGGAGCAGGAAGGCTAGGGTCTAAAAACTTCAGGAGAGGCTGAGAAAGGTTAGTTAGAGTACTTTCTTGGCTAGAGAAGGAAGACTAGCAAAGCTCCCGAGTAACAAAAACTATGGGGTCTTGGGCCCAACCCCTCCCCCTGCCCTCATTTCCACATATCTTACCTCTATTACACACCCTTTCCTCGCCCCACCAAAAAGTCCACTTCCGACCTAGTCTGCCTGAACTTTAGGCTAGGAAGGCTGGGCAACGAAAAAAGGCTAGGAGCAGGAAGGATCGATCCTTCCTTAGGTCAGGAGTAGGAGGTCGGGAGATAGATATCATATGAGTGTGCCCCTGCCAACCCCTGTGGCTCCCCCTATTCAGTTCGCGTAGCATTTCCAAACCAGGATTATCCGCCCAAGGTAGTAATTTTCGCCCTCGACTCTCTTTAGGTAATATAATAATATATACTTTAAAACTCTAATAATATGAAAGCTTATTTATTTTAAAAATAAATAAATTATAATTTAAAATATTAATAAGCTTATTAAATAAATTTCGGAAATTTTACATTATAAACCTAAAGTTTATATAAACTTTAATTATGCTTTAAAACCTTATATTAGTATCTCTATTGGTTCTTAAGTCATTAAGCCGTGAAAAGTGAGTGTTTTTATAGTAAACCTCGTCTAGGATGTGTTTTGGTAAGGGACTTCGGTTAACGTCCGACACTGCCTCCACTGCCTCAAGTGCACATCAAGAGCCAACTTGGTCAAGAGATATAGCATGTGCCGCTTTTCTCTGCGCTCACTGGCCCACCACAATAATATGCCCACGTTGCGATCGCACTCGAGCAACATTCTGAGACGCACCACAGAGCGTCGTGACCTATCATAGGTACAAATGTAACACTATGCCTATCTTTCTAGCCTCAGATTATTTTGATTTCTTCCCAACATTGATCCAGAAGACCGCCAATTGGTCCGTTCAAAAGCTGCAATGCCTCTCCATCCATGAACCCGTGAACATACGCTTCTCCCAGGAAGACAAACGAATAGGCAATTTCGGAAAATCGTAAGATAGTACCTTCCTCACAATCTCTCCGTATGATCCTCACTCCATTGTTCGGATCCTCGCCAATCACTACTTCATCAGCTCTAGCCACTTTCCTAGTTTCCTCGAGCACGTATGCAACGGATCCATTCTTCAGAATGAAGATCTCGTGGTCTTCTTGAGCAATTGAGGGGACTAGGGCAATCAGTCCACCTCTCGTATACGCCAAACGTCGGCCTCGCGATGCGGGTTTAAGGAGTTCGCGATCTTTGGACAGAATTGGATCATTTCTGAATGGATCATAATGGGAAGGAAAGCCTCGCTCGATGGCTAGATATGGGTTGTTGCTGTACGACTTCATGTCAGCGTGAATTGTTCGAAGATATGCTGTTCTCATAGTTTCTCCGGTGTATTCGTATATATCGTCTGGATTCTCCGGTGCCCACGATCTCTCAATAGAGACATCCAAGTCAACATTGTCGTTTTGCGGTTCTGTTACTTTTACAATGCGATCAAGTCTGAAACCAGCACAGCCAAGAGCATTTTCACCCCGAACTTCGCCAAATTTGAAGCCAACATGGAGACCAGAGTCCCATTGAAAGTCCCCCGACGCACTATATGCTCTTCGGGGGTTGTCGTTTTCGAGACGGAGCCACTTGATGAAAGGTTGACGGAGACTGGCACATGACCATTGCGGTACCCATGTTGCCAAAGACAATCTGACGTTTGGAAGCACAAAGTTTTCATGGTCAACGTATCCCAAGGCGTCCAAGTTTTGGTCGGTTCTTATACACCAAAACGCCAGCTTGCCGTAGATTTGAGCCGTAGAGGAGCGGTAATTGGGAGTAATTCTGTATGGTGGCCCGCCGCGAGCTTGGAAGTAGTTCTCACTCAACCAAGGAAGTACTGCGAAGACCTTGTCGCGTATATCGCTCGCGAAGAAATGCCGGGACAAATGTAGACATTCCATGAAATAAGTCGCCCCGAGATCTTTAAGCCCTACACGGTTTTGACGATCGTCCGCAACAATGTAGTTGGCTACAGCACCAGGATTCATCCGTTCATCGATCATTCTACTCGTACCCATCTGGTACTGCAATAGAAGCCTGCAGACAGATAGCAGCTGCATTTTCGCCACAGTCTTCTCGCCGCATCTGACGATTGTATTTGTGCTCGTGCTGAATTCTTGCTGAATCCATACGCGGGTCCAATATGGCCGGTTACAGATGTCTTTAAGACCAAGAAGTGCAGAATCTCCAAATTCGCTCCTTGGGTTGAAATCTGAATGTGCTACGAAGTCCTCCGGTTTGGCTCGAAGCTGATCCGGATCAGGGTGGAATCTACCATGAACTCTCTTGATTGCCTCAAGAGCGTCATCCGTATGCTTCGTGGATTCACCCAAGAACGCGATGATGAGCGTTGCGGACTCGTAAATCTTCTTCATAAGAGAAATCTGATGGCTCTTTTCGTCATCATCCTTTTGGTTGATGCATATTGCGTCAGTCCAGAAGGTGTAAGTGTTGGTTTCACCTCGAATAGCTTTCAGCGCCTCGTAGAGATTACGCGTGACCGGGAAAGGACAGCAATTCACGAATACAATTTCCGTCGCTGTGGGATCCCCCCAAACATAAGATAGTGCACTGTACATGGGCTTGCCATGTTGGTCACGGTTGTGAACAAGCCGTGCTCCTTTCTTGTCTTTCGTCCAGATTAGCTGCTCGAAGTACGCCCCACCGTCTCGAAATCCAGCCGGCGCGAGAATGCATTCAATGGGGCGACCCGGAATCCCAGGAAGAATGTAGAGAACTCGTATCTGACCCGGGGAAAGTGACTTATAGGTAAAGTGGTCGTTTTGTTGAATATCCGGGTTCCTAATCAAACCTTCGCGCGGGTCGGTGGTATTGAAGAAATATTCAATAATTGGCTTCAGTTGTGATTCGAGGTGCGCTGAGACGGCACCGTTGGCATAAGTCAAGGCTGCCATCGTCTCGTCATATATAGTTGCGCTACCTCCGTATTCATTTCTATTTCGATTTAACATTGTCAAAGGAAGTAAGTTGGCTCAGAGCACCAAAAGGGGAGGCATATCGGGGATTGTATGACAATATGAAAGCTACATATCGGACCCCTTCACCGCCGCATCGACCGCCAGCGCACCAGCCGCCGACCGGTCAAGCGGGAAAATGTAAAACGGCCCCCCAACCTCCCCCGGATGTCGATTGGGGGTATCTATTGGGGGCCAGACTAGCCACTAACCCAAAGTAGAGGCGCTCGGACAGGAATACCAAAACTCTGGCTTTTGCTTTAATTTAATACTTGTTTCATTTCCTTATAGCGCTAATTAAGGGCTATTTAAATATAAGCTTTTTATAAAATTTAATTTAGTAATAGCTCTTTAAATTAAAGAAATTGAAAACTATATATTTTATAACCTAAAGGTAAGCTTAAGAATGCCTAGAAATTTAGAGAAAACTGCAGGCTTATATGCCCAAAATTCTAGTTTCTTTGACGGCTTTTAACAAATGTAATGAGATCACTTGACTTCAAATTAGCTATCCACACTAAAGTAAACTTTCCACTTCCATCAATCGCCATCCTCGGACATGATATAATCCAATGCAACGTGGACAGTCGTATTTTCATCGTCCACCATGCTGCAAACACTCGTAAGCCATCTTCATATATCATCATTGATTTCCACTGACAGTCCGAAATCATAAGTTCTCACCTGTCCAATCACCACCCCCCCCCCCCTCCCTTATCAAACGCCTTCACCACACTCTCCTTCGGCGTGACGATTGCTGCCTCCAACCAAGCAACATATTTCGGAAACGCAGTCACACTCCCATACACTCTCGCTCTCTTCACTCCCCTGACCCCCTCAAACAACCTCAACACCTTGTAATCTGAGCTCCCAAACTGCGCCTGGAAGACCTCGATGGTCAATTCCTCGACCCCGGAAAAGGCATTGGTTGCTTTTGCTAATGAGAAGTTCGGATCGCAATCGAGACGCACGCGGATGTGGTATCGTTGGATTAGGGGGATGAGAGTCGGTGAAGAGATAGTGTCGTAGCACAATCGAAGTCGAGGGAGGCCAGACAGCAGATTCGGGTGTGCTAGGAAGGTGTTACAGCTATAGAGGGTCTGCCTTGCTTCTTCGTGCACTTTTCGGCACACGGATAGGATTTGAGGATATATTGGAGGGTTACTGAGGAGTCCTGAGGTGGAGAGAGGAGGTACGATGAGGAGTCGGCGGTATATTTGGTTGCGGATCTCGCCGGGGAGATCTAGGAATGTGAGAGATGCCATAATGCGTTGGCATATAGTGGTGAAGCCGTGAGAGAAGGAATTGATGCAAGTGAGAAGATTGTTAGGGAGAAGGGGAGAGTGAACGGACAAAAGGGGAAGTTGTCACGAACAATTAAGGTTTGGTGACTATAGATAAGCGATAACCTTATTTTCTGCCAAGCCTCACCGCCTTCTCGGCCACGTGCCACGACGTGATCCCGTGTCTCGGGCCGACACAGACCGAAATAAACAAGGTCATTTCCAGACCTCACACGACCTCACACAACCTCACACAACCTCTCTTTCCCCTTCTTCGCCGTTGTACAACATTGATGCAGTAACAGATGAGCAGCCAGATTTCCCCAAGAGGCCACCCAGCTTACAGAAGAAGCTAATGAGCCAGCTGTACTGAATAAACACGCCAAGTTTTCCTCAGCCTGGGTTTCTACTACTAACAACAACACTGCCAACTATGGCAGCATCCTTCCTCACCATCGTCTCCCGGCTCTTTGGCTGGATTTACTTCTTCTGCTGGTCCTTCTCATTCTACCCGCAAGCCATCCTCAACTTCCGCCGCAAGTCCACCTCCGGCACCACTATCGACTTCATCGCGATCAACGTCCACGGCTTCATCGCATACTTCACCTCGAACGCGGCGTTCCTCTTCTCATCGGAGATCCGCCGGCAATACGCTCTGCGGAATCACGGCCTCACCCCCACAGTCCAGATAAACGACCTTGCATTTGCTGCGCATGCTATTGTGCTGACTACTATTACGTGGACCCAGTATATGTTTCCTGCTGCATGGGGCTTTGATAAGAGGGGAAAGGGCGAGCACGGGGCGAGGATGAGCAGCTGGATTAAAGGAATAATCGTTGGCGGCTTGGTGGGGGTCGGAGTTACGGCTCTGAATGTGTCTGCGAGGAACGATGAGGATCCGAAGAATGGCTGGGCATGGATCGACGTCGTGAGTAGCTCTAGAAGTAGCCTTATAAGCCCCCGTTCTGACTTGGTGGTCTGCAGATATATGCTGTCTCGTACGTCAAGGTGGTCATAACGCTCGTGAAATACCTGCCCCAAGTTATCACGAACTATCGAAATCAATCAACGCGGGGATGGTCGATCCTACAGATACTTCTCGACTTCGTGGGAGGGATACTTTCCGTCAGCCAGCTGTTTATAGACAGTTACTTACAGGGGGATTGGTCTGGAGTTACTGGGAACCCGGTCAAGTTGGCCTTGGGGAACTTCAGCATGTTCTTCGATCTCATTTTTATAGCCCAGCATTATTACTTATATAGACGGGATAGGAAGTCCTTCGGCAGTATGGAAGATGATCCGTTGCTTGATGATGATTCGAGGCTGGATAGGATTGATTAGACACAGGCCGCATTGAATAATAGCTTTGTGATAAAGGATTCTGGTTGCAAGTTGCACCTGTGGACGTGACATCGCATTCCAAATACCGTCGATGTTGTGCAAGCATTCGAGGACCACAGAACACCGCTAGAATGCTGACCTTCAAGTGAAGCCAAATTTTCTGATAGAAACCTCGTGCGCTTTGTTTGTGCCCCAAGGCTCTGTTCTCAGCACCGCACAAGCTCCTCAACGTACAATCCATAACGGTGCATGAGATTTATCGTCCACCTCGTCCTACGTTGTCGTTACAAATCGTCCCACTGCTCGCATCCTGCCTGCCTTACCCCTCAATCCTCCTCACCTCCACGATTGTCGGAGAAGACCGAGGTAGAAGTGATGGCCAGGGACAGAAGCGGATCCTCACCTTCCGCCAAACGACGAGGCATGATTCTGTTGCACAAGAACGATCCACATGAGCGGTTCCCGGGTCAGGTACCATACAACCAGACCACAGTCAAGTCACATATCATATGTCTCGTCGTACATAACCCCGCGCGTGCCCCTTTCTCATTTGAATCAGCGCTGGTAGTTACGACTGGTGTTGTAAGGTTCCCTCGAGATCAACACTTTTGCTGATCTTACTCCTCCTGTGTAGCTGTACCCTCTGATGTTTCCCGAGTAGAGAATCGTCGCCGAGCGAAGCGCACAAGTACACGAGAACATTGTTGATACCCTGATTCGTACTTTAAAACAAAACGTCGAACGATGTACCAGCAGGGAGAATTCTCCGCCAAGAACGGAAGTCTGGAGGTATCATCCGCGCCACAAACAACTACTCATGGCCGTATTCTGAGCCATACCTGTTTCTGATGTGAACAATCGGAAGTTTCAGTAGGGCGTGCAGTGAAGGAACCAGCTCTCTGGTGGTGTTCGCCAAGAGACCTGCGACGACGCCTGCAACTCCAGATTGTACAGAATGCTGCTTCCTAGTCAGCGAAACATCCAGAATACCGACTTTACACGCACGTCGTTGTCCTCTCGGAGGATCGGATCCAGCAAGATCTCGCTCGAAGCCCGACATCTCGAAAGCTGAGAAAGGAAATACAAATACCGCTCTCCTGCCCCTCATTATGCTTCATCAACAATTGCATCTTCCTTTTCCAGACACTACCAAACAGTCACTCTGTCCCATCAGAGAGCCACACTCCACGTTCAACGTCCGAGTTTCCACCCTCGTACTCCCCTCGCAAATTCAACTTCTCGATCCCCAACACATCATCCAAACCTACATCGTCTCAAAAATGCAACTCCTCACCCTCCTAACCACCACCTTCACTCTCCTCACTCTTACCTCCGCACTCCCCGCAGTCGACATCGAGGCTGTCAAAGACGTCGTAAGTTCTTTCTCCTCCTTCTTTGCTTCACCCCCCCTGCCCTAACCCCCCTTCCCAGATCCCCTTCTCCCTCTCCCCGCCGCTCCATCTCTTCAAACCAGCTCATCCGATCACCTAGGCGCTCCAAATCCGCAATTTTCCACCACCGCCAAATTGCAACGACATCGTCTGTGAGTTTCCTGGTACGCCATGCTGCGACGGTGCTGGTACTTGCGTGTCGGCGGGACTTGGGCTTGGTGTTTGTCTTCAGCTTTAGAAGTGGAGGTGGAGGTAGAGGTGGAGGGCTGCAGATAGGGTGGGGAACTGGCATGTCTGCCGCTGGGTCTTGTTTGCGCGCGTTGTTCGAGTTCGTAGATTGGAGCGGTGGTGGATGTATGGGTTGGATTTAGTTGGTGCCCAAGGCGGAGGGTCCATTTGGTCCTTTCTTTTCCTTTTGGTTGGAGGGATAGCATGCTAGGCTTCTGCTGTCTCCACTTTCATCTCTTTGATTGCATGGGACGGTAATCTTTTCAAATGATAATTGAGAGTTATTCCAAGTTATTAATTTCCATTTTTCATGCTCCCCTCCTCGCGATCTACGAATTTTCAATGCTTTGTGAGCTGGGGTTAACTTTGAGTACGTGGAGATGAAATGTTGCTCTTCGTGAATGTCTTATGATAGATAATTCTTTTTTGCGAGCAAACTAAGTCACGTCATACTCAGTATCTGGAGGCAGTGCTCACAAGGAGAGGAATAGGACCGATTGGTAGGATGCACGGATACAACGAGTAAGACAAGAAGCTATCATAAGCAGAGTATGCTTCACTTAGAGAGACCCAATGGTTGAGCTTGTTTTGAGAGCTCACAATCAGGATTACTTCGTGTAGGAAGAAGATCCAGGCAATGCTGAGTTGATTGTATTTACCATTTTGGTTCTCGCGGTGCTCGTGGGTGGAAGGAACTCATCTTTTCCTTCTGTCTGCATATCTGGCACGCCATTCCCGAAGATATCGCCCCAGGCCATTTCCCTTCCTCGAATACTGATTAACATAAGGGCTCAAGCAACAACGTGATCTTACAATCTGCACCACATCCGATGTCCCACTCCAAGTCAAACCATTGGCGCCGCTGTTCTCTTGATCCCAAAGTTCCGCGAAGACACTTCGATTCGGTCGAGAATCATTCCTCCTTCATTAACGTCAAAGCGTACTCCCACGGTTCATGAATTTCCTTCTCAATAATCTCAAGCGCCTCGATGTGCGGGGCGATTCTCTGTTCATACATCTCCACAACATCCGTCATCGCTGCAGAAACTCGCTTCCAATCCGACAGCTGTGCCTCAAGCTTCTCCTTCCTCTTCTCATCACCGAAAAGACTCTTCCCAGACTCCTCGTCCCGTAGAATCTCCACCCGATCTCTCATGAGGTTGATTTTCTCAAGCTTGTCTTTCAAGATCTCCGCCCCGTCCATCATGAGAGTGATCTTCTCCAACTTGTTTCTCAACTCCGGCTTGCTGATTGTTCCAGTTGATGCCAGGTCTTTGCCTTCCATCACAGCTTTTTTGACTTTGCTTGCCCACAGCAACTTGCAGTTTTTCAGCATGATGGTTAGTTCAGCGCGCAGCTCCTCATCATTGGCTGCCTCGCCAATGTGCTTTTCGATGGAGACAACCTGGCTTTTGTAGATTGCGAGGGATTTCGCTTCTTGTTTCTTGGCTTTGGCTTCTTGCATGCACTCGTGCATTTGTCGTAGGGTGGCCTGCACGAATGGCTGCAATGCTGCATCTTCTGCTGCTTTCTTGCGTGCCGCCTCCCGCTCAGCTTTGTGATTGTTCTCGTAGGCTTCCGTACACTCCGGGCATTGTTGGGTGGACGATTTTGCTCTCCGTTCAAGTCTACCACCGCCATAAAGGAAGGGAGAGGGGGAGGCAGGTCGGTTGGATTTTTCTTGTGTCAATTCATGGCTGCAAGCAAACTTCCAAGTAGTGATGACCGTCCAAATGTCATGATATGGTGAAGATGACGCTTGCCCGAATCCAGAAGCCATAGCTGTGGTACGCCGATCTTTTTGATTGTCCGGTACGAAGTGGTAGAATGATCGAGGATTGTGCCGTACTGGAGCGGGACAATCGTCGAGAAAGCGGTCCTCCCCACGGGTATTTGTTGATGTTGAAAGAAGGAGATCGCGAGATCGCGACCCTGGGGTACGCGAGACTTCAAATTCACTCGCTGCCTTTAAAACAACCTAGCCTCTTGCAAAGCTAAAACCAAAACGACCGAGCCAAAAGATATCTTCCAGCTCGATTCACCTTACCGCATCCGGAGAGAAGTTCTCGCTTTGCTTTCTCCAGTGATACCCACTGTGCATTTGCAATGTAGAACTAGGTAGCTTAGGGAGGCTTCTTTGTGTGTATAGCCGAGCAGAATAAATTGGAGAAAAAGTTCCTCACGGAAGCAGAACAATGGATTGCCTGGGACTGGCGTTAAGGCTAGATGTGTACCTCGAAGAATCTCAAGGGTTGTTACCTTTGTAGACCTGCATATGAGAGGAGGTCTGCGTATCAAGAAAGCGTCAATGAAGTTTAGGACCTAAGCAATGCAAAGATATACTCGAGGCCCCAAAGATATGAGAAAAAAGGCGAGAGGCGTGAAGAGTCTCTGGCCGAGTTGCTGTTTATCTCGAACGCTTGCACTGCGTCTTGACTGCATCACGCTCTACTTGCTAGCGACTTGGGGAAAGGTCCTCTTTTATGTGTTTTGGGTTATCTATTATACAGTGAGCTTAGCATCAGCTCCTTCCGGTAGATCATCTGACGTTCCATCGAATTTTGAAGAGGCGTATGGTGGAAAGTGTCGAGTAGCTCCTTCCCTCTCAGAAAGAAGTATAAGTTCTCCCCAACCGTCGATGGAGAACTGAACTTCTTCAACCATCTTTGTCTTCCGAGATGACACAACATTCTCAACCATCTGCCATCTCCGATTGATGACAGAGGTTCATCAGCCATATGCCTCCTTGGTGCCACACCATCGTCAGCCATCTTCCTTCTCGTCCTTCTTCACTACACATCATCCTCTCTTGGACTCAGCCTGCCTGCCTCACCACGCCCAGGACTTTGCCGTTCTCTCTCGCGATGTTCAGATCTTGGTCGATGACTTTCTCCACGATCGTCTCTCTCCTCACGCCGAGGACCGTGGTGATCCCTCTGACTTGGCGGCGGTGAGATCCAGTGCTTCTCGCGGCCTTCAGGACCCCGCTCCTCTTTCACTCCGCCGCTGTCGCGACGATTGCCTCTCTCGTCACGTCGAGAGCGATGGTGATCTCTCTCACTTCGCTCGTGTCTCTCGCTCCGGCCAAAACCCTGTCTATCCTTCTCGCGATGCTCAGAACTTCTCTCATCTCTCTCTCCACTTCCAGTTCTTTCGACGATTCTCTCAGTTCTAGGACGCCGGGAATCTTGCTCATACCACGCATCAAGCATCACCTCAACCTTAGGTGCCCAGACCTTCTCTCCCTTCTCCAAGTCTGCATACTCCAAAACGTTCTTTCCAAGCTCGAACTCTCCCTGCCTTGTTCTCTCCAGCTCAGCCATCAGTGCTGCTGACCCAACTGCTGCACCGAGATCATGACAAAGCGAGCGCACGTAGAAGCCAGACGTCACTTTCATCCGCAGCTTGACTGCTGGCGGTCCCTTCACTGGGGGTGTTGGGGATTTCTCGATTGTCGCTTTTGGCACTTCATCCGAGGTAAGTACCCCTTCCGGCTCAACTGCACCTTCCTCACCAGTCGCTTCAACAGCAGGAGGCGGCAGTCCACCGGACATCGTTGCATCTTGTGACGACGTCACTACCTTCCGCTTCGAGGGTGGTCTTTCCCTGACAAGATCGTCTTGGTCCTCGCTCAACTTCCTCTTCTTCCTTTCAAATTCCTCCAAGGCTTCATCCTCTGAGCTCACTTTGGAGTCTTGGCTCTTCCTACCCTGTGAGTCCTCTTTCTCGCTCTTCGTACCTGCCGGCAACACATTCTCCTGCTTCCACACCTTGTTCGCAAGGTTCACTTCCGCATGGCCTGCTTCATCTGTCGGGGCCCTGTGCGGATGTGTTCCACCCTCCATCCACTCCACCAACTCCAACTCCAGCACCTCTACTTCCCTCCTCTCAATCTTCCTTGGTATCTCCTTTCCTTCTCGCGCATATTCGTACAGAGGCTTGCCATCCATCTTCAACGCAGAGTAGAGAGGAGGCAACTGCATGAACTTCCCTCGAAACTGGTCCAACGCCTTCTCGACCATGTCCTTGGTGACATGCTCATAGGGCGCCTTCCCGAGCACCTTCCCGACCCGATCGTAGGTATCGGTGCTTGTCCCAAACAAGACCACCGTCTCATACGCTTTGGTGCACACCAAGAAGTCCTGCAGCGACTTGGTGCCCTTCCCAATTCCGGTGATCAAGACACCTGTCGCCAACGGATCGAGGGTTCCTCCGTGGCCAACCTTGACCTGGATTCTCTGGTCTCTCCGTCGCTTTCGCTGATTGGCCTTCTCGCGGGCGCGATTGTTCTTCTCGAGTTGAATCCACGGGGCGAACAGCTCCGAGGGGTTGAAGTGTTTTTGCAGGTCGCGCAGGACCTGAGCTGAGGAGAGGCCGGTAGGTTTGTTGATGGCTTGCCCAAGTCAGCAACAGCTCAATTGACGCTCCCACAGGACTGCACTCACCGAAGACGCCCTCCATGACCTTGCCTTGCGTCATCCTCCAGAAATGTTTGGCGGACATCCGTCCTCTGCTGCGTTGCTGAGGTCGAGGCTGCGCTGCTGCGGAACCGGGAGTCGCTTTTAGGTTTGTGCAACTTTTCCCAGGGAACGCATGGGCCGCTTATCTTAGCGTCGGCAGGGGTTCTTATCGCTTGCTGCCTGACACCCAAGGCCGCACGATGCGGTGTCCTGCGGGTCACTTTTGGAGCGCGTCTCTTTCTGATATTCACTGTTTTAGTGCGCCAACAAACCATTTTGCGAAATTAGAATCCCTTCTCAGCCTCTCCTTCTTCTTTCAACCTCGGTACTCGGTCATTACCAGGCCGACGAGCTGCGTCATCGCAAGCACGTATCGATAAGGACACTGCAACCCCCGAGAATTCGACCCTCGATCAGCCAAGATGCCACGGGTCGTGTACAAAATCGATCCGGAGGAGAAGGCCGAGCACCAAAAGCGATACACCGAGGGGCACGAGGAGATCGAGTCGAAGCTGATCATCCATCCCGAATCCAAGGTGCTCAAGCCGTTCGATCGAGTTTCCGTCCACGAAGACCTTTGGCCTACTTTCGAGTTCGAGGATGTCGTGCCTATCGGACCTGATGGCAAGATCGCCAACCTTCTACTCAGTGTTCGAGACGGCCACGCCTTCAAGATCACGGGCAGAATCAATGTTGATCCTGATCTCAAGCATAGAAGTAAGCTGCAATCCCGGTCAAGTAAGCTTACATGCGGACCACTGACACCCCCAGTGTGCACGTTCCGCGGAAAAGGTTATACCACCTTGAATGGTTCATTTATCGAGTTGAAAACGCCTGATAACATCTCTATCGGTTTCAATCCGTCTACCTGCTGGATTGGATCAAAATCTGGCTGGTTCGAGGTCAAGCCTGCACCCAGCTACCGTGAGGCTTTCGAGCGCATCCAGCACATCGCTGGTTTCTTTTTCTTGGCCGTTGATACCTACGAAGACATTGCTCGCGGGGGCGTCCAAGGCGGCGAATCGCCCTACACTGTTTGGGAGGATGTCGATGAAGTTCTGATGCGCGTAAGTCTACAATCCTCTGGACTTGCAAGAGCGCTCATTAACAAACCGCAGTACGTTGAACTCAACGGCTCTGGCGTTGCCATGATGGAGGTTATTGGTGCTTTGAGAGAATCGAAAGAGTACCTCTTAGAACAATTTCGAAAATTAGCGCACGGAGAGTATTATGTTGGTGACAACAGGACGTTTAAGTGGACTGACAATAATGTGTATCGATGGATTGTTGCTGGTTGCCCTTTGGTAAGTCCTCGGCTCACTCTTTGCAGAGCACAAATTAATTCCTTAGGAACCGCCCAAGACTCTTCCGCCAGATCCAGTCATGGCCCAGGCTCGCCCTCCGCCACTTGGAACGAAGCCTCCAGTCGAGGTCTTCAGGCCACATCCCAAGAAATCTCCGACTCCTACGAAGAGCAGCCATAGTTCTCACTCGCCCAGCCCGCCTACCGGCCCCCCACAGCAAGACGATCGTGGCCCCTTTCCTCCCGGAGTGTCCTCGAAGATTACTTTCAAACCACTAGGTGGCGGCCCTCGCATCACAATCGACCGATGGCCACGAAACAAACCCAAAAAGCCTACCAGCAACTCCTGGGTACGCAGAAACACAGCTCATCACGGGGTCTACACTAGTCCAGAGTTTCCACAAGGGCTTCAACCCGATATGGACAACGTCGAGATGTTTGTTGTTATTGGTTGCCACGCCCGAATCTGCGATCGGTTTGCCGAGTTGAACGCCTCAAATCTCAGTTATGCTTTTTACTGGGATTATAAGTGTGACGAGAATGGTGCTGCCCGGCAAGTTATGAACTACTATGCGAAGCAAATAGCTGCCAAGTTCCTAGCTCTCGGTCCGTCATGGAAGGATACTGCCGTCTACAAGGGCCTGCTAGAAGCCGTCTATGATGATTCCAACCTTAACGAGGAAGAGAAGAAAGTGGTCAAGGAGCTTACGGTCGATGGCAAGAAGGCGGTACATCGATCAAAGGCGAAACGCTCCAAGGTGGAACAATTATCCGAAGAACCCACCCCTGCCAGCTTGTCAACTCCGCTTGCTACAATGAGCATCAGTGGTGCAATGAAGCGGAAGTCCGATTCCCCCCCTCCTGCCGGAAAGCGTTCTCGTCGGAAGTCTGTTGTTTCACGCTCACGTTACCAGTCCCCGGTTTCGTCCCGAGTCACCAAGTACGATTCCGTCGGAAAGGTGATCCCGAAACCTATTAAGCGCTCTGGCTATTGAATTGCGTGGTACAGTGGCGTTGGTGTGGGACAATTGCGGATATGATACCCTTAGATAGATGAATGAAATGCATTTGAAAATTCTCAAAATGACTTCCCTAATGCGATTTGAATGACCCAACTTGTAGTGTACATTGAAAATTTGAACGGGGCTTTCAATTAAGGGCTTTTGTAATTCAGAGGTTTCAACTTGCTATCTTATATTAAAGTTGTTTTATTTTAGATGCCCTAATCTCTAGAGGTATAATTATATGCATTGCTCGAGAATCTGTGGTTCGAATATCCCTATTTACTATATATAATTAGTATATCAAAAAAAAATCAAGGCTAGTTAATTATAATTAACTATAATTATTATATAATACTAAGAAAACTTGAATTTCTTAAGTAATTTAAAAGATTATTAAATAACTAATAGCTATATTAATAAAATATAAACAAAACTTATGAAATATATATAAGAGTACAAAACTAGTCCAAATCTGGAATAAAAAACTAGTTATCCTCCTTAGAAACCTCCGTTTTTATCTTTTTTATCCTTATTTTCTTTTTTTTTATTTCTTCTTCCTCGTTTATAAATACCCCCTAGCTCTTAAGACATATAATCTTCTCGAAGGTACTCTTATTAAGTTAATTACGTAGTTTATTATTAATAAGAGCCCCTTATAAAAAGAAACGCTTGCTAGTAGTAAATAAAGCAGGTATTTCTAAGTACTTCCTTACTATAAGAGATAAAATAGGAAATCTAGCTTTATTAGCTTTCTAATATCCTAAGGGCCGAATCTATTACTAAATTAGTACTTTTATATAAAGAAATTATAATAAAGGAATTAGTAATTCCTAAGAAAATTTAAAGTAAAATAAGTGAATTTTTTTTATCTACTTTCTTTTCTTCTAAATACGTTATTAACTCGTTTTCTATTATATCCTCTTGATTATTTATATAAATATCAAGTTCGTCTTTATTAAAATCTTCTATAGACGTATTAGAACTAGAGTCTTGAGGATTGGCTATTAAATAGTCTCGTTTATACCTATATAAAAATTAGTAATTTAAAAATTAAATAAAAATATATACTTATATATTATAATCTGTTTCAAGCCTATTATATATATCAGATACCATTCCGGGAGCTAATCCAATTCCGGCTAGTCCTGCTCTTTTAATTCGGGAATTAAGAATAAGAGCTAAATATAAAGCTTTATTTTTATTATCTAAAATGCCGGTTTTAGGATAATATTTTCGAAGCTTAGCTATTTCTTTATTAATAGCGTTTTCAAAGGTTTTATCCTATTTAAAATTAGTATATTTATTAATATAATAAGAAATAAAAAAAGAAGACTTACTTTAAACTTTCTTTTGAAACTTTCAAGTTTATTATATATTTTATATACTTTAGATATAATATAATATATAATAGGGTAGTTTTCGGCTTGTAACTTAGTTATAGCCTTAATAAATATTGAAATTATATTTAAAATATTATTTAAATAAGTAATTTTAATAGTAGTTAAAACTAGACTTTTATTTTTAAAAGCCTTCGATTTCGAGTTATTAATTACTACTTTAATAGCTTTATATATATATATATATATATATATAAAGTCTTTTAATATATAATAAATCAAAAACCACTATATTTTTTAATCTATAAATAATTAGTATTAATTAATAATTAATTAATTAATTAATTACTTATTAAGTTAAGGAAACCGAGTATTTTCTATATTAAAAGCTTTAATTTGAGCTTTTAATAGCCGTCGATTTTCCTAATTATATTTAAGACCTATAATAGTCTTTCTAATCTTTTTCCAAATTAATAAATCTATAATTTATTAATAAATCTCTTATAAATTATATGAGAAACTTACTCGTTATTTGTTCTACTCCTTCTCCTTCTTCTCTTTCTTTAAGTTCGTCCTTTTCTTACTTGTATAAATCTATAGAATAAGAAGTATTATAATTGTTTTTAATAAAAGCTTTTAAGATATCTTAAATTACTAATTTTAATATATAAGCTATATAAGAAATATCTCCTTGAAATTTAATATCTTCCTTATTATAATACTTTATAAAAGCTTATAATAAGGTATTATTTGAGCTAGTATTATCTCGAGTAATACTAAATAAAATATATTAGTAATTATTTTTAAAAAAACAAGATTTATATTATTTACCTAGTAATATTATATTTAATACTATAAGCTTTTAAAGCTTCTAATAGAACCGAATTCATATATTTACTATTATAAATATCTTTTAAATCTTTTATAGCTAATAAATAAGATTTTAATTTAAAATCTTTATTTATAAAGTATCTAAAAATTAAATTAGTAAAATCTTTATTAATTATTATTAATAAGAATAACTCATATAGTAATTCCTAAATAAGCCTTCTAATTTATAGCTATTCAAGTATCTAAAGTAATAGAAAAAGCACTATTTAATAAGATATTATCCGATAATTTTCCTTTTATAAGATTACTTTTAGAGTTAAGGTAGTAGTGTTTTGATCCCCGGATCCGGGATAGTTATATCGCTGTTTTAGGGGGGTCGGAACACGAAAACTACGCGAGCATCGGTCAGATTAAGCGAGCATCATCAGGGGCAGCCAAACATGGAGGGGCAGCTAAATATAGAGGGCCTTATTCCCTATCGCCATGGCCGTCGCCTGGATGACTCTACCCTGTCCTGTTTTCCTTTTCTCGCACAGTTATTTGTCACTCTCTGATCTCAGCTCGCAAAGCCTAGTCGCCCTCTATCGCTCTCGTCAAATGAAACGATTTCTACAGAAGAATCAAGCCCAGCCAACACAAGCATCCTTCGAACCTGCCGTTTGATCAACATTGAAGCAACCCCGACTCTAGCGTCTCATATCACTCTCAGCATCTGGGTACAAAAGCTATGATCGACTTCTTGTCTACCCTCCGCTAAGAAATCATCTAAAGCCTCCGGTACCTCAAACTCCCTGCAGCCTTTCCTTTACCACTTTACACCCAGCTTCACCGGAACTCCTTCACGACATTCCACGTCCAGGAGGCCTTCTACATGGTTCCGGGCCTATAACTAGATCTTCTAAACGTCAAGGATTATTATCACGTCCAAGGCTGCTATTATCCCGGAGGTTGGGTGAGAACTTCTAAAGGAGACTGGGTATAATAAACCAAAAGTTATAGCTAGAATATTTGTATTATAAGGAGACTATTAAGGCTTATTCAGACTAATATCTTTAGAACTATTACTAGGGTCTTTAGGGAAGAATTAGCTTCCTTATAAGGAAGATATCTTTAAATATAACCCTAAAAGAAAAAGGAAAGATATAAGGATTACTATAAGAGTAATATATAAACTTTAAGAATAGTTTGGGACTAGAAAAATAATAGTATAAGGAGCATTTGTATATATAAAGGTATTAAGAGTAATATAATTTTATTAAGGTTATTTATATAAGAAGTCTCTTATATAAAGTAAAATTTGTAGTATTATATAATTACCTTAAGTTAAAACTTATAAAACTTATAAACCTATAAGTTATTTACTTATAAAGGTTAATTAGGTTAAGTTACTTACTTATAAGAAATATAAGTTATATAGGTTTAACCTAATACCAAATACTATTTCTATATTCTTAGCTAAAGAACTTTACTTTTAATTAGCTTATATAATCTAGTTTATATAATATTAAGCTATAATAATATCTTTTTTAGCCTTAGCCTTTTTAGGAAACTTTTAGGCCTAATTAATATATTTTAAGTATCTCTTATCTCTAGAGAAATATTTCTTTTAGTTATAAGTAAAATAAATAATCTTATAATTTACTTAGATTCTAGAATTAGACTTAAAGAAAATAGCCTAATTATTTTTTAGAATTATTTTAAAACTTATAGACTTTTTCGATTTTCTTTCTTTTATTTCTTTTTAAAATATTAAAAGATTAAGTATTATTATTAGTATTATAGTTTAAATTTAATTCTTTAGTACTTGCTTTATATCTTAAATATTAATTTTTATTAATATTGAAATAAGAGTTATATATAAAGAAAGTTATATAATATTAGGCTATATATTTAGTTATTTAGTTATATAGTTATTTAGCTAATATATAAGGCAAGCTTTCTTTAGAAGCTTACTTCTTTCTTTTTTATATAAAATAAAAAGTAAATATTATAATTATTTACTTTATATTATTTACTTATAATACTAGAACTATATCCCTATTTAGTATACTAATAATTAATAATATATCTAGTATATTATATTATTTTTAATTAATAAAAAATAGAAATAATTAATCTTTTATAAAATATAAAAACTAATATCTTTCTAAATTCCTGGGTTTTTAAAGTAATATTAAGAGTCTAAATATAACTAGATTTATTTATAGCCCTAAATTTAGCCTTAAATATAATTATTTAAGTATATAGTTTTATAATTATCTCTTTTAAGCCTTATTTAAAGTTTTGAATTATTTTAAAAGTATTTTAGTTTTAAGTTTTAAGAAACTTAATTATATTTATAAAAAAGCCTTAAACTTCTTTTAGGTAATTAGTTTTTAAAAGAAACTATTTCTATAATAAGCCTCTTATAAGTTATTATTAGTTTACTAGTAATATATAATACTATTATATAATATTATAGAATACTAGTTATATTAGTTAGTAAAATAATTGTTTTTCTATAAATAGAGATTATAATATTAAGGTTCTAATATATAATCCTTAAATATACTAAGCCTAATTAATACTAGTATCTAGTATATCTTATTTCCTATATATCCTATATCTTATATATAGAATACTAGATTATATAATATAAATTATATAATTTCTATAAAACTAGTTATATTAATAATTATATAAGGTTTTTATTAGAATAATTATATTACTAATTTATTATATATATAATTTTATATTATATATATAGCTCTTTCTATAGACTAAACCTAATTAGATATAGTAAATTTAGGGAAAGTATATTAATATTATAATATATACTTTCTATTTCTAGAATATATTATTTTATTAATAAATAAATATAATAAGTATTTTATAATATATATATAACTATATTT